AGTGGCAATGCTGATTCAGTGCTGTGCAACAAAGCAGTCATACCATCAGTTCGCGGTCAGTCATTCGGAGACAGCCGGGCCAGGACAGTGGCCACTGACGCGCGGACGGGAGCAGGGCTCAGACACGGAATATATGACAGAAGAACTTCATTCTGTGGCCTGGTTTTCAAAGGAGAATCTTCAATTCTATGGCTTTTGTCATAAGGACTTCGTCAGTTTCAAGCTTTCGAATCTGTTTCCGCCTAAAATGCCGCAACAAGCCTTATCTCTTAAAAGGCAGTCAGCGAAATGAAGGCGCATGCAAAATCTGCTATGTTGTGAGCCATCAATTCACTTTTCAAAATTATCACCAGCCTATGCGTAGGCCATATTTTGGCATCTAACCTGTGGAGACAGATGCCTCCTCAATAGTCCAAAATGCCTACCTACCCGCTCGTGGACTTTTGACTCCCCAGGAAAGACAACGTTGAAATGGACGAATGATATTGGAAAGCTGGATAGCCTTATCTCCCGAATAGCACAAATGAGTCGGATAGGCAAGAGTGTGCACCAGAGAGAATCGGCTCTAGATGCATATCCAGAATAGCAGTCACTACATTTGAATAAAGAGCGATAACCTCCATCTTTACCCCTCCCTCTCCCCGGTCATCAGGCTTGTTTTCCAGAAAAGTTTCTGAAGTGCTCCCTGAGCTTGCCCCCCCTCCCCCCACTTTTTGAAACATTCCTATGCCTATGCTTGGGAGCGCGCATGTTCAAAACCATATTACATAGCTTCTTATCAGTAACTGTTTCTGTATTATGGGCAGAAAACAGTTACAGAAACACGAAAAATATAGATTCTACCTATGCTCTTACATTTCCACCACCAGATTCTTGCGACACTTCTCCGTGCTTTAAGGGCCAATCCGTTCTTATCATCAGTTTAAAAATTGTGCACGTAGATTATGCGGCCAGACTGACTCCTAAATATAACAAATGATGTCCTGAAGCGCTCAAAGTACTTCTTTCAGAAGCATCCTCATTTCCGTCCACCAGTGGGCCACGGTGAAAAGCTAGCCACTGGGATATATATATATATATATATATATATATATATATATATATATATATATATATGTGTGTGTGTGTGTGTGTGTGTGTGTGTGTGTGTGTGTGTGTGTGTGTGTGTGTGTGTGTGTGTGTGTGTGTGTGTGTGTGTGTGTGTGTGTGTGTGTGTGTTTCACATTTGTACATTCCATAACTGGAACATAGACCAGACGCTACCGCGAGAACAATTCTGCTTTCAGTTTATAGCAAATAAGATGGGAACAATATGTGTTAAATGACTGCATGAAATAAATAAGCGGCTTTCTTCATGTTACAATTTCATTGGAGTCTTTTTAAACCGACAAAACTCAGAAACTTGGTCAGAATTTTTATCTGGGTTGCACAGAGATAGCAAGGATTGTACGAATGGAGATTGAAGATCAAAATGGGTCAATAACTTGTATTAACATGGATTCGCCATCTTTCTCTGACTGTGTTCAACATCCAGCCAGAATCGATTAGTGATACATGTTATGTAACGTAGTTTTGAGCGTGCGCGCTCGCATCTCCTCACAACGAAAAATTCGACGTCAGGCGTCAGTCTCCATGGTCCGCGAAGCGTCAGTCCTGCGGCTGACTTTAGGATGTAACCAATAGGTGGACAAAAATGGTGACGCATCTGAGAGAAGTACCTTAGAACGCTTTAGGACACCAAATCTTACATTCAGAGATAGTCCGGGTGTCTATTTCACCCGTGCAGTTTTTAGATTGACGGCAATAACGTACTGGTCTTTATAGCACCGCTGAGTGGTGCTGGAATCCAGTGGTGGAACTGGAAGAGTAAAGGTAAGTCTCTATTTTCCGCGTTCCCGTAACTGTTAATCTGCCCAGAGAACATCCTCAAAAAAGCAAAAGATTTACCCAGTGTATTTTTGATACTGCACAACTTCATTTTAAAAGACATTCCGAAGCATTATTTTACGATGATTATTGTTGCGCGCTCAACGCCCATCCCCTGGCGTTACTTGCAGCGGCCAGCGCCGTTCGGTTTTACGATAACTGCAACCCAAGCCATCGTTGCAACTCAAGCCAAGCCATCATCTGATAACTGCAACTCAAGCCAAGCCATCTGTTAAAGGGGCCTCCTTAAAAACAACACTATTCTGCCCATAGGGATGAGTCTTGAGTACAACAATACGGGGCGCATGGTTCTTCCCGGTTAGGGGCTGAACTGTCCCACCGCGGTGTTTTTTTTTTCAGACGTCGATCTGGCGACACAGGGCGGCATCCCCTTGCTGATCCGGATGCCCTTAGAGGAATATGTCATATCACATTAGTCCGCTTCCTGACGCGAGAGGCCTTTTGACTGTTAACAACGGACCGACGGGTGAGTCGTCATTAACGCAGCATTATCCCTGCTCGTCGCAGGTGGTCAGATAATTGGCGCACGGACTCCAGTTGGGCTTAACATCTGCCATTGGGGCTCTCTTCCTCGCCTCTGCTGAGCAAATCTTCCCTGGCCGATTCGAGGTCCCGTCTTGACACAGAGTGCCCTGTTGGGTATTGTAGGTCCCTGAACGATACAGAAGTCCGATCAATGTAAATCGCGGGCCGGGCCTTGTCTTGGTTAGAAAATGGGCCCCCAGAGCTCACACCAACACGGAGCCAACTGTTCGTTGGGCATGGCCTCTGACCGAAATGGAGAAACGTTGTTTCAGGTGTCGTCATCGGCGCAAGAGATCACCTCACTGACCTTTGAGAGCACGGCCCTATGAGCGGGGGTCCTTAATGTAACCTACTGTCAGCCCTTCGGACCCTTCAGCCATGCCGTCGGGCCCTTCGTCTTTGGTCACAAGAGACCCTTTCACCTAAACATCCTGCCGGCTCGGGGCCACTTGTCACCACAGGTCCCCTGTTCGGCACTGTTGCCCCCGACCGACAAAGGAGCCCCTCGTTGTGTCAGGATCCCTAAACATTGTAAATCGCGGACCCCGGCCTCGTTTCTGCTTAGGGAAATAGGTCTCAAGGGCCTAGAAAAACATGGAGCCGGCTGTTCAGTGTTTGTAGGCTCTGACCGATTTAGACGACCGCATTGTCTCAGGGGTTCCTCAAATAGTGCAAGAGGACCTCTGACTCATATTTCAGACTCACTCTATTTTTGTTGTCTTGTTGTCTTGTCTTGTCACTATGTTGTCTTGCCCCTGAGGGAGCAGGCAGCAAGTCTATATAGCTGTCTCAATGAGAGATCTGCCAGGCAGGTGTTCACTGCTCATTCATGCAAACTAGGGCTGATTTGGTCTCTTGTGGTGTCACTTTCAGTTTCAGACTCACTCCTGTTGGCAACGATTCCCCATGCGACCTACAGGCAGTCTTTGGGGTCCCTATGCCTTCCAACCGGGCTTTTGATCGTCGGTTCTCGTGGGCCGCTCGTGCATCTCTTCGATCCTTATAGAGCAAGACCCCCAGTACTTTCCTTGGTCGGCTCGGGGCCCTTGCGAGCACAGGGCCCTCTGTTAGGCGCTGTGGGCCCCTGACAGACATAAGGTCACGGCCAGTATAAATCACCGGCCCCGGCTTTAGAGCTAATTGGGAAGTGGGTATTCAGGCCCATACCGACACGGAGCCGACTGTGCGTTACAGTGGTACATGATCGATATATAGGCCTATACCGACTCAGGGGCTTCCAATCGACGCAAAGGGCATTGTGACCGTTATCTGCGTGTCCGCGTTCGCAGATGGGGCCCCTGAATAATGCTGACCAGCCCCTTATGCCCTTAAACCCTCGGATCGCACCCCTGATCGTCGGACCCAGTGGACCCTCTCGGCTCTTCGGGCCTCCTCGAACCATGACTGGCCAACTCGGGGCCCCTTGACAACACAGACCCCCTGCTAGGCGCTGTTGGGCCCCGATCAACGTCAATCGTTGGCTCCAGCCTTGTTCCCGCTTGGGAAATGAGCCCTTAGGTCCATGCCGCCGCAGATCTGACTGTGCGTTACTCGTGGTGTCTGACCGAACTATAGGCCCTTATCGGCTCAGCAGGGCCTTGATCAGTGCGCAGGGCCACCTGGCTGGCATTGGAGTGCCCGGTCCTGCGGGCTGAGGCTCCTGAATGGGACTTCCAGCTGGCTTTTCGGGCCCTTCGGGCCTTCAAATCGGACTCTTAGTTGTAGGTTTCAAGAGCCCCGAAGAGCCCCCCGGAGCCTAAAGTGGGAGACATGTGCCCCGTCACCCCTGCCTACACCACTGTTTGTACAGCATACATGTAATTCAAATGAAAAAATGTCACTGTACATGCGATAGATAGGATTTGTATCGGGCTATCTGCTGCTCATAGCACGCTCGTTTGATTTCGAGTTCCATTTTTCGGTCGACCCCAATGTGTCTCATTCAATTCTCGTGGATCGATGGAGATGGTGAGTTGAACAAATACGGCGTCCAATTTGAAATACTTTTAGAAGCGCAACCTTGCCATAAGGACGATTATAGTACATAGGTGATGGCACTTCTGCTATCTGCTTACAACGCAAATGTCACATAAACGGACACCACATTTTGCGTTGAAATCGCCCCTTGGCAGCGCAGGCTTGAAAGCGCAGAGCTAACGGCGGCTTGCCTGTACATAGAGTAACCGTACACCCCTCCTCTCAGCCGGAGAAACCTGCAAACTGTTGGAACTGGGGATCCCCAAATGGCGGACGTTTTCTATTTGCATCGACTAAAAAACAAATTAAAATTTTTCAGTTAAGGAACAACCGATTCTCTCTCCTTTCTGACGGGCTGACAAAAAATTGTGTCGGCATCGTCAGTCGATGCATGACGTCACATAGCATTTTACCTTGTACCACGGTTGCTGATGACAAACATGCTGACGACAGATCGAACCTGTTCTATGGCCTTGGATCGAACAGGGCCGTCGTCGCGGAATTAGCTGGCAGACGCGCCAGGAAAGGTTGAAGCAGGTTGTGGCGGCGGAAAAGGGTTGGTGGTTGGCCGGTACGAATACAAATGTTATTTTATCGTTATATGAGAGACGTAGTGGATGTTTGAGGTGGTAGAACTATGTTCAAATGTCTTGTGCGTCCGTTCACATCGGTGTTATGTAGCGTGCGTGCTATATTTAGTTGCAGCAGACCTTTTGCATAGTGCGAGGCCTACGCTGGTATGTGAATGTCATTGGGGCATTACGACGCGTTCAGCTGCTGAGGCCATATGGCGCAGCCTGCGTCTCACCCAGGCAGGAAGGGCGGGCACTGCGGGGAATCGAACCCCGTACCTCTGGTTTCCAGACGCGTGGCGGTTAACTCAGATGCGTTAACCATTACTCTACCGACATTCGTATGCCAGAAACACCTGATGGTCATTGGTTTCAAGCAATGCGTATGGTTATGTATGTTTGAGAATGAGCAAAACCTGAGACTCCAAACTTAGTTGCGCGGCATCTGTATGTTGTCTTGCCCCTGAGGGAGCAGGCAGCAAGTCTATATAGCTGTCTCAATGAGAGATCTGCCAGGCAGGTGTTCACTGCTCATTCATGCAAACTAGGGCTGATTTGGTCTCTTGTGGTGTCACTTTCAGCCTAGCAAGATGTGGGTTTAACACAAAATTTGTGCCCTGTGTCATGCTTATGTGACATCAGTGTGTCACTCAGTGTGATGAACTCAGGCTGGGTCAAGTTGTGATTGATTTTCAAAATATTGTTGCAGAAAAATATTTTGGAACACTTTTTGGTGAAATTGCCTCTCAAAAATAATATTACCCTGAAACATGGACTCTATATGCTGAACTTGGTGGAGACCTGGGACCACATAGCATTTTAAGTACATGGATTTGTGTTGCACATGCACTGAACGTGTGCTATGGGCTGTTGCTGCTATGCAGGCATGGCTGCATTCCTTGGTTAAAGTGCAGGTTTTTGGCAGTTTGTGTGCCAGCTTAAGCACCTGGTGATATTTGTGTAAACTGCTGGATAGTGGGAGGTACTGAGAAACTGGCAGAATAAGGGAGTGTATAGAAGGGAACAAATCATAGCAATTTATGAGCTACAAGCTGGAAAATGCTGAATGTTCAAACTCCAAGTATGTTTTTTGTGAATGGGTGCTGATTATCATCTAACAGTTTGTGGCAACACTTTCTATTTGTTTTGCAACTTGTTGCAACTGAGTCAGGCATGTAACCAAAATTTTCTGCAGGAGATGGGAGCAGCCCAAATTTTATAAAATTGCCTGTTACTTGGGGCAAATGCCTTGAATCAGAAGGGAGGGTTCATAGTCATTGTCTTGCCTATGTCCCCAGGCCTGGCCCAATTGTGTGCTGGTTGATCTTGAAATCCTGCAAGGTTGGCCACCAAGTGGAGCATGTCATTGGGCCTCCCTTGCTGGCATGGGTTTTGCCTTTTATCAAACATCAATGTTTTTCTGTTGTGATGGAGTGAAAAAGTTGGAGCTAGAATTAGCTTCTCTGCAGGTCATTTGTGGTGAAAGAACATGCAACTGGCTTATTTTAGGCCCTGAACTTTGCACACTCCACACTGAAGAGTGACAAATTTGGGGCCTCTGCTGAAATTTCATCAACAAGTTGAAGGTTTTTGGCTGAGGCTTCAGCTACAGTGCACTAATCATGTGGTGATTCTGCAGGTACAGTACAGTCACCCAGCCTCCAGTGGCAATGTCTGAGGGGAGTGGCCAGGCAGGTGGGGCAGTGGCAACAGCAGCCGCACACCCTGGCCCCACCTCCGGCACGGCCGCCGACCCGGACCCGGAGGTGGTGGTGGAGGAGGAGGCGACGCTGGCCGCCAGCCGTGCCCGTGGCTTCCTCAGCTGCGCCCGCTGTGGCCAGCACCTGGAGTACGGCGGCCCGGCGCCGCGCCTGCTGCCCGCCTGCCTACACACTGTCTGTCAGCTGTGTGCTGGTGAGAGTGGCTCAGGTCAGTACTGCCGGTCGCTGACGCGCGCTACAGACTCAGGCTGTGATGCAAACGGCTGATCTTTCCACCTCAGCATGTGGGCTCCCTGTGCTGTCGTGATGGGCCTTTCTGCCATTTTCCAGTGGGCAGGACATCGCAGCATGACTGGCGTGCATCTGTGTACATTGTTGCAACTTGTGACTGCATTCTGTAGGATGTGGCTTTGTACACCCTCTGTAAGGCAGTGACTGATGTGCCCTAGGGGGTGAGGCCCAGTACACCCTCTGGCAGACAGCAACTCTGATGTGCCCTGGGGGATAAGGTCCATTTGTCCCTCTGCCAGACAGTGGCTGATGTGCCATAGGGGATGAGGCCCAGTATACCTTCTGCCAGACAGTGACTGATGTGCCCTAGCAGGTGAGATCCAGTACACCCTGTGCCAAACAGTAACTCTGATGTGCCCTGTGGTTGAGGTCCAATGTACCCAATGTATGGGCGTCACATGATCAGAGCAGTCAGCACGCTCTAAAGCCCAAATCATCATCACCATCATCATCCTTCAGTGTACCTCCCATCTGATGGTGTCTGATGTGCTTCAGGGGGAGAGGTGCAGTGCGCCCTCTGCCAGACCACGTCGCCCTCGGTGGCGGACCACCCGCTGCTGGAGGAGCTGCTGCGCGACACGCACGCGCGGCAGCAGGCGGCCGGCTGCGGGCAGTGTTCAGAGCGGGGCGTCAGCGCCAGCGTCGTCGCCGGCTCGTGCCTTGACTGCCAGACCGACCTCTGCCAGAACTGCATTGATGTGAGTCCACGCGCCGGGCGGCACCGCAGGTGGCGGCAGCTGGCAGCGCTGGTCTGGAGATGCCGTAGCGACGGTGATGCAGTTGCTGCAGCCCGGTGTTGGGGCGCGTGGCAGACAGGTGTACGTCGTTGGCAGATGTGGCATGGTAGTGCTGTTCAGTGACAGCTGTCCTGTATTTTCCCCTCTAAAAGGTTCCACGTCGTTCATGCCCGTCCCACCTGACAGGGTCCCTGTTCTTGTTTCATGTTCTGGAGTCATGCCTTGCAGGCCTGTCCCAGCTGACACAGCCACTGTTCTTGTCTCACGTTCTGGAGTCACTCCTTGCAGGCCTATCCCAGCTGATAGAGTGTCACTGTCTCACGTTTCACGCTCTGGGGCCACCCCTTGTAAGCTTGTTTCAGCTGACACAGCGCCACTGTCCTTGTCTGGCGTTCTGGGGCCGGGGACGGCAGAGCCAGCCGTCCACGGCGCGCCGTGCCACTCAGACCACCGTGCCACTCAGACCACCGCGCCACTCAGGCCGGCGTGCCACTCAGACTGGCGTGTCTGTAGCTGTGCGTTGGCAGTCTGTCGGCCCACTGGCATCTAGGATTTTGCCGTACTTCCCAGCTGGCTGTCGTGGCTGTTTTCATTCCGTGGCCGACCAACAGTGCCAAATGTGTCTTCAAGTCGGCCGAAAACCGGGACGTCCGTGAGTGCAGGTTTTGTGGCTATCCCATGGAAGTAACCGACATTGCCAACTCGGGACGCTCTTTTGACGGCCCACTGCTACGTTGGCAGGCGCACAAGATCACGAAGGCCACGTGGGACCACAAGGTGAAGCTGCTGCCGGACGCCAAGCAGGAGGACCGATGCCCTGAGCATGACAAGGTGCGTCCGCTCACTGCACTGGCGGCCCTGGGTCAACATTTATGTATTTCAAACATAGCATCGTCCATGCATCTGCGTGGGTTCCATTCTCGCCCCGCTCTTCGGGCGTGCCGACTCCAACCGCCGCACTTCATCTGTCGACTGAGTGCGGTCGGCAGTGCCGGACGACTGTCCAGCTGTCGTGCTCGTCCTCGGGGCGCCGCGCCGACCGCCGCCGACTCTCAGCCGCGTGCCGTTCGCAGGCGTTCGACTACTACTGCGACGGGTGCGAGGTGCTGGCGTGCGGCGAGTGCATCCTGTCGGCCCACCGGTCGCACGCCTCCTCCACGCTGGCGGACAAGGCGGCCCAGGTGCGCGCCGCCCTGCGCTCCTGCCTGGACGGCATGAGGTCAGCACGACCACGGCTGGAGGCGGCGGCGCGGCCGGTGTTGGTGTGCGTGGGCCACGTCCGCTTGTGATGGGAGAGGGCCGATGTCGTGCGCCGAAGCAAGGTTTGAGTCGCCCTGTGTGTGTTGTCGGTCTTACTGCGTCGTTGCCAATGCGTCTAGCGCTTCTGGTGGTAATTATGGATCGTCATTTTCTTTTAAGTTAAGGGGCACGTCTAGGTATATTGCTGCTCCGTCACGTGCCGCTCGGTCCTCCGCGGCGTCGTACGGACCTCCTGTGCCAATGTCGGACCCAGCGTCCGTTCCGCATCCATGACAGATGGATAAGTATTATTTTGCCCCACTGGCAACAGGTCGGAGATCGCTTAGTTTGCGCCAAACATTGTCGAAGTCGCTGAAAGAATCTGCCTCTTCCAGCGGGGTCAAGATGAATGTCTCTGTGGAAATCGCCAAACTGAAGTCTCAGATGCTGGAATGCGCCGATGAGAAGCAGAAGAGCACAGCCAGCGTTCGTGCGGAGTATGAACGGTGCGTAGCAATCCCTCACATTGTCTTCCCCATCCCTGTGCTGTGAGCTTGCCGTCGCGCCGGGCGGCTGGTAGTGCTGCTCCGGACGCCGGCCGCGGAGGAGCTGTCGGCCGCGCTCCGCCCGCGCCGACCCCGAGTGCACTCAGGTGACCCCGTGCGCCGCCGCAGCATCTGGATAGCCAGATCCGCCGCACCGTCCCGCGGGCTGGTGCGTCGCGCCGCACCGTGGCCGCCACTGACGCCGGCCGGCCGGCAGGTACCAGACGCTGGTGCGCGCCTTCTTCTTGCGTCAGGTGGAGACGGGCCGCCAGAGACACGACGATTTCGGCCGTGAGCTGGAGGGGCAGCTGGCGGCCGCTTCGCTGGTGCAGGCGCGCGCCGCCCATTGTGCCAACCTGGTGGGCCGCCTGCTGGACAGCCGCCGACCGACCACCAGCGTCCACTACAGCAGGTGCGGCTACCGGCGTCGGTCGGAAGCCGACCTGGGCTGAGCCACCGCGCGGCGGGCGGCCCGGGCATGATGGGCTTGGGGCTCGTGGCTTGGCGTTAGGAGCGCGCTGGGTGGGTGCGAGGGAAGGGGAGTTGTGACGTCCTGTAGTATTTTGTTTTTGGCGTGCATCGCGTTGCTTGAGGCTGCGCTTACTGTAGAACCTTACTTGATCTGCATGTGGAGGTTCATATTTGTGCCCCCCATCACCACCACTGCTGCTTGGCAGAGCTTTCCAACTTTTCGCGATCTGCTGCGTTCTGAGTCTTGTCGAATCTGAATATCAAGGCTGGTTAGATATAGCCAGGTTAGACGTGTTTTGTTTCCCGCTGTCTGTGCTGACCTGTGCTCCCAGCGCCGTGTCGGCTGACCTGCGGCGGTGTTCCAGGCACGTGACGGCGCTGGCCAAGCGGCTGGCGTCGGTAGACTTGAAGCAGCCGGACCTCTTGCCACCCGAGCTCACCATGCGTCGCGTCTTCGGCATAGACCGTGAGCGAGCGAAGCGGGGGCTCTTGGGCTGGTGCCCAGGCGGGCCGGCCATGGCCAGCCGCAGCAGGTTCCCCGTGCTTTGAAATGCAGTTGTGATCAGTGCCGTTTGCGTCAGCGGGCGTGATAGTCCGTCGGGGCCGGTTAGACGTGTGGTGCTGATCACATTGCCGACAGCCGACGTGAATGCCATGTGGTAGTCGTAAGGATGGGGTTAAGGCTCATTCCGTCGGGCAGAGGGATGCGGCGTGAGTGGTGCAGGTGCGCCCAGGATCAGCGCGGTTGTGGGCGAGACTTGTTTCACGTCACACTTCAGCGCTGGGCGCACGGGACAGGCTCAGGCTGTCGCAGTGTCAGGCCAGCTTCTCCAGGCCCTCCTCGCGGCGGGCCCACGTCGTCAGACGTCTCGTTGCTGGATTGTGGCATGCCGTGCACGGATTCGTTATTGCATTTCAGTAATGTCGCCTGGGCGGGGCCCCGCGGCCGGCTCTCGCTGCCGAGCGATGGTGCGGTGCTGGCGACCGGTGCCCGCAGCTGCCGTCCGCTCCTCCGCGCGCACAGCCGCTCACAGTCGCTGGTGTCTCCCGGCTGACCGGCAGGCGTCGGCGACCTCATGACGGTGCTGCTGTACGACCGCGGCACGTGTCTGCAGCCGGAGACGAAGCGTGCCATATGCCGCGCCTTCCTGGCGGCCTCGCGCCAGGTGATTGGCTGTCACCAGCGCGCCAACACTGAGTTCGCTATGACCTACATGAAGCTGATGTTCCGCAGCGTGGCGCGACTGCCGCACGTCTCGGCCGAGCTGCGCAGCCTGGTGGACGAGCTGCACCGCCGAGTGGTCAGCACGTTCGTCAGCACTGAAGCCGCGCCAGCGGCCGGAGTGGCGGCCGCGGCGCGGCTTCAGCGTACGAGTGCGGCCGCTGGCTGGCGGTCGGACGGCGCCGAGGCCGGCGTGCCGGCCGCCAGCTGGCCACAGTCGGGCGGCCAGATGTCCGAGCCGGCTCAGGCTTGGAGGCAGCAGCAGCGGCAGCACCAACCGCGACAGCAACAACAGCCATCGGTGCAGCTGCCGGAGCAACAGCGGCAGCGACAACAGCAGCAACAGCAGCAGCGACAACAGTGGTCAGTGCAGCCGCCGGGGCAGCCGCCAGGGCGACAGCAACGGCAGCAGCAACATCAGTCGGAGCAGCCGCCACAGCAGCAACAGCAGCTAGAGCAGCAGAAGCGTCGTCGTAAACAGCAGCCCACCCAGTGGCCGCCGCCGGAGCTGAGCCCGACAGACCTAGCAGCGGAGGACAGTGACGACCCATTAGTGGTGTGGAGCTCAGACCCCAGATCACAGCGGACATCTGGGGAGCGGGCGCACCGAGCGGGCGAGCGGCCCCTGCCGTCCGTTAGCCTGTCGGGGTCCAGGCGCGATGATCGTGCAGCGGAAGAGACGGCGCAGGTGAGGGACGCGGGAGATGGGGCGCCGGAGGTGCGTGCGCGTTAGTCGAGCTGTTTTGTCAACTTTAAAAAGGAGTTGGAAGTTTTACGCTTCGGAGCCGCGAAAGAGACGCGTCGTACTGACTTGCGGTCTTGTGCGGTGAGTTTTGCATGTGCCTTACGTAGTGGCAAAAAGCGCACAGCGCTCAGCCACAAACCCCGCTTGTCTGCAACGTGCTTAAAACATGACTTTATTGCAGATAAGTCTTCCGGCACCCAGCGCGGGGAGCGTACCACCAGTGTGCACCGCCTCGCTCGCTACCACCGCGCCGGCCCCGTCCGGGCGGCAGCAGGTCCAGCCGGCTGCCGCCGCCGGCCCAGCGCCAGCTCGGTCAGTCCAGCCGCCTGTCGCCGCCGGCGTGCTGGTTCCGAACGCGTCTTCGTCGTTGTCAGCTTCCATCCCGCCATCAGCTGCGCTGTCGGGTCTGCCGCGCGCCGCCCGAGCCTCCAGTGTGCCGTCGGCTCTGGCGCCGGCCGCTGTCGACGACGGGCAGCAGGACGTGGCGAGTTCGCACGTGCCGGTGCTTACGCCCGGCACCGAGGCGGCGGTACAGGCGCTGCTGGTGGAGCCCGATCGCCTCCAACTGGGCGCGGGTGGCGAGGCCGACGACAGCGACGTGTTCGTCGACAGCAAGGTGCATGTGCTGGAGAACGCGGTGGACGCACAGGCCGTCGCGAACGCGCCGGCTTGCAAGCGCAGGAGGAGCGAAGGGACGAACGTGGCCAGCGTGCGCGCGCGCCCGCGCCCGCTGGTCGTCCTCACGACCCAGCGGACGGGCCGGGAGCGAGGCCGGGGAAGAGGTCGGGGGCGTGGACGAGGCGGCGCCTCCGCCGCGCACCACACTCCCACTCTGCCCCAAGAGCACAGGGCCCTGGTGTCGCCGCCGCCCGCGCTGCCGGCCCTGGATGCGGGCGCGCGCCAGATGGTGATCGTGCACATGCCGGTGCTGGTGTCGGGCGACGTGGCGGCGGAGCATGCGCCGGCGAGCGCGTCCGGTCACAGCCAGCCGGGCTCGAACGACGAGGTGTGGCGCAGCGTGGCGCTGGACTGGGGCACAGACGACGACAATGCTGTGTTCGTCGACAGCAAGGTGGACGTGCTGGAGAACGTGGTGACGACAGAGCCAGCCGCGGTCACCGCCGAGCCCGCCTGGAAGGCTGCGCTCCGGCAGAAGATCCAGAAATCGATGGCCCTGCTGCACGCGCGAGAGGGAGGCGGGGCCGCGGGCGAGCCGACTCGCAAGCGTCGGAGGAGCGAGGAGTCGGGTGTGGGAAGAGCGCGGGCGCGCCTGATGGACACCCTCTCGCGCCAACGGACGGGCGGGGAGCGGGGCTGGGGGCGCGGACGAGGTCGGGGACGCGGACTCGGGCGGGGTCGGGGAAGAGGTCGGGGACGCGGGCGAGGTGGCGCCGCCGCCATACGGCACGGTCCTGATCAATCTCAGCAGCCGAGGGACGCGACAGCCGTCTGGGGGTGCTGCCCGGAGGCGGGCCGAGGACGGCGGGAGGAGGCCGCCGCCCCGGGGCACGGTCCGAACCGAACCGCGGAACGCACGGAGCTGGTCGCCGCCCCCGACCGCCGCGCTGAAGCGGACCGGGTGCGGCGGGAAGTTGGCGCGGTCGCGGACCTGCCCTCGGAGCCGCAGTCCGGCCGGCCGCCGGAGGAGCGCGGTCGCACCCAGAAGCGGCCGCTGAGCCCGGCGCCGCCGCCGCCGCCGCCGCCGCCGCCGCCGCAGCCGCAGCCGCAGCCGCAGCCGCAGCCGCAGCCGCAGCCCCAGCCGCCGGTCTGCCGGCCGCCCTCGCTGCTGCGGGACGACCGCGGCAACAAGGTCAGCCGCGCAGGCGTCAGCGTCGATACGCCGCTGCGTGACCTGCTGAACAGTATGCTGCTGGCCGGCTCGGAGCGCGACGGTGAGCGACTGCGGGGCTCGAGGCTCGGCTCCGGCTCCGTGGTGCGTTGTGGGAGCTGGGCTGTGATGAAGTGGTTACGTTGTTTTGCGTGATGGGTTTGTTCGATGGGTAGGGAAGCTGGCTGTGTGCGCCGCACATCTTGTTCAGGCGGTGTGGAACGGAGGCACAGATGGTGCGTGGTGGACGCGCACGTCTGGGAATAATTGCGCGTCTAGCCTGTGACTGCACCGCCTCTTGCAATGCCGGCTTGGTTCATTTTAGTTTCGATGGAATTATGGATGAATGGCAATTTTACGTTATGGTGCCGGTATTTCCTTGTGCAATTGCCAGCGTTACGCGCCGTGCCCGTAGCCACGGCTACTGGCGCCACGGACCAGCTCATCCCGGACGACTGCGCGCCGCGTGGCCACCGTCACCCGCTGCGCACTGGCACAGAGGTGGAGCTGGTCGCGGAGGAGGCGCCTGAGCCGGACCCGTCGGCAGCGGCCGACCTGCTTCCCGCCGCCCCGCCACTGGTCGCGCTGCCTGCTGAGGCCAGTCCCCTGGCGCCACCGGCGCTGCCACCAGACCAGGGCGCTGCTGCGGCCGGCGGCCGGCCGGCGGAAGGGCGCGACGCCACGCCCGCCCGGCCCTCGCTGATGGATGATCTGGCCGTCTCGGACGATTCCTCGGACTCGGACTCGGTTCCCAGCTCGCAGAACTCGTCCTCGTCGTCCTCGTCGTCCTCCTCCGGTGCCTCGTCCTCGTCCTCCGCTCCCGGTGCCCCATCACCTCCGTCGTCGAGCGTCTCGCCAGCGGTGGGCAGTGCGTCTGGCACCGCGCCGCCTGCCTCGCCGCACGTGGTGCGCCCGATGGACGCGTCTGGCGAGCCGCTGCCCTGGAACCGCACCAACGACCCGCTGGGTATCGGGTTTGCGGCCGAGCTGCTGTACCGGCCGCCGGAGCGCGGGCCGGGCTCCCCCAACGTCAGCTACTGCGTCCTCTGCTGGGACGGCGGCGACCTGGTGCTCTGTGACTACTGCGAACGGGCCTTCCACCGCGACTGCTACGTCGGCGAGGTCGAGGACGACGCGGAGTGAGTTGGCGCGGGTGGGATCGCGACAGCTGGTCAGTGATGGAGCGTATGGTCGGTGGGATGGTGGGGTCCCGTGGTGTGGCGAACGGAGGATCGCCGCGTGGTCGGTGGGATGGTGGGTCCCGTGGTGTGGCGAACGGAGGATCGCCGCGTGGTCGGTGGGATGGTGGGTCTCGTGGTGCGGCGAACGGAGGATCGCCGCGTGGCCGATGGGTAGGTGGGTCCCGTGGTTTGACGAACAGAGGGTTGTCACGTGGTCGGTGGGATGGTGGGTCCCGTGGTGTGGCGAACGGAGGGTTGTCACGTGATCGGTGGGATGGTGGGTCTCGTGGTGTGGCGAACGGAGGATTGTCACATAGTCTGTGGGATGGTGGGTCTCGTGGTGTGGCGAACGGAGGATTGTCACGTGGTCGGTGGGATGGTGGGTCCCGTGGTGTGGCGAACGGAGGATTGTCACGTGGTCGGTGGGATGGTGGGTCCCGTGGTGTGGCGAACGGAGGGTTGTCACGTGATCGGTGGGATGGTGGGTCTCGTGGTGTGGCGAACGGAGGATTGTCACGTGGTCTGTGGGATGGTGGGTCCCGTGGTGTGGCGAACAGAGGATTGTCACGTGGTCTATGGGATGGTGGGTCCCGTGGTGTGGCGAACGGAGGATCGCCGCGTGGTCGGTGGGATGGCGGGTCTCGTGGTGTGGCGAACGGAGGATCGCCGCGTGGTCGGTGGGATGGCGGGTCCCGTGGTGTGGCGAACGGAGGATCGCCGCGTGGTCGGTGGGATGGTGGGTCTCGTGGTGTGGCGAACAGAGGATTGTCACGTGATCGGTGGGATGGTGGGTCCCGTGGTGTGGCGAACGGAGGACTCCCACGTGGCGCTCTGCGGAGCATGAGGAGTTATTGAGGTGGCTGCAGCTGCAGCGGCAGGGCCTGCAGGGCGCAGGGCCCTCCGCCTGGTGAGGCCACCATGTGGGAGCCGCAGCACAGGGCGGTTGTATTCTTTGCCTTCGATGGTCATCTTTTGGACACCGTGTATTCTCGCCAAAGCATGAGCTAATGAGGACATGGGTATGAGCACGAGCATGAGCTCACTGGCCAGGCAACAGGCAGCCTGGTCGCGGCGCCCTGACCCACACTGCGCAGCAAACCCTCGGTGCTGTGCACAGTGGGTTAAAGCACGGCCTTGTCATGTTGTGCAGTGTGCAGCACGTGACCGGTCGGACCAGTAGCGTGCGCAACGCCTTGCTCTGCCGCGTCCCCAGAGGCCAGTGGCGGTGCCTGCTGTGTTCGGAGCCGCCACGGCTGGCCGGGCCGGACCGCCCCCGCCCTGAGCGGCTCCTGGCCTCCGCCGACCTCCTCATGGCACGCCGCCTGCTGCTCGAGCTGTATGCCGCCTATTATCCTTGCCTCTACTTCAGGAGCCGCAGTAACTTGGAGGTGAGTGCGGCCCGCGGGCGTCCGTCCATTTTAGAAAGTTATTCTTGGTGAACGAAGCCATTTGCACGGACATGGGAATGTTAGGATTATTGGGCTTGTCCCCTCCTTTACGCACCTACCTACACGAAGCCTGGATTTTATGGAAATACTGTACAGTTCCTATATTGTGTACACAAGTGGGACTGCGATGTTGGAGCTTTTTTGAACGGTGTCTGACCCGCTCCGCCCATGTACGTTACGTTTGGTTTTAGTGCACGCTCTGGTGTCGTGGGTATATTCCGTACGGTGTTACGCAGCTACTGCCAGAGTGGAGGAAACTCAAGGACCCGATCTGCCTGGACGACATCAAGGAGCGCCTGAGCCATGGGAAATACACCTCACTCATGGACCTCCTCAAGGCGCTGAAGCGTCTGATGGACATGATACGGTCCCTGAAGGTGCGTACTCCAGCTGGGATCGATTCTGTGACGTGTCACCGATAGTTTGCCGGACGGCTGCGCGGCCGCGGCCTCCGCTGGCTCACTGCCCGCCGGCGCCAGGTCACGTGACGGGCGCGGCTGGACCGGACAGCTACCATAACGGAGGGGAAACCGTGCGGTGCGTCCCGGACGGCGGCGTATGCCGGCCGCCAGGGCCCGCCTCCAGGGCCCGCCGCCCGTCCCCAGCTCACCACTACTCCCCGGACAGCGGCGTGTTCCGGTCACCACCGCCCACCTCCAGGGCCCGCCGCCCGTCCCCAGCTCACCACTACTCCCCGGACAGCGGCGTGTTCCGGTCACCACCGCCCACCTCCAGGGCCCGCCGCCCGACTCCAGCTCATGACTACTCCCCGGACAGCGGCGTGTGCCGGCCGCCAGGGCCCAGCTCCAGGGCTCGCCGCCCGACTCCAGCTCATGACTTCTCCCGCGGAAGGCCACGCCGGAAACAGGCGACTCTGCTGCAAACATAGCCAAGACAATTTTAGTGATGTTTAACCCAGTGGCATTTGGCTGCCTAATGTCGTCAAAATGCCTTCAGGAGCAAATTACAGATAACCCGTTTCTTTGTGCCAGAATGGGCTGCGAGTGCGCTGAAGCTGGAACATCAATATGCCGTTTTTGACACATATGCAAGCGCGGAATACCCTGTTTTTGATATTCATAGTTCCACACCTGGACTTAGGACAAAAACTGATGGTTTTTGCTAACGTGAAAGCATGCTAAGGGGGAAGAAAAGTCACTTATGTGTAAGTACCACTGCTGGTAGGATAGCCACTGATTTTGAAAGCCGGGAGCTTAGTGTTTCGTAGTCGCTTCAAGAGCTTGCCAATACGTTGAATAGGATTGTCAAAAAGTGTACAGTAGCCTTGGTAACGAGTAAGTAATTGTGCGTGTACATGCAAGCAAAATGACAAGCTGGCATGGAGCTGGAAATCCTCATAACCTCCAGCTCCGTGGAAAGACGGGCATACGTACCGTTTTTCGTCCCTTGCATCTAACTAAGCATTAGTGGATATGTCATGTGCAACAGACAGATGACAATGACGATTGCTCGTCCGTGCTTCATATGATGCATTTCTGCTTCATCCATCGCCGGCGGCGAGTGCTGGTAAAGCGTGCTTCTCTGGCCACGCCGCTCATGCTGTTCGGCGGCGGGTTGGCGGAGGCGCTAAGCCAACGGTGCTGTGTTGCAGAAGGGGAGCGTCGGGAGGAAGTACCTGAAGGAGCTGGAAGAGGTGTTCGACAGCTTTGTTCGCGACCACATGCACGAGTTCTGGTTACAGTTAGACGAATCATCGTCCCGGTAACCCAGCGTCTTCGGCGTCGGTTGGCGGCACAATGTGTTGTGCGATTCCGTTGCGCCCCGAACGTCGGGGCATTGTCGGTGGTGATTCAAAGTATTCTCCCACGTCCGCTGTTACTTTTGTCCTGTTGTGGTTCTGGGGAGATGCCGAACTGCGTCATTTTATTTTTTTAAGCGTTACAGTCAAGAGATTAAGAGAGAAACCAAAGCTGACAATGTTTATGGTGTAATAATGCCTTTCAGTTGTGTGTGTTTGTGGCATTGTCCGCGAAGCGCACGAGGATACAATGGCGGCTGTGGTTTTTCGGTCGCATATCATGGAATTTATATCAAGGGGGCCAAGTTAAGGTAAACGGTGATGCCAAGCCACTGTTAGGACATGCCATGGGGTCGCTAATTACATATTTGCATGACACATCCTTGATGAAACTTAACATTTTCGTAATATATGCGAATGATTGCTTTATAACATCGTTTAACCAATGCCTTTTGTTGCACTGAAAGTAGTTTTCTGGATAAAAATTGTAACCGCGTTAAGCTTCGTCGCATTGATTCAAATTAGTCAAATGCTTTGTGAAATGGAACCAGATTGCAGTGTGCAAGACCTCCCAACAGTGTTCCTGGCTTTGCGCGTGAATGGTCGATTAGTGAACCTCTGCCGGTAAGCTGATCGATATGAGCGCCAAGGAACGTCTACGTTGCGAAGCTCAGTGGGCGTCACGTGGTGTAATCTAGATTGGCGTGTACCGTGACGTCATTGAGGGAGTCGCTGCTGTAGGCTATCGACTCACACGACTCCGGTCCAATAAAGCGCCGAGCTTCTCCGTCTGCGACTGGCCAAGCCGTGAGGTAATGTAAATATCCGCCTGGTGTCTCAGGAAAAATCAAAGTGATTGCAAGAATAATGTGATGCAAACTCCATTTCCTGTGGAGTTTCGTGAAGCCACCAGCATCGGCATAAACTCCGACACGGGAGAATAATGTGATGCAAACTCCATTTCCTGTGGAGTTTCGTGAAGCCACCAGCATCGGCATAAACTCCGACACGGGAGACGGGTGTGTGTCTGACAGCTTCTCCGAGAGTTGGCGCCTTCAGGGTGTCACGGAGAGCATCACCGAGACCGTCGGCGTCTTCCGGGACGTGAGCGGTGGCAGGTCTCCCGCACATACACTGGTAACCATCTGCACCGCGCACGCGACCCCGGCCGTCGAGACGCCCCGAACCCGACGACCTCAATCATCTGTGCCACATCGGCCACAGCCGCCGACTTGTAGAGTAGCTATTCGCATTCTCTCGAGTCGGTGGCTGGAGCGGACTAGGCTGAGCTCGTCAGGGATCTGGAGCGGGGCGGTGGGTCTCATGGGGCGGCACGCCGCACCGGCGGGGCGTTAGCATACAATGGCAGAGCGCGGCGGTGTCCCGAGGCGCCGCGCGTCGGGCCAGCGGTGGCGGCCGGAGGGCAGCGCGGCCGGCTGTCTGAGCGCGGCGCGCGCGGCAGGTGGCGGCCGGTTCGTCCTGATGATGTTGGCTTGTGCTTCCCTGCCGTCTGGCTCGGCTTGCGCCGGGATGAGAAACAGAAGTGTCTGAGGAGAATAGAAAGCATTTCGTTGTCTTAGCGCGCCCGGTCGGGCAGCTGACGTCTGGCCGTTCACAAGTGACCATTCGGCCTTTGGACTTACCGGCTTTATATGCCATAACCGCTTCACTGGCCGCCTCGCCATGTGCGACCTTTAGGCTTCAGCCACATTCATGAGTATCCGTGTAGGTCAGGCCTGTTGCACTTCATCACATGTACTCCGGTCGCCGGCTGTGTGGTCCCTGGCATTTGGCCGTGTCACCTGCTGTCATGCTGGCAGTGCGGTAGGCGGGCATCCGGTGACGAGTCGGAGATCGACGCCGTATTTACCATTGTACGCGTTTCGTTATTACGAGAGACGCCAGTGGCCATGTCAGTCGTGCGTCAAATGACTCGCCGCAGATCAACGGCGAGAAGACGCGTCGGGAGTCTGCTAAATATGTGTGCCTTGCTCGTCGGTGGGTATGCACTTCCTCGCACACTTCACACCGAACAGTGGCTGGCATGTGGACCAGCCGAACCCGAGCTGCCCAGCTGGGTGGTCACACATTCGGATGGGGGGTCGCACGCTGTCGTCACTGTATCGCAATAAGCCGGTCACAACCACGAAGGTGACATCCCGCTCGTCGGAGCACGACCCGGAGGGGTGCGACCGCACAGGCTGGGCAGGCTATGTCTGTGCATGCGACGGTGTCGCGACCGCGAGCCGGCTGCTGCCCGCGCATACTGGCGACGACGGTATGCCGGCCGCTGTCCGCGCATGTCGGCAGCGCGAAGAGACTGCGGCGATCCGGGGCGGGCGGGGGGCGGGGAGCGAGCGGATGGCGCCGCAGTTCAGGTGCGCCAGTCCGCCGGGCCGGACCTTCAGAGGCGGGGCTGCCGACGGAACGGCAGGGCACGCACCACTCAGCGCCGCGGCGGCTGCGGACCTCGCCAGACCAGACCAGACCAGACCAGACGGGACCAGGTCGCAGGCAGGTCCGCCACTTCACTCCAGCTCACCGCGCGACATCGCAGTGCGACTCACGCTGGGTCACCGCGCCCAGCGAGACGCGCCCCGCGGCCGGCCGCCTCCGTCGGCGGCTGCCACGCCTCCCCGGCCGAGCAGCTCCACGCAGGTCAAGGTGCCGCCGTCACTTCGCCTGACCGCACGGAGGTCAACCGAGCCGTTCCGGTCACAGCGGAAGTCATCTGACGACCGGCAGCGGCGCGAGCTGCCGCCATGACTGCCCAGGTGAGTACGATGTCCGTCTGGTTGCGTGCGGCGGCGGCTTCTTCGCAGCGGGAGATCCCTGCTGCTGTTTAGGACGGCGAGGTGAAAACAGACGAGCGCTACTCTCATGCAGGTGTCACCAAAACATGGGCGAATGCTGGTGGCCTTTGGGAACCCGTACAGTAAGTTCTTAGCAATGTTTTGAAATGTCTTTCCTCCATGAGCAAAGCAGGCAGACATTCGCATCACAACTTTTCCACGTCAAATTCACTAGCACTGGTACAAATCGACCGGCACTAGGCTGTCAATTTTATTTTTGCGTTTTGATATGCGAGTTTTTGGTGACTGACAGAAGTATTGACAAAATAGCAGTTCTTTTGGTGGGTATTAACAAAATTAATTATATGTCGGTGTCGTTTTCAGGGCACAAGCGCTGAGTCTAGATCGTACACCCCGGACCGGGTCCAAAAAAACGATATTGGCTGATTCCCAGGCGATTACTGGCGCCTTGATGAGTCAGACAGTGTGAGCCCTATTGCGAGGTAACTGAACGTTCACTAGTCGGTCGGTTTCATGTCCGTGTTTCTTCTAGTTGCCGAATTTTCACACTAGTTCTGTCAATAGTTTTCGCTGGAGTGCACATGAACGGTAGTTCCCATCGTGCCACAATACAATTATGCTCTCGCGCGTCCGTGCACTCTTGTATTTGCTCATTTTCCCCAATGTTTTTTTTTTCTACAATGAGCCCTCAACGACGGCACGAAATCACATCGAGATGCCTTAAACGAAAAAGAGGTTATAAAAACAACAAGCACAGCCCTGATGGCATGCTATATGTCTGACAAAGCTCGGGTCAGGAGTGAGGACAATCCATATTTGCCAGTAATGTAAAACAGTGGATCACAATATAATTTTAATAAACGTAGATGTCCTGGTGCATTATAATAGCAGTGATGAACGCACAGACAAGCCTGCCAATGATCTTGAATTTTATCTGGCCTAATCGGGACCATGATAAATCAGTACATGCATTCCTAAGCAGACGAGGGCATTTCCAGTCGAATCACGGTTTTGAATTGGGGGGGGGGGCTCTTACCCTGATTCATTTGTACAGGCAGGCACTACACAACCGTGGCGACCCTCCTACCAACGAAGGCGGATTGTGTGTAGTGCTACGGCTGGCAGACGCCGCACAACCGTGGCGACCCTCCTACCAACGAAGGCGGACTGTGTGTAGTACTACGACTGGCAGGCACTACACAACCGTGGCGACCATCCTACCAACGAAGGCGGATTGTGTGTAGTGCTACGGCTGGCAGGCACCACAACCGTGGCGACCCTCCTACTAACGAAGGCGGATTATGTGTAGTACTACGGCTGGCAGGCACTACACAACCGTGGCGACCCTCCTTCTAACGAAGGCGGATTATGTGTAGTACTACGGCTGGCAGGCACCACACGACCGTGGCGACCCTCCTTCTAACGAAGGCGGATTGTGTGTAGTACTGCGGCTGGCAGGCACCACACAACCGTGGCGACCCTCCTACTAACGAAGGCGGATTGTGTGTGGTACTACGGCTGCCACAGCGTCGTGAACTGGACAGCCGAAACTCGCCGCATCTGCGTTAGTGCGTTTCGCGCTGACCGGTCGCACTGCGGTCCGGTTGGGCGTGAGCTCTTCAGGCAACTATCCTGCTTCCTGCTGCTTTCAGCAGAGGACACCTTGCACCCAGGCGTCCTGCTGTGTCAACGTGTCAATTGACGCAGCACGACAGCGGTAGCCAGTGCGAGCCGGTATGATGGACCGCATGGCAATTACGCCGACATCGACCCACACCAGCATCACTTATTCCCGGGAACACTCATGCAAAATATTAATTACTGAATTCCTCCAGCACTCGCAGCTAGACCCAAGAACGGCCGGACCGGGTTGGTTTATGAACAATCCGAGTCCCTCTAAAATGATACGCAGCAAAAAAACTCAGGTATAGCCCTGCACAGGTCAAATCAGGCTGGCTGAGCGCATGGGGACGGGTGGCCCGTGTGCGCTGGCCCAGCCAGCGTGTCCAGTGTCCACCCCCGCCCGATCGATGGGCTCGCACGTGGCCGGGTGTACACTGTCCGCCCGCACCTGGCTGCCGGTGTATGGATTGGTGCAGGTGGACGCCAGAGGGGTCCCTCCCCGGCAGTCGCGTCGCGCGGGGGAGCGGTGATCCCTGTCGGCCGGGCGTTCTGGCCCGGGTCCGGCGAACGGGCGACGGCGTCCGCGCAGCGGCGGTCCTCGCCTCGTCAACTGCGGTCGGTGGCGAGCGCGGCCACGGCGAGAGCTGTCTGTCTGTTCAAGGCGGGGTGTGCAGTGAGCAGCCGTTCATTGATCAGTGACAGCCTTGACGAACTTAGCGGAGCGTGCCTTGGGGCACGACCGACCGCCGCACACAGCGCTGCGGGGGGAGAAGAGAGGCGGGCCCCGAAGACGAGGAGGGGGTGCTGGGATGCCGCGCTGTGGCAGCTCCGACACGTGCAAGGTCTACGACCGGAAGTGCATGACATCCGAAGAGCCCGCGGTCCTGACTCGGTTCAGGACGACGCACTGGGTATGTATGCCTCCTCACTCGGCGCATGTCAACACAGCAAGCGCTTCCACCAATAGCCTCTGGCATTGCATTCACGCAGCAGGGGGTGGGTGCACTCCTGATTCGGTACGCAGCGATGCGTCAAGTGTCTTTGTTGGCCGCATCTGCGCCTATTTACTCGGCTCTCAGCAACGCATTGGAGGGTCACATGAGGTTTTAGCGTGTCTTGCCGCTCAAAGAAACGACGCCAGCGGTGGCGACTTCTGCTCAAGGTCATTCAAACAACAAGACCAAAACCAGCTGCCGCTCCGGCTCCGGTTCCACGGGTCAGGCTAAGTTTCGCGCAGATTCGAGATGGGGAATATTGCTGGAAGAAATTTCACCGCCATGAAAGCGGTGGCCAGCTCTAGTAAGCATGGTGCAGCATGAACCAGCAGCCCCGCGGAAATTACGGGCGTCTTAAAACTGTCAATGCCCGAAATTTATGAGTTTTAATCTTGAGAATCGCTGTTTATATCAATGACGGGAGCTTTAGCGATAAGTTTTGCAGTGGTCCCACTGCGGTGCAGCCTGTTTGATCCACAGATACGAAAAGTGTGTCCTTGCTACATGTCAAAACACGACGACTTTGGCCTGCATATCGCTGTCGGGCCGATATCAACCATCACAATAACATCGCTGTCCGACGAACGTGAACTTACCTCGCAGATCGTCACAAAGGATGAAATAGCGGGAGTACGACTTACGTCAGAATACATCACGCCCGAAATGTTTCAGAGGTCCACTGAGACCTTCACATCACATTAACACGCGCTCGGGTGGCGGTCACTTTGACCCCCAAAGTTTTCCCCAGCGTGGTTCAGAACGGCGCGGAGCAGCCGCGCCAAATTTTCCATACCTGTAGACAATTGAATAGTGGATCGCTTGGCAGCAGGTATTTGGATGTACCTTTATGGTCGCTGATCAACAGCAGGTCGAAGTCAGGTCATGGGTTCAGCGAAGTCAATTTCTGGGAATTGTTTAATCTGATGCAACAACAGAGTGCTAGACAAAGCCACACATCTCTGAGATGGTTTCTTTAGTAACACAACAATTGATTGGACAAATTCCATTGACCTAGCGTCAGGTATGAAGGTCAGACCAAGGTCAAAACAGCTCACTTTATTACCTTAGAGCTTGCTGTAATGGGTAGTTCTGGTGCTCATTTCGAATTCATTGATAACAGAAACCGCATTATACATCTATCATGAATTTTTCAAAGATCAGAATAGGTCACTGATCTAAAATGATCCAGATCAGCATTTCGTTTTTAGGAACATATTGCAAGCGTAATCTTTGACGCCTATTCAAGCGCAAGACTCAGACAAATCTATATTATTTCAGTCACCGTGACCTTATAGAGATCAGATAAGGTCATTTACCTTTATCTCACATCAGTGACCTTTTTTCTAAAGCAGGTATCTAGGTTCTGGGGGCCCTTTGGACACCAACCTCGAGTTCGACCTTGTTTGATCTAATTTAACCCAAAGATCGTGACTTAGGAACCTCAAATTTTGGCACAAGTGACTTCACGTACGCCAACGCGCCCCGTGCGCTTGGTGTCTCTAGCTCTCTTAGTTTCTGAGACCTCGGGGGCAAATCGCCCCCCCCCCCGAGCAAAGGGTATCTAACCGGCCATCCGGGAGCGTGTTAGCAGTAAATCCAAATCATTCGGTATGAAAAAGGCTCGGGGACGTAGCGAATATATTATTACAGTGTTATAGATAACTTTTAATTGATGCGACGATGAAACAATGTGCATAGGTGCGATTAAACCGCGTTTCTTTCGGATTGAGATGCACAAGACCGAAAATTTAGGCGTTTAAATTGTTCCTACCACTAAAATTGGTTCACGTGGGACAAGACCAAATGTGACCATGGAATCACTGCTGCAGTTTAAAGAGGCTTATGATGTTATCCGTGACCATTTTCATGCTGGGGAGCCCTGTTCTCATGTTCCAGAGGCGTGTTCGTTACCAAATGGCGGCTTTCTGACGGCATATGGGTGACGTCAGTGGCGTGTCGACAGGAGACCGTGCTGGCCATGCCGCTCTAGAGGCTGCGTGGGCCTCAGCTGGAGGCTACTGGGTCTTTTTTCCTGCCGTGAAACTTAAGGATTTCAACACAGAGGGGTTAAAACTGTCAGGAAGCTGGCATACCAAGCTGGGCCGTGAGAATGTTCAGGCAGCTCTGTTTGTCTGTCTGTCTTTTTGTCCGTCTATCTGTCAATCGAATAGACAGACAGATTAGACAGGCATTGAAAGGCCGGACACACAGACCTGGATATTAATGGTCAGAGGCATGACATCACGAGATAAACACCCGCTTTTACGGGGATAGGAAGGGAGGGGGGTAATATGACCAGACGTTCATCACCTTTCGTGCGTATGTGATGGATCCGCCCGTTTGGGGTGTTTTTAGTGATCGGTGTAAAACATCGGCAATCAGACCGGCGAGGGGCGTAAAAACAGGCACACGGTGTGTGCAAATGAACTGATCTCAGCGTTTTCCGGCCCATCAGTGCACTAGTGATGATCGGGAAATGACCAGCGCCGCCTTTTTTGAGAGTGACTCCAAACGACCTCCAAACGACCTCCAAATCGTTTCTGTTTGGGACGTGAACGCCCCACTCAGTAACGCAGCTCGCACAGTATGCTCCGCAGACATCAGCAGGCTGCACCCGTAAGCCGCACCATAAACAATATGACCGCCATAAAGCCGATTCAGCGGGAGTACCATCACCTGTTGATACGCTGCCGCCTGTTGCCGATAATGAGAGCGCATGCAGGCGCTGTGGCCATGCTGAGATGGTGACTTATCGCAGGGCACCCAGCCGGTAAATCGGTATTAAAACAGTATTTGGCCCTTGAAATATTTTGTTCGTAGCATTTAGCCCTTGGAGTAGCTTTTACAACTTGATGTACTTACCATCTTCGCATTCAGGGGTTTTGGAGACAGTGTTATGCATGGCTGCTTAGTGCATACCGATGCGCGTACACCTGCGCGCATGTTTAGCTAAGCACGCCAGCATCGTTCTTTATGGGAGTGCCAGTTCATTTGCGCAAACCGCCCAACTCCTCTCAACACAGCGGCCCCGAGGGTACAAGGTCAGGTGCGAGGAAGACTGTGTGAGGGTCTATGGGCGTGAAAACGCGTGTGATAGACTGTGCCCTGACAGACGCCTGCAGACGGACTTTAACCCGTGGCGCTGCCACGGATACAGGGAGTCAACAAGGAATAAGTGTCGCAATAAAGGAGGCGCACGGGCTTTCGAAATGACAGGTAAACCAGGCGTCGCGGTTGATACAGTTAGTTTACAGCGATGTCAGAGCCAGTGGGCGTGCGAGCTTTTAAACTGACAGCCCCCTGTCATAACAGGTATTTCAATTAATACAGTTGGCTTACAGAGGTACCAAAGCCACCTGAATGTTCAAGTAATCAACCAAATTATCAATTATCAACACTAGATGGCCAGCATTGCACGATACGCAGTTTAAAGATATTGGGCTTACGCTTATATGGCCTGAACTGAGGAGCATTTGGTGCTGGTTACCTGCACTCGTGTTCCTGGGAGATGACCAAGTTACGTTTTTGTCATTTTATGTTACGTTTCATGTCTTGCTCTGGGCCTAAAATGACACGTGCTACATTGCTCGACTCATGAATTGCACCCAACAACGCGTGACCAGCAGCACAAAAGGACACGTTGCGTTAGGCCGATACAATGGCGCGTGGTTCTTTCAGTCGAATCGGTTGCCGAATATATTTACGTACATCTAAATATCCGCCGTGCGGATGTGTGCTGTACACAACATATGACGGAAGTTATCCGACTTAACCGTGCTCTGGACTCGACAGCACATGGCCAGCTGCATACCATAATGCAAATGGCTGTAATTTGAATGGCCTCTTGCTGTTTCAGCACATTCTTGCCGTATGCGGACTGGTGTGCACAAATGTCCGCCGGTACAAACTCGCGACTTCAATATCAGTGCGTAGTCAGTAGCAGGCCGGCAGAAGGGCACGATAGTTTGCGCCAGAGACTAGAGTAAATTCTACACTGATGGCGCTCGGGGCGACTACAACAAGAGCAAAGTAAGCTGCACAGACATGTTTGAAGCATATTGTTCACCGCGGGCTGGGATTTACGTTGTGTCAATTTCATGGAGCCGGATCCCACGATTTAGACGCCAGCATGTTGCATTGGAGATGGTATTTGAAAGCACGCAGGAATGGTCGCATTCCGGTGGATCGCTGGCATCGTTATGATACTGAGGAAGCTCGGCTGTTTTTTTTTTCGTAGACGGCACGCTCATGCGTGCACTTATACGGTGCAGTCGGTCTCCGTCGTTTTCCCTCCGGGTCACCGAGAACTGATATCGATCCCCAAACCGCTCCGAAACTGTGGAATGTTGTGTTTGCACGCGAATGGACGTGTGTGAGTGCAGCCATCGATTCGCACTTTTACCTTTAAGATTGCCCATTATTTCCGCGTCGAGATGTATGTATCGCGTTTGGACTCATTTAAACAGTGAAAGTGGCCAAAACTACCTTCAAAATACGGCAACAAACGGGTTTTGCTCCAGACTGGGCCCACTTCCTTCTTGCGGCGGCACCCGAAACCAGAGTTAAGGGGGGAGGGGGCATAGCTGGAGCTCCCAACTGGAAAGAAAAGTACACCCTGGTCTACGTCGCAGTCGCATGGAACATACGCGATATGAGACTTAAACATTAAACAATCTAACTGCCTCATTCGGGGCTGTAAATCCAGCCGCACACAAGGACGCATATCAGCGGCAGCACAGTTTGAGTGCTAATGCCTCTATCTGTTGACGAATGAATGGTATAACACACCCTATGAAATCACTGAAGTTAACAACCACCATAAATTTTGTTTAACCGACAAAGGAATGTGGGATAAAACTCGCTTGGTGACAATTGCAATGCAATCTGTATTTTTTGCAACGATTGTGGTGCATAACACACACCATAATATCTGCGTAGCATTCGGTCCCATCGAAGGCTCGCAAAAATCTGTGATGTCAGAGGGGCAGAAGTCGCCCTGCTAATCGTAGCAGATTTGCACCACACGTCAATTTTTATGGGCTCTTTTCTCGATGCTGACATCCAATACTCACGCTCTAAGTAAAGATCTGTGCTCAGCGATATACAATAAGCTACAAAGCGCAGTATAAATCGTTCTGACAAAATGTGCAGAGCAGAGAGCGCTGCTGTGTTGTTTTTCTTGCACTCAAAGTCCGTTCGACTATGGAACAGCTTATTATCAAATTTCCGCGTCACAGACTTCACAGCAGAGGCTGGAGGCCAACAGCTAACATACTCTCACATCCCACGGAGCGCTTCCCCTCGGAGGGGAAACGACGCCAGTGGGTGGGATGAACCTGACGTCCCCGCTATCACGGCACAAGGGAAGCGCTTCCACCTCGGAGGGGTAACGACGCCAGTGGGTGGGATGAACCTGACGTCCCCGGCATCCCAGCACAAGGGAAGCGCTTCCACCTCGGAGGGGAAACGACGCTAATGGGTGGGATGAACCTGTCGCCACTGGCATCCCAGCACAAGGGAACGCGGCGACCGAATGAGCCAGCTGGACGAGTTGCATGAGGACGTGATGACATGAGGACGTGACCTGTTGTAAGGAGGTTCACCGAGGTGACCCTCGATGAACCTCGATCTCAAACTGCGGCGCTCTTAGCGCGCACTGATTGACACGAACGCCGCGTTTCCTTCCCAGCTGTCGCAGGACGTGGGAGAAGCGAACGGGAAGCCAGTCCCGATAGGGTCTGTGTCGGAGCAAGTTGATGGAGGACAGAAAAAGGCCCTGGAAGACCAGGAAAAGGTTGGTAGCTCGTGCGGAGCATTTCTGATATTTTAACATTAACGTTGGAAACAAAGGGGCCAATGTCTGCATGCACCTGTTGACGTATGGTCACAATAAATAACTCATGATTTCTGAAGGCAGTGGCACACATCAAAACACAAGACTGGAAGAACTTACCATGCGTAAGCTTGAACTGGTCCAGTGTCGATTCTCTCCAAATGAACGAAAAAATACTGCTTTTTTGCTCGTTGGGTCAAAGCAAAGTTTTAAAAAGTCAGCTGACTTCCACTTTGAAGTGAACGGTTACGGTGTGCATACCTCAAGTGGCAGCAAAACTCTCGGCGTCATAGTTGACCCCATTCTGTCATGGTGTTCCCATGTCTAAAGTGTCGTGAAAAACATGGAATGGCATCCTCGTTTCTCTGAACAAATTCCGTCATTACTCTACATCAGATCTTCTTAGAATCATCATTCAGGCGTACGTGTTCCCTCACGTCACGTACTACCTTGCGTATGTGGTAGGGCGGCTAAGAATTAACTACACAAAATTCAAAATGTTTTCAACTTAATTGCTGCAAAAATGATTACCGGCTCCAAAAGGCACCACCATATCGCCCCGGCCCTAAATTCCCTTGAATGGCCGAGGGTGGAGGTCATGGTGACGCACCGCGGCGTGATTAAAGTGTTAAGGGCGCTGAAGGAGGTAGGCGCGCCTCACGAGGTCTGCGCACTTTTTGTGCCACGCGCCGCATTTCAACCCGTGAAACGCGCGCGTCGGACAGAAGTAGTTGGCGCTTGCGCAGACACGGGCTAGCCGCAATACCGAGGGCATTTTGCACCGAGGCGCGGCTGCCTGAACCCGCCTGCCATCTTACGCCCATAATGCCTCAACACCGAATACGTTTAAGACCGCCATACATGGTGTAGTTTTTGACCACTGACCACTGAACGCTGCCCAATGCGCACCGACCGATTTGTCTCAGCTCTTTGACCATTGCTCGTATAACTTTATTGTACCATTTATCACTGCCGGTGTCATTTTATTGGTGCACCTGTTGTGGGTGTGCCTATTTACGCTGCACCTGTATGCGACTTGAAAATTGCTTCGACCTGAGATTGTAATAGCTACCACGTGGATGGGTTCCAATATCCTGTCACTGATTCTGGTACCGATACGATCCTAACCCGGCGTTGACCGGACTCCTCAGCGGCACACCATTGGCCGGAGGAGGCAGATTTGTCCCCCCCCCCCCTGCCCTGCCCTTCACGCCCGGGCCGAATTCAAAATTTTAAATCGCAACCGATAGCGCCGTGGCGTGCGACCTCGAACCACACAACAAACTTGATTTTAAGCGTGTTTTAAGGTCACAGGTCAAGGTCAACTTCTTAAAATGTAATTCTGGAATATCTGACCGTTCTCACAACGCGTTTCATGTGGAAGCGCTTCTGATGGCGTGAAGTCATTGCGGCCCGGTCAGACATGTCATAAAGAAAGGTACGTAATGTTGCGCGTGCAGCACCAGGCCTAAAGCCAAAGGCACGCGCTTTGCAATTGAGAACTGAAACCTTGGTGTATATATCTGTTTTGGCCTACTTATTTCCGTCGCATATAAAACGTCTAGACGCGATGACGAAGACCTTAGCCACACTTATGGGTGTCAGACGCGTGAGCAATAGCGGCTACTTGTTCATAAACTGTCCAAGGCCGAGGTCAGATGGATGACCTCGGTGTTGAAAAAGCTGTTGCATCGATTTCGTGTTGTGTCCGATTGTTCAGGCCGGCCGACAGCGCAGCCTGATGGCCTTGAACCTCTCACAGTCACGCGGTCGTTACTTTACGTGTGAAACTGATCAACGGCTTCCGCCGCCCCGTCGCCGCGCCCCTGCGGCAGACCTGAGCCCCGCCGCCCTCCGCCGTGGGCCGGGCACCTGGGCAGGGCGGCGTGCGCAGTGATACATTTCAAGCCTTAACTCAGCTATTTCTTCAGATGATTGCTTGAAACTTGGTGCAGACTTCCCTCTTAGTCGCAACTATGATACGCGTTTCAGTGATCAAAATTTTGAGTCTGAGACAAAAGAATACTGAGTGTACTTTTTGTCAATATTTTGGTTATTTGACGTGCCAATATCTCAAGGTGCAATACTCAAACAACACAACAAGGTATATGCATGGTGGATCGGTTCGCTCACATTTACCGTTCACAGATGTAAAATATGCTTTTTCACTTGGCTTCTGTGTCAGTTTGTCTCCAATCATGCGCTTTTGTGGAAAACAACTTGGTAAACATGACGTCATCCTGACGTCGCTTACGCTTGATTGCTTATGTTCTCATAGTTGTTATTTTGGCACAAGGCGAAGAGCTCGTTAGTTGACAGCCACTGAAAATTTCGCGGCGATATCTCAAGGCGTTTTGAATAATCGCGGATATCAGACGGGGGCATATTTGATTTCTCCCTGCGGTCAGTGCCGAATTAATGCAGAGTTACACGTATTATTTCTGTAACGAAGCGTATGACCTCCAAGGGCCGATACAAGCCATAGGGGTGTAGCTGATGTTCTGTGGAGAACATCAACTTCATGTTCTTGAAACGTATCCATCTTTTCCAACCATATTTTTTCTTGTGCTATGCACTCATGACTCATGCACTTTTATCATGCCATGCACTTGTGCTAAACACTCATGCTATGTTTTGGCTGCGCCGCAGCGAGCCATGAAAAAGGGTGACCTTCGAGCGCAGTTACTTCGCTTAGTTTTTCTCATGCTCGTGGACCATGCGATAATTCCGAGTGTTGGAGATGCAAAGGTCATTTGATCTCCCCTTAGCGCGTCTGTCTGTGTAAATGGCATCAAGCAAGCAGTTTCAAGCGCCCCTGAAGATCTCCTCACACTGGGACTGTCTCATGTACTGACGACTCCACCCATCCACCTATTGGATTGGAAGCTAGCCTGTGACACCTAGGCTTATCTCAATGGAGCGCGTGGTGCCGATGCATGAGGATGCAAAATCTCCATCCCCTTTATGTAAGAACACGGCGGGCACTACACACCACCCCAGAGAACCGGCGCTGCCTGAGGTGGCAGGCACCCCACACCAACCCGGAATACCCGCCCTGACCGAGGCCGCGCAGCTGCTGCTCTCAGCGCCGCTTCCTCAGTGGCCGCGCGACAGAGGGCGCTGACCAGCGACCGACCGCGCGGCAGGCGAGCCAGGAGGACCAGGAGCGGGACCAATGGAGCAGCCCGATCGAGTTCCTGCTGTCCTGCGTCGCGATGTCGGTCGGCCTCGGCAACGTCTGGCGCTTCCCCTTCACCGCTTACGAGAACGGTGGCGGCGCCTTCCTCATTCCGTACGTCGTTGTGCTGCTCCTCATCGGTGAGTGAAAGGTGAAGTACGTCACGTCGTCCGCGAGACCCAGTTCACACTGCTGAGTCTGAGGCCACCGCCACCGGCCACCTTTGTCCTTAGTCGGACAAAGGCCCCTGGACGGATGTCATGCTTTTGATCTCTCTGAACCTCCTTCTCCGCACGGGCGTGGCTCAGCAATAGTCTGAACAGGTTTCCGGGACTCTGACCTCACAAAATAAAACTATCCTATCTGGAACGCTCATTGAAGCGCCGCACACAAGGGTACCAAGCCGATGTAAAATGACAACGTAAGATTACGTACCGTTGCAACATGAGTCTGCGTTGTCAATGAATTGTAATTAGTGTAAGGCTGATTTTAGCACGCGGCTTAAGGCCTTTCCGTGCTGCAGGCAAACCGCTGTACTACATGGAGCTGGCCATGGGGCAGTTCTCGTCGTTCGGCTGTGTGCGAGTTTGGAATGTCGTGCCCGCCGCCAGAGGTAAGGCTCAACAGCGTACACCGCTCGCTCGGCCACGAAATAGGTCTACACCATTAGTTGTTTTGAGTGTCTCGCCGTCACATCTGCCTACCAAAACAAAACAAAAAACTGCTCACTTCCTGGCACTTGTTCGCTTACAAACTGTGCACTATGAGTCATGAATTCCCGTCTGTAAGCTAGAAGCCTTTATCCCAAGCACGTCCGTCAGTTGTCAGTAGTTTCTAGTCCGCTCGCCAGATACCACTGGTGTGCCCGGCGGGCCCAGTTTGGTCACCAGCTATCTATTCTCAGTCCTGGCCGACAGGTGTCATGCACAGCTTGTGCAACAGGCATCTGCTGTCCACCCCGCCCACCAGGTGTGGGTTATGGTGACGCAGATCTGCGCTAGGTGTGGTGCGCTGCGCCGCGTCTGTCCTCCACATGCGATGCTCCGTGGACACCTCTGTCTGCCGAGTGTGGGGTACAGTACCACGTCTGCTCGCCAGGTGTGGTGCACTGTTTCGCGCCTCTCCCCTACGTGTGGTGTACCGTGGACTCCTCTGACAGGTACGGGGCACAGTACCCCCTCTGCCCGCCAGGCGTGGTTTACCGTGTCTGCCCGCCAGGTGTGGTTTACCGTGTCTGCCCGCCAGGTGTGGTTTACCGTGTCTGCCCGCCAGGTGTGGTGTACAGCACCCCGTCTGCCCGCCAGGTGCGGTGTACTGTGTCTGCCCGCCAGGTGCGGTGTACTGTGTCTGCCCGCCAGGTGTGGTGTACCGTGTCTGCCCGCCAGGTGTGGTGTACAGCACCCCGTCTGCCCGCCAGGTGTCGGGTACGGTCAGATGATCGGCACGGCGTCGGTCGTCTCCTACTACGTCGCCCTGATGGCGCTGACCGTGTTCTACTTCGTGGCGTCGTTCTCCTCCGTGCTTCCGTGGACCGTGTGCGACCCGAGCTGGGCGGACATGACTCGCTGCGTCGACCCCACCACCAACATCTCGCTGCTCAACCACACGCACGGCGACGACAACCTGATCGGCTCCACCGAGATGTACTTCCAGTGAGTGACACCGGGCCCGTCAAAGTCGGATGGCGTAGGCAGTGCTTGGCATTACTGAAAACCATCGACGCAGCGATGTCCTGAGCTTGTGATAACGTTCTAATAGCGGCGACCAGAGCGTACAAACTGCTGGAGTTGGCTAGAAGATAACATACGACGCGATGTCGAGGCCAATGGCCACATGTCCCAGGACACGGCGGACGGCGATAACTCAAGATATCCCTTCGCCAGGAGGAACGTGCTGAACGAGCTGCCCGACATCGACGGCGGGATTGGCCTGCCCGAGTGGCGGCTGACACTCTGCCTGTTCGCCTCCTGGGTCATCCTCTTCCTCACGCTTGTCAAAGGCGTCCAGAGCTCCGGCAAGGTCGCCTACTTCACAGGTGGGAGCGGGCTTCTTCGGGATGACGTTGTTGCGTGAAAGGCGCGTTTGTCTTCCACTTCGCGACATCGGACGATAGGGGGTCGTGATATTTTGTGTAGCTGTCTACACAGCGCTTCTCAAGCACTGCCAAGCACGGTTAGCGATGTTGCAGTAAAAACAATGACGCATGCAATGCTCGGTCACACAGGATACGCAGATCACGCAGACCACGCAGACCCCGCCATCCTGTGACCAAGGAAACTTCACTCGCCACAGACCCCTCCATCCTGTGACCAGGTGAGCTCCACTTACCATAGACCCCTCCATCCTGTGACCAGGAGAGCTCCACTCACCACAGACACCTCCATCCTGTGACCAGGGGAATTCTACCCACTGCAGACCCCTCCATCCTGTGACCAGGGGAGCTCCACTCACCACAGACCCCCTCCATGCTGTGACCAAGGGAGCTCCACCTACCACAGATCCCTCCATCCTGTGATCAGTGGAGCTCGACTCACGTGACTGGGCGGAAGGTGGGCCTTCTCGCCGCCGCACAAGGTCAGCCTGGCTCGGTGGTAACCCGTGTCATGTGTGTGGTGGCAGCGCTGTTCCCGTACGTGGTGCTGATCACTCTGTTGGTGCGGGGCCTGACGCTGCCCGGCGCCATGGACGGCGTGCTCTTCTACCTGAAGCCGCAGTGGCACGAGCTGCTGAATCTCAAGGTCGGTGACACAGAGTCGGCCCCTTCTTCATCACATCCATGTAGACTTGGCACGATTGTCAAGCCGGCAGCATGATTGCTGAGATCATTGCATTTGTGCTCCATACCGCTGGAAAGATTAATGCACAGGAATCCCTATACAAGCCCGTTCTGAACACGTGACAACAGTAAAAAGACAGCTCATGCTGTTTCGGTACCTGATCTTCGGCTGGCTACATGCAGTACAGAAAATCAGGCTGCGGGTGACCCATAATTCCAAAAAAAAAAAACTAAGGACAAGTGGTTCTCTCCCTAGGGTCTCTATTTCCAGCGCTACTGACGCGCTACGTACATCAGATCACTTAGCTGGAAGCAGTTCAGATCCACAACCATTGTTTGGCTACGGGACACGTGCCTGTCCCCCTTTTCAGGTGTGGTACGCTGCGGTGACGCAGTGCTTCTTCTCGCTCTCCACCGGCTTCGGGTGCCTGGTGATGTTCTCCAGTTATAACGGCTTCCGTCACCCGGTGGCTAGGTGAGCTTTCAAAACGCGCAGACGAACGGTGGCAGGTGCGGGTGCTCTAAAGGCCGATTTGTGACGGTGGGCTTCCATTTGTGGCGGTGGGGTTTCACGAAATTCATGGGTTACTGCACGATAAATGCGGTGTTGAAGACTCAGCGATGACGCCAACTGATCTGTCCTTTAAGGCAAATCTACGTTCATTTGTGTTTGTATTTGCTATGGGAGTCCGTCGCTGGACGGGGATTACAGCGGTTGCGTCCACTGGAGGGGATAACAGTGGTCCCATTCTGACGAAGGCACTGGCCGGCAAAGTGGGACCAGTTGCATGTTTGATTCCGAACACAGCTAATGGTCTCTTACTTCGACGGCAGCACCATGCTAAAGCTCCCTTCATCCCCAGGGATGCGACGATCATCAGCATCACTGACATGATGACCTCCTTCCTGGCTGGCTTCACCATCTTCTCCATCCTGGGAAACCTGGCGCACGAGCTGGACACCACCGTCGATGACGTCATCAAGGGTGGCGGCACGTCGCTGGCCTTCATCTCGTACCCGCAGGCGCTGGCCAACTTCCCCGGAGTGCCGCAGGTCAGCGCTGGTGACGCTCGGCTTCATTGCTGCCAGACGCGGACGCCCAGGTCGTACCCCGGGCGCCGGACCACGCTCGGGCCACGCTGCCGAAATGTCGAGGTGGTGACAGTGGAGCGCTGTGCCTTGCGAGCGTGTCTCCAGAGCTGCCGTTGGCAACTAAGTGCTCTCACAGATTTAGGCGTCGTTTTGCGGCCGGGAGTCGGTGCACCTGGCTGAGTACAGTTGAGACTTAATCCAGCTCGTTGAAAATAAAGTCCGTACTTGTTTGGCCATGCACTTGTTGCATTCCGTGAGACCATCATCTATAAATGCCGTTCAAGCTGTTGCAGTGGGACAGAGGTCCATGTACTTCTCACATTTGTCTTCCAGCTGTGCGCTGCGATGTACAGCCGCAGCTTAGACAGCACATCATAGACTAGCCACGCTTCCTTCATCCCTCCCGGTGGTCATTCGCAACGCTGTTCTCACGTTGCTCACATTGCCTCCCCTTCCCGCACAGCTGTTCGCGGTGCTGTTCTTCCTCATGCTGTTCACACTCGGCGTGGGCTCGGCCACGGCGCTAACGGGCTGCGTCATCACCATCGTCTGCGACCAGTTCCCCAGCTGGGCGCGCTGGAAGGTCTCGGCCGCCATCTGCGCGGCCGGCTTCCTCATCGGACTCGTCTACGTCACGCCGGTGAGCGTCCCGAGCTCGCTGTGAGCTGCAGTCGGATGCGGTGAGCGCCCCGAGCTCGCTGTGAGCTGCAGTCGGACGCGGTGAACGCACGAGCTCGCGTGGGTTACGGTGGAAGACAATGGAACCTTAAGCTTCAGCAAACGAACCGCACCGTTACTTTCAGGGCGGGCAGTTCATCCTGAACCTGGTGGACAACTTCGGCGGAGGCTTCATCATCTTCGTGCTGGCCACGGTAGAGGTAGTCGCCATCAACTGGGTGTACGGCGTCCGCAAGTTCTGCGACGACCTCGAGTTCATGATCAAGACCCGGCCGAACATCTACTGGAAGTTCTGCTGGAGCATTTTCATCCCGATCGCCCTGCTCGGTATCTTCGCCTACTCCATTATCAAGATGGAGCCGCTGCGTTACGGGAAGGTCGAATATCCGCCCATCGCCATCAGTGAGTGGATGGATATGCCAGAGATAAAACAGTGTTTCTCCCACGTGATTCATGTTGCTTTCATGGCATGCCAAATAAATAACAGGCATTGTGCATGGGGGGGGGGGGGGGCTAAATCTGTCCCACGGTGACTCAGAAATCACGCGATCAGGTAGACGTGTCATGCTATCTTGCGTTATGTCTCCTTAGTAAGGTACTCTGCCGTGCATGTTTTCTGGCGCTGGTCCGAGCGCCTGACACCACCACTGTCCGCAGCTTGCGGCTGGATCCTGACGGGATCCGCCATGCTGCCCATACCGCTGTGTTTTCTGGCGTTAGTCCGAGCGCCTGACACCACCACTGTCCACAGCTTGCGGCTGGATCCTGACGGGAGCCGCCATGCTGCCCATACCGCTGTGTTTTCTGGCGTTAGTCCCAGCCCTTGACATCACCACTCTCCACAGCTTGCGGCTGGATCCTGACGGGAGCCGCCATGCTGCCCATACCGCTGTGTTTCCTGTATGCGCTATACCAGAGCCCTGAGAAGGGACTGATCAACGTGAGTACTTACCGGTGATGTGACCTCACCTCAGTGATGTGACCTCACCCCAGTGATGTGACCCGGGACAATATGACCACGTCTTAATTGGCGCTCTCACTCGTAAGCGAATGCTCGGAAACGCGCATGGGTGGCCGCTTGTTTTTATCAAGCACCGCTTTACGTACGTAATAAATTTAAGAAGCTTCAGTAACCATTACACGCATTCATGCCAAATGGATGGAAAAATACACGATTGTGTCCAATTACAGCTGGTGACGATTGCCATATTAGATTTGTACCTTAACTGCCAAACCCACATCTAGCATGACCACCGCCATGTTGACCGGCGTGTCCTAAAGCTCAGAGTCCCGGCTTAAATGACGCAATATGGTCGTTAGCAGTGTTATTGTACGCACTCCACCCGCCATGGGGAGCGGCGGCTCGCGAGCGCCCATTGACGCTGCCTCCTGCCGGCAGAAAATCCGCCACTCGTTCAGCCCGAACCGGCAGTGGGGCCCAATGCGCTCGGGCGACCGGCAGCAGTGGCTGCTGGCCACCGGCCGCGAGGCGCAGCTCGAGGGCACGCAGGCCAACCTCAACGCCGCCTTCGTGGCCAGCAGCACCGCGCTCGACGGCGCCGGCACCGGCGACGGGCCCGGGGCCGAGCAGGAGCAGCGCACCAAGCTCTAGGGTCGGCATCCCGCTCAAACCGCCGCGTGTCTGGGTCAGGGGGGTCAGGGGATCTGCTGCCGGCGCCAGGCGGCGGAGATGAGCCGCCGATGTCGAAACGGAGGGTGGCTGGCATTTTGGTAGAGTCAGATGACCTTCGCGAGGGTGGTAGTTACGGAAGATAACGAAGGGTGTGCTATTCATATTGTGGTCGTTTTTGTCACGTGATCCGAGGTGGTCGTGAATGGGCGAAGTCATTCATAAGTCATTCGCCGCGCATTGCGCTGTGGAGGCGTTGTTTGGGAGGCTACATCACTGGCATAGCTGCCTCTGTTTGCGATGCCGACTGTGAGCGGTGCGATGCGTATCTTTTAGCATTACATTTGACCAACGTAGGGAGCCTACAACACTAGTAGCAGAGTAAGCGGAACAACAGACGAAGCCATTGCACGTATAGCACGTACTGGCGCCCGGCACCTTTCATACCGTTTGACTTCCCAACGACCAGAATCATGGTGATGCAATTCTATAAAACTAATCACACTAGATGTTTTCCCAACATTGATAACTTACTGCATCCCAACCATCAGAAGTTATTGTGTTTTACGCAGCAGGCGCCGTACGGGTATGTAGCCGGTTTCTTCAACCATCAGCTACGCCGCGTACGCATCGACCAAAAGGTAACAGAAGGATACTCTTTCGAGATGCAACCAGGATCACCAGCCCCAACCCGTCGAATAAGAGCTATGACATGGAGCAGCTGTAATAATGCCACCTTAAAAATAACTCGTGACAGTGCCTCGTTACTGATGCAGTGCATACGTTGTGGTACCATTTTCCACACAATAGTTCACAGGCAACAGCGGGTCCTTGAAATCTACGAATTCAATTTTGCAATGCATGATCTGGATGTAAGCCTGATTGTAACCGACTCTGTGCACTGATCACACCAGAGATCAAATGGACCTTAACACTGGATCCCTTGGGACCTTTACGGCACTTTTAATATGGCCGCCAAAAATAGTGAAGTGTAGCGCCGAGTAGCATAAACTGCGCTCCGTTCTGTGCAGTATAATGTGGTAATCCTACATTCGCTTACTGTTGGATGTTGTTTGAAGGGGTGTTTGAGATACCGCAACGTTTTTTTTTTTTACCTCCGTGTCTAGTACAGCCATTGTAAATGCCGATCCAATCCTGTATATAGAGCACATTCCGTCCAACCAATGTTAATACAGTATATAAACTGAGGCAGGGGTGTAGTTTCCTATTCATTTCGGGGCGGGTGGTCCAGCCCCCTCCCCAACTTTGGCCCAGCCCTCCAACTTTTAGAAGAAAGTGGGCCAAATCCGAGAGAAACCCGTTTGTTGGTGTATTTCAAGGGTGGGTTGTGTCATTTTTACTGTTCTGCCGCCCCCCCCCCCCCCTCCCCCCCCCACCCTCACCACCGAAACTTTTTCTACGAAACTACACCCTTGATCTGAGGTGCGAGTCCTCAAGGATTGTGTACATTGTCTGATGAAAGGCATTTTCAAAGCACATGTAAATGGCAGGTCTCGTCCTGGCACACTTAGATAAGTGGCGTAAGCAGAAATCCAATGTTTGATCATGTAAGTTACGTCATACCATGCACCTAGTTGGTTGCTTAGAACACAGCGTGAGGTGCGTATTCCTCATCCCCTAACCCACCCAAAGATACCTGCTGTCATGCTTGCTGACACTTAATATCATCCTTGCTGACACTTAATGTCATGCTGCAGTAGCTTGTACTTCAAATATACTGCGTGCACCCAGTCACACGTTCTTCCTCACGTTCAACACGCACAGCATCTTCCTCAGGTACTGTGGAGCGAATGAAGCGTTGCGTCATCCGTGCACAGCATGCCTGTCACTACCCGCTCGGTCTAAACGCACCGCGCACGCCTGAATTTCTTGAATGAACGCCTTGATTAAATGTGTCTTACTAGTCCGGAACAAATGACTTACCGCACCACCCAGCTGGGTGCATCCCCAGCGATAACACAGCAGTCAACCAGGTACGTGCAGCTTAGAGTCACCCTGAAAAACACGGATGGTTGTATCGTACAATCCGTGCAGCAGGTTCATTCGGTACCTGTTGTTTGTTTAGCAGCGCGGTGATCAAACCCCTTGCTGGAAACGTGCGAAGTGACGAAACAAAGTGAAGGTGGTGCGGCGCTGTGAGCGGAGCTGTTTCAGACGAGCAGGTCTGTCCGAACACGCCCGTTCGCCGCGATCCATCCGTCTTCTACGACCGACGGCTGACCGATCCCGACAGCAGGTGCGCTTTGTCAGAACATCAGAAAAGCATATTGTCGTTGTCAGGCACCCGGGCATAGTATAGCGTTCGTTTAACACGCGTGACTGTCGGCAGGCGTTGAATACATGACCACCCTGTATGTCCGAGTTATATGCCAGCTTATATTGCGGTCAGGAGCCCTCCTGGTCATGCCACAGAAGCTCTGTCACAATGCAGGCACATGCATACGTCGCGGCCGTTAAGACGAGTCTAGCTCGTATCATCAACGCGAATCCCTCGTCACACGCCAGCAATATGCGTCTGCATTATGCGCTATATTTGGTAAGCAGTCATGTGGTCAAACACTGAAATGGCGCCTTGGTCACTCCGGACATCACTGATACGCAGCATTTGCGTAATATGGCCAGTCTGTTACACCTGACGCTTGACAGCCAATGCCAACCGGACATAACCTTCTACGCTCCTGCTCGCCAGGGCCACCGACCGCCACGACAACGAAACAGCGCGTATTGCAGCTGACAACTCAGTTGTGCCAGGTGGAGCGCCAGTCTCCTTTGACTTGCGACGGCGGCAGGCACTTTGGTGCGGCTTTGGTGCGGATGATCCATCGGCCGCAACGGCCCGGCCGGTCCGGTGGGAAGGCCGGGGCCGGGTCAGCGCTCCCCAGCGTGACTAGACTCCAGTGAGCCACCCATCATGTCGGGCAGGTCACGGCCACGTCAGTGACGTCACAGACGAGCCTCGCGCCAGGAGCGAGCGCATCAGTCGCGGGCGCGGCGCTGATAGCAGAGTCCAGGAGCGGATCCAGGATTTGGAACAAATCGAAGTCTGATGCCTCCATTCCTAGCGTCCAACAAACCCCCTATTGCCAACGTCATTACGCATCTGCTTTGGAAAAGTACAGCTCCAAATAACTGCAAGTCCAGCAGTTCCAACTGTAACACCTCACCTTCCCTACAAGATAAAAGCTCCTTGCCAACACCTCGACTGGGATACGGCCAAAACCAACACCCGATAACCAAGCGAGTACAGGCCACACCCCTCACCACCAGGGACGGCGGGGACCGCCGGGACAACAGGGATGGCAGGGACGGTAAGGACAGTAAGGACGGCAGGGATGGCAGGGACGGCAGAGATGGCAGGACGGCGGGGATGTGATGTAGCAGTATCAAAGTTACTGCGTTGAACGTACTTTTGAAAACAACTCTTGACTTTGCGGTTCACAGGAACTGTTCATCGCACAAATCAGTTTTGCTAAGCTAAGCAATTACCCGTTCCGGTAAGCCCAATCTCAAAGGAACAAGTCAGACCGACATTCGCAATATACAGCGCGCTCAATCCACGCACGCACGCACGCACGCACGCACACACGCACGCACGCACACACGCACGCACGCACGCACGCACGCACGCACGCACGCACGCACGCACCCACCCACCCACACCTACGTCCACACTCACACACAAAACCGAAATCTATAGCTCCAGCGTTTGCTGGTGCAGCACCTGTGATAAAGGATTGCCCACGCGGCTCCGTCCACGTTCCGCCGCAGTGGGGGACATCTCTAATGGCACGCACTTCTCACGCACACAGGTACACGACATCCAGCACGAAAGACGGCGACGCGCTCCCTCGGACTAGCTGAATGCACAAATGGACCAATCACAGGCGAGGGGCGCGCGAGCAATCCGGCCCGCTACGAGGCGTCCGGGTCTGGCGGGGGCGGCTCGGCCGGTGCCGGCGCGTCCGAGCCCGGCGGGGGCGGCTCGGCCGGCGCCGGCGCGTCCCCGTCTCGCGGCGCCCCCGCCCACCTCCCGGCCGCGATGCTGAGGAAGATCAGCAGGCCGACGTAGCGGTTGGAGCGGAACTTGTCGCCGCAGTCGGAGGCGTCGTAGATGTTCAGCGTCCGCACCTGGCCGCGCAGGGGCGTGTGTGAAGAGCGGGAGGCGGATGGGGCGAGATCGCACTGAGCCTGCTCCGCACTGTACTGAACAGGTCAGGACCGAGATGAACGGGCTAACGCACACGCTGGGACTAATGAAACGGCCGACAGGACGACGAGGTTCCTCCGGGGCAAACGGGACTCAGCTGAATAACGCGAGACCTGCACAGAACACGCTGGGGCTGTCAACACGTTCGCCTGTGTTTCCGACGCGATCCATGTACTAGAGCAGGCCCCAAATGGCACGAGACATTGAATTTGGGGCTTTCCTTCCTTCCAACAACCTACAACTCGGGGCTTCGCTTCCTTCCCCCAGCTCACAATTCGGGCCTTCGCTTCCTTCCCCCAATTTACAATCGGTTAAACTGCATTTTAAACTGGACGAACGGGTCATCGGTCCGGCCCTACAAACGTCGAAATACGACATCCAGGCAATCTACCGATTGAGTAAAAATATGAAATTTATTAAAATTGATTATGAAACACCTCAGACCCACCACGAATATGACTCAGACGGGCCCAACGGACAGAGTTCACGTATTTGCAAGATATGGACGGGCAGATATCAGGGCATTACACTGGCAGGGTCAATGGACTACTGACCACACATCCTTTACACGTATGCGTATGTATGAGCAGCGGTGACATTCATCTCGTAGGAAGAGCAAAGACAGAAAAGAGAACAACAAAATCCGATGCGAGAGTTGGCGTGATTTTCGTAAAGAGTAGAAACTGATACATAGGCGTAGGCACAGGAGGGAGAGGGGGGGGGGAAGTGGACGCACGGCACCCTTACTTTTCACGAATATTAAACATTCACCCTTTGGAGACACATGGAAGAAATCGGCTTTATAATTGGCTTTGACAGGCTGCCTTTCTCAGACATTCCTTCATCTATGCGCATGCGACGCTGCCCCAACATTCCCAACCGCACCATGGCTTGGCGTATGTCATGTGGGTTGACATCAGTCCAAAGAAGCCCGGCCGGTTCCAGTACCGACCTGGTTTGTCACGTGCAGCCCGACGGCCGTCAAGCCGAGGTAGTAGGGCCAGGTCTGGCCGGCCGCCACGCCCGCCGCCGCCAGGCAGGTCATCATGGCGCCGCCGAAGCCCGCCAGCCAGGTGGGCGTGCTGTCACCGAACCGCAGCGCCGTCGACTTCATGCCCAGCACCAGGTCGTCCGACTTGTCCTGCGGGGGCGCAGGGAGGCTCAGCGCGAGCGGCTGGACACGACAGACGCGTTGGCTCCATCGGCGGACAGTGAGCAGGACACAGATGCGTGATCGTTTTGCACGTGTCTGTAGGCCGTCCGTTCAGGATGCCGCGATTTAATCCCTATTTTCCTTTTGTGGCACATGAGCTTAGCTGGACTGATCTTGAACTGGGATCAGCATGGGCAGGTTTTCACACCTTAGCCCTTTTCTCTACCACCAAAGCCACACGCCAGTTCTTCAGCACGGCATCGCCCCGGCCGGTGACGCGATCTCCGCAGACCACGGCAGGTTCGCCTGTTTGTACGGCGGCTCACAAGGCGACAGAGCAATCGGTGACCCGGCACGAACGATGTCCGAATTGACCTCGCTACCTGACGGCCGCCTCGGCAGCGAGGCAGCGCGTAGCGCCAGCACTTCCCGATCGTTCCGCTCCTGGTCCCGCACCATCCGACGCGCCCACCTGATGCGCATAGATGGTGTCGTAGACGATGGTCCAGCAGACGCCGGCGGCGTAGAGCGGCAGCGCGGCCGGCCAGTTCACGACGCCCTGTGCCGACGCCCAGGCCATGAGCACGCCCCAGTTGAAGGTGAGGCCGAGCACCAGCTGCGGCCAGTGCGTGACGCGCTTCATCAGCGGGTACAGCAGCACCAGCGACAGCGAGGACACGCCCAGCAGCACCGATGGCCAGTTGAGCTGCAGCAGCAGCAGCGCACCAACCGACAGCTGAGCCGAGAGGAACACCAGCGCGTCCAGCACCGACACGCGCCCGCTGGTGATCGGGCGGCTGCGCGTCCGCTCCACCTGCACCGGCCGGCACGACCAGGTTAGCCACGGCACGCGCGCCCCGTGGCCGGGCGTCCAAGGGCACTGGAGGCTTCAAAAGGACGTGAACTGGCCTACGCGAGCACATCGGCATTGTATTAAGGAGAAATGAGTGACCAGCAGACGACATGACAACCAGGCACAGGTCACTTGAAGATATAGACATTGATAGACAAATTTCATATATATATATATATATATATATATATATATATTATATACATCAAGAAGTAGTGTTCAATCTGAGACATAAATGTCACATTTTTACAGGGATTGCACTGAAGTACTGCTGCCTACCATAAGTAATCAATCACCCAGGCTATATATGACATAATGGCTTTCATCACTTGTCACAGTTCACTTAAAAAGCACAGGGAGGCATGACATCCAGCAACCATTTCCCCTATTCTGGTCGCTGCTGTTGTAAGGCTCACAGGAACCTTGCAGCCCGCAATCTGTGGGTATCCATGAGTCGTACGGATGGTACGGCATTACTAACGACAACCCACAGAACTCGTCAGCGGGCACCTCGCATGACCCCACGCAGTCAGCCTGTGAGTACATGCTGGGATGGGTCCATCCATACTCCACACCTTGTGGTCGATGTCCCTGTCCCACATATCGTTGATGGTGCAGCCAGCACCGCGCATCACGAAGGCCCCGGTCGCGTAGATGGCCAGCAGGGTGGGGTCGGGCAGGCAGCCGGGAGGTGCCGCCTGCGCCAGGCCCCAGCCGCACGGCCAGAACAGCAGCCACGAGCCTGCCGAACGCATTGCACCGGTATGTTAGCCGCGCACAAGTAACTTAATCCAGACAGCGGAAACGATAATAACAACAGAACTAGCCAACATCGTATGAGAATAGCATCGCGTGCAAACAGATACGGAAGGGGCCATGTACCGAACAGCTATTCCCCATGGCGTTCAGCAAACTTCACCTATGAAGCAAACAATATAAGCCTTTGCCCGGGATGGCCACCCACCTAACAAATTCACGGAGAAGTTCACCGAACCATACTTCATATTAACAATCATCTGCGCTTTTGAGCACGGCGACTGCCTAACGCGGGGCGAGCATCCATCGGCCCCAATCGGCCACCAGCGGAGCGGCTCCGCCGCCGCCGCCGCCGCCGGAGCAGCCAGCCACCACCGGAGCGGCTCCACCGTCGCCGTCGCCGCCGGAGCAGCCAGCCACCACCGGAGCGGCTCCACCGCCGTCGCCGCCGCCGGAGCAGCCAGCCACCACCGGAGCGGCTCCACCGCCGCCGCCGCTGCCGGAGCAGCCAGCCACCACCGGAGCGGCTCCGCCGCCGTCGCCGCCGCCAGAGCAGGCGGCCTCCTCTTACCGATGGGTCGGTCGACGCGCATCAGCTGCATGTAGGGCCGGAGCGGGGCCGGCGCGGCGGCCACCAGCCGCTGGGCGGCCGAGGCGTGCTGCGGCGCCGCCGGCTGCAGTTCGTCCCGCGAGTCGGCCGGCGCGCTGAGGCGGCGCGCCGCGCGACGCAGACCACACAGTTGGCAGCCAGCCAGCGGCGCCGGCCGCGGCCGCAGCAGGCGGCGCGCGCAGCTCAGCAGCATCTGGTGCGCGCACTGGGGCTGCAAGGGCAAACACACCTGTTATGATGTGACAGCAGAAGAAGGAGAATGCCATAGGTGACTAGTTGGCAGTGCATCATGATGTCCAACCAAAGTGGATTGTCATTGTATATAATGATATGTACCAATTCCAGTTCCAAGAGAACATTCCTGCCTGCTAATGTCCTTGCCAGCTCCTGGGATAGGCTAAGTGCAGGGGTTTACTTATGTGGACATAGATGAAATGACCACAAAACAATATAAAACTGTTGGTGTAAAGACAAAGCAGAATTTAGTGAGGAGGGTGTAGGGTTTTTTAGCTACCAGAAGAGCATATCATATTCAGACAATTTTAAATCAAAAATGGTCCACTCATGATCTACTCATGGTCTATGCATGCATGCAGTGCACAGTCAGGCTTTGTACTGCGCAGTGAGTCCTGAACATGCCCTTTTGTTCCACGGAGTTATTCCTAGCACTGAGCAGGGTACCATTCTTCACCTGTGATATTTCTGGACAAGTTTGGTGAGTTTATTGCAAAGACGAAATATTTGGAAAGGTGAAAGGACAGTGTTTAAATAACCACATTACCTGAATGTGTCCAGTTACCACTGGAATAAAATAATTCTTCAAGCTTAATGGGCAACAGAACAATGCATTTTGTATGACCCATGCAGGCATTAAACAGCCACCTATACTTGCTCCACATCCACCCATCAACACTTTTCTTCTTGGGCAAACTTGGCAACTTTGGTGATAATAAACCTATAAAAACCTACCTTAAATCTGTGAATGTCCATCACCTCCTGCTAGTTTGCAAAAAAAAAATCATCCACCATACCTGATACCTAAGTGACATATATGGGCTCACCCTCCTGCATGCATGCATTGATAATAGCTCCAGCCATGTTAAGCTGAAATTTTGGATTATGTCATCAGGAAAGACATGTTTGCAAGTAAAATGAAAAACCTTTTGTTGAAATTATGAAAGCAGTATTAAACCCTTTGAGACACAGGCTTTTCATATGCTGAAAACAGTCATCCCAGGCACAAAACTCAAGGTGCTACCTTTACAGTACACATGTGGCATAACTGTTGCAGGATCTTACCACCACACCAAACATGTTAAGTGTAGTTCACATACTTCCACATTCTGGACCCCTTATCCATGAGATTAGCATGACAGCCAGCATCTCATGTTTCATTGGGGGTAGATTTGCATCACAGGAAAATATCCACAGGATGCAAACAGACATCTCTAAGGAAAAATCAGTGGGGCAAGGGATTAAGTTTCATGAAATGTGTCATGAAACAGTGAAAAAGCCCCAACCTTACCCCCAAATGTGCCAAGAAGCATGCTTCCCTCAACCTTGGCTCATTTCATCTTAAAGATGGGGTGAGCCTCAAGCCCAAGTTTGGCAGGAGGGGTTTAGGCCCGCAACTGAAAAGGAAACTATGCCCTTGAATCTTCGCTTACGACTGACCCAAACACATTTATACTAAGCTGCATGCCGCAAAAAGCATGGCAAACCACGCACACCCATTCGGGCATTGGTGTATTTAGTGGTGTTAAATAACCGAGACATAACGCACTGTGTACATTGGGCAGCTCACCTTTCTGAGCAAGAAGCTCAGTTCACAGTTAAAGATCTTTGCCCACAGTCACGATCCCTTCCTCAACGGCTATGTCAAATGCCAAGTTCCTTATCTAACACAACTCACTCAACGTGATTTGCATACTCGTTTTGCTGCAGACCATGTTCGTCACAAGAAAGCCGATCATGTCTACACAAAAACCTGGCAAGCAGCTGATACAATAAACTGGTATACCTTCCTACTGTACTTGTTTTGGTGTCCTCCGAGTGTAGAAATATTCGTTGGTCTTTTATGGCGAAAATTTTTTGAGAAAAAAAATTGGGAAACGGACTTTAATGAGCCGATATAACGTTGAAAAACATTTTTTCAAAAGTGAACGTTTCTCAAAATAATTGTATATTCTCTTCCGTTAGCAGGAATATACTAGTTAATAGCCCAACTAACTCTCTCCGTCTCGGCTTGCTGAGCGCGGTGAGTGCTGTGTGGAGTTGTGGTGCTGTGTAAGATATTTTGCCGTTGCAGAGAACCAGATTGATTTGTCGAACAACAGGTCGTCACTGAATTGATATGGCCGGTGACTCAACGCTGGTTCCAGCAACCGCAGTGCTTCTGTGTCGCTAAAATTAGCCGGGAAAGGTCGCCCTTTGTTCGCTACTGTGGCAACGCTCCCGTCGGCGGAGAGCGTGTCGACGGAGCTCTATCATGTCGACGGAGCGCCTGACGTCCAGTCGGAGAGGGGACAGTGGGAGCGTCGGCACGTCGTCCATCAACGCTCGGGATATCAGTGGAAGCACTAGTCAACTTGTGCAGAGCGTCAACTCCACACCAACAGACTATGATTTTGGAGACTGGTTAACAGGTTTGGAGATGAACGGGCGCATTTCACCAGCAAGAAGGTTCTTCTGCCTCCTAGTGACGTTTGATGTGCTATTGTGCACACTCTTCTGGCTAGTTTGTGTAGTTTTGAGTGGGGAGAATGTGTTCACGGAACTTAAGGAACAAATTGTCCACTACTCAGTTGAAACATCTCTTTTTGATGTTGTTTCTGCAAGTTTAACTCGATTTATGCTTCTTATACTGATGTATGCTGTAATTAGGATTGATCACTGGTGGATGATTGCTCTGACCACGGCTGCAACAAGTGTAGGCTGTCTTCTGAAGATCTTGTATTTCAAGTGGGATGCATCATCATCAAACACATTCCAGGTTACCCTGATAACCTCCTTCTTCATAGTTGGCTGGCTGGAAGTGTGGTTGTATGACCACAGAGTGATACCTCAGGAAGCAAGGGCCAGGCTTCTTATCCAAAGAAGATATGGTAGTGCAACACAGCAAACTCCACTGGTAGATCCAGCTCAGCAGCGAGTTAGAGACTACCTTTCAACATGCACTGGAAGTGTGGCAAATTTCTACTCTCCAATGGGTACACCTGAGGGTTCTGATGATGAAGATGAAGAGGGAGGTACTGCTGGCAAACCCCGTGCTGCCCTCACTGAGGAGCTACGGGCACTTAGGCAACAAGCAGAGGAGAACTGTCGCCAGGCTTTAGACCTGCTGAACTCCTCTGACTGGAAGCAGGAAGAGAATATTGTCAATGATGACTACATCTTTTCCAGAAGGCATGCTGGTCACACGCAGTTCATGTTCACATGCACAGTCGCCTGCCCGACTGACATATTTGCCAATGAGGTGATCCACAACTGCAACCACTGCCCTGAGTGGAACAAGTCCATCACGGTTTGCCGACAGCTGCAGCGCGTGGACGCGCAGTGCGAGGTGCGCTACCAGCAGACGGGCCCTTTCCTCGGCGGTGTCATCTCCCCCCGCGACTTCGTCAACCTGCGCCTGGCCGGCCGCAAGGGCCTCATGTTCTTCAGCGCCGTCGTGTCGATCGACCACCGCGACGACCCGCGCGACTCGCGGCTCGTGCGCGCCGTCAACCGGCCCACCATCGTGACGGTGCGGCCGTGCGTGCACCGGCCGCGCCACTGCGTCGTCGAGTGGCTCATGAACTTCGACTGCCGCGTCGGCATGGTGCCCAAGCGCATGACCGACCGCGGCACGCGCCAGGCGGCCGTGAACCTGCACTCGTTCCTCTGCGAGCTGGGCACGCGGCTGTCGGCGGCAGAAGTGTGATGACGCCCACCGGCGCGTCCCGCGCGGGCGTGTGCTCGGGCGCGTATTCGTGCACTAGCGACAGGCGCCTGTTCACATTACCATGTGATGTGTATGACGGGTGAGGCTGGGGCAGCGTCGACTTCCCGCCGTCTTGCGGTGCTGGTCGATGCGTCGCCGTCGCTGTCGTGGTCCGGCTTATTGGCGAGAACGCCGGAGGACGGTGTCCACTCTGCGCAGTCCCAGGCTGCGGTAAGAAAGGTGTGGTCGATGGGAGTTTTGAACCGCTGCCCGTATGAGGGGAACCCGGTTTCCAGTGTTTTGATGCTGTGATGGAGATGCTTTCAGGTAGCTTTTAATAATGTTAGCCTGGCCGTAGGACCGCGGGTGTGACGCATATACAGCAACATCCCGCTGGCACCCAAGCATTGATCTTATGTGCTTTGACGTATTTTTCTTGTACACATATTTGTATGTCCATCTTCGTTATATCAGGTGTCCACATGAACTGGAATAAAGTATTTAAACGAATGTATCCTTGGTCGATCCATTTGTTTGTGGTGATATGTGAACGCTCGTGGGATGGCTGATACCCGCCCGCATGAAGATGTAATGAGGTGTGGCTGGTGGAGCGCTTCGGGTGCGCGGATCTCCATGTAGATGTAATGAGGTGTGGCTGGTGGAGCGCTTTGGGTGCGCGGATCTCCAAGGCTCCCTTTCAACACGGGCCCGAACGTGCCATCTGAGGCAACCTCAGTTTGACTTGACTGAGCTAAAGATCTTGTCAATAAAGGGGAGCTGACTGACCTCATTTGTAACCAAGGCCGACGACCGCGCACGTACCCTGCTTGGCACGGGCAGAGCGCGCGCGACGAGGCCAGACGGTCGGGCGTGTCCCGGCCCGGTGTTTATCCGAAGGTGCAGACGGGATCTGACCCAGACGTCCCCAGTCCCATAATCGGGGCGAATAATGACGCGGTGTGACCTGACACGAGATGAAATCGCTGGGTGGTTGGGATTTGCACGTGCCGAGCGTGTATGTGACTCAAGACGGGGTAACCTCTTGGAAAAGCAGCAGAAAGAGCGTGAACTTGGACACGGATAGCCGTGATCAAGCTTGTCCTGGTGTTTGGGAAAGAATGGACGCTTCTGGTCAATAAGATAATGGTGGGGACCGCAGCACTGAAAACTCAACTCATTCTTTGGCATTCAGGTGTCTCGTCGAAATGTGCGCGACTCTTAACAGCGACGCAGTGAAGGAAGCGTGGATTCCCCGTTATGCACTTCCTGTTCACACGCCAGAGGCCGCCACTCAGTGGTACAGAGATCGGGCAGAGTAGATATGAGGCCAGTGACCTTCCGACTTGGGTAAAGCAACATTCGACCACCCGACTCCGAGGAAAAAAGCAGCGCAAGCCTGCTGCTTTTTTCGGTTAAAACACGTCTAACCCGGGTTACCTTCTCACTTGCATAAGTTTCAGCGCACCCGACGGTCGTTTTTAAGCCACAATCCCTAGATTTAACCTGGCCTCATACTTGACTCAGTGCTGCGATCGTGCCCAAGGCACTACCCGACCTCGTTTGTTCATTGAGGTGTGACCTTTGCAGCCGGCCTGAATCAACACGCTTTGCCGTTGACTTCTTAAAATCCTGGTCTCTTACTAGATTTACAACCCACTTAAACATTAGTTTCACTATGAACCACATTTGTTTTGGTGGCTCATCAATGTTTCAAGGCGTTGCTTGCCGCGCACATCCACAGGCGTAATTTCCTATGCATACGAAACTGGGAGGGACGCATTCCATCCCGTCTTCCAAAACACACCAACTGCGGTGGACGTCATGTATCTACTCAAACACTTTTTAAGTTCATGTCAAAAAAGCTGTTCCGCTGTCAAGCAACAGCGTTTCTGCTATCTATGCCACGGCGCTCAGCATCCGGTGTTACGGGGGAGTTGCGTGAGCACTGTGAGCACTTACGGCATTGATTGGACACTGGTATCATTGGCTGGTCTGTATTATTTGCCTGACGCACCACGCTGAGACCAGCCGCTGACCCCGAGACACGGCGAGGGGTCCGTACAATATCAGCAGATCTCGACCGATGAGGCTCAGATGAGGTCCATGACGCATGCTCCAACATCACATCCACCCGTCCACCAGCGAATTGTTTTGCTTATAAGCACTAAAAATGTCCTGTTGGCTTCATAGGTCGCCCTCACTCGGGTCAGCTACTAGGAAGGCGACTGCGTGATGCGCCAACTTCTGTCGTAAACAGGACACCATACCGCTGGATTCTACTGCTTACTGAAGGTGAGCTGTGATCAAACTATGTAGACTAAATCACTAGGTATTTGTCTGTATCCGGGCCGTGCTTGTCCCCTGCAGTCGACCTTGTAGATGGCAGAAGTTCCGATGGCATGGTCGAATCGAATCCCTTGAACACTGTAGTGGGTCTAGGCCGAAGATAAACGAGCCTTGGCGGCTTGAATCAGTGATGGCTCCGCTAACCTGCATGCAAGGAAACGAATATTGTTATCAGAATTGTTCTCACACGCATGGTAAATAGGGCAAAGAAAGCATTCTGCTCGTAATACGAAATACCCCTATGTCAAATGCTGCCTTCTATGTTCCTCCTATCTCGGTGTGTCGAAGGAATGTGCTCCGCCGCAACGTACTCCATCGGAACAAATTCCGGATGGAGACATATCCTTGAGTCGGAATCTGAGTCAACTCAAAATAGTTGCGTCATTCGGGGCCCGGGTGGGAGTTAACTCCACGTGCGGAGTCGGAGCTGGGACAGGTTTTACATCAGCGGAATTAAATGCAATTCCCACTGCAACCCCAATGAACATCTTAACCGCTGCCATTACATAAGTAGCATGTTCTACAAAGGCAGCACAGCGGTGGTCTCTCTGTGCGCAAAATGACCATGGCAGTCGACGCGCCCGAAAACACCAATAAACAACAAAAACAGTGGTCTCTTCCACTCATCATCCAATTTATCACATCCGCACCAAAGATAGCCGATTGATCAGCGCGCTTGAGGCTGATTTCAGCTGCGCAGCTCTTGAGGCTGCGTTGTTGCGCTGCACGTGTCACGATGCCCGGCGGCATCGGCTGCCGCGGGGGCCGGTATCTCCCGGGGACGGGGTCCACACGGCGGCCGTTGCCCGGCGGCCAGGCCGGTGTTTACCGCCGGCGGCCCGGCCCGCTGACGGGAGGACCCGACCCGTCGCCGCCGCGACCCGAACCGGAGCGCTCGCCGCCCGCTCCGCCGCCGCTGCCGGAGCGGAGCGCTCGCCGCCCGCTCCGCCGCCGCGACCCGAACCAGAGTGCTCGCGCCTGCTCCGCCGCAGCTGCTGGACCGGAGCGCTCGCCGCCCGCTCCGCCGCAGCTGCTGGACCGGAGCGCTCGCCGCCCGCTCTGCCGCAGCTGCCGGACCGGAGCGCTCGCCGCCTGCTCCGCCGCAGCTGCTGAACATGAGCGCTCGCCGCCCGCTCTGCCGCAGCTGCCGGACCGGGCCGGAGAAGACCGCACGTAGCACCGCGTCACCCCAGAGGCTATCCGTGTCGTTAGCTCGATGCTAGCAGCCCGCGACTCGTGGCCAGGTCCCCAGCCGGCCGTGTCCGACCGCGACCGCGACCTGTCCGTGACCTGACCGCGCTGACCGCGGTGAGCGCCTGGCCACCGATGGCTAGGGCGAGAGGCCTGTTGTCGCCCTCGAACTACATCCCCGACTGCAACGTCACATGTTGCCTGGCAACCCCAGTTAGTGGGCACACATGTGTCTCCTGCTCCTACCGTCTGCTGGGTACACATGGCTCCTGAATGTAGCCGCTGGTGAGTACACATGTGTCTCCTGCTCGTACCGTCTGCTGGGTACACATGGCTCCTGAATGTAGCCGCTGGTGAGCACACATGTGTCTCCTGCTCCTACCGTCTGCTGGGTACACATGGCTCCTGAATGTGGCCGCTGGTGAGTACACATGTGTCTCCTGCTCGCACCGTCTGCTGGGTACACATGGCTCCTGAATGTGGCCGCTGGTGAGTACACATGTTTCTCCTGCTCCTACCGTCTGCTGGGTACACATGGCTCCTGAATGTGGCCGCTGGTGAGTACACATGTGTCTCCTGCCTCTGCCGTCCCGTGAGCACACATGCGTGTCCTGATTGCACCGCTTAGTCAGCATACGTGTGATCCCTGATTGTACCACCTGGTGAACACATGTGTGTTCCCTGATTGCACTGCCCAGCGAGTACACGTGTGTTCCCTGATCGTGCCATCTGGTGAGCACACGTGTGTTCCAGATTGCACCGCCCAGTGATCACACGTGTGTTCCTTGATCGTGCCATCTGGTGAGCACACATGTGTTCCCTGATTGCACCGTCTAGTCAGCACACGTGTGTTCCCTGATTGCACCGGCCAGTGAGCACACGTATGTTCCCTGATTGCAACGCGCAGTGAGCGCAATGTGTTCCCTGATTGCACCGGTCAGTGAGCGCAGGTGTGTTCGCTGATTGCACCGCCCAGTAAACACACGTGTGTTCCTTGACCACGCCATCTGGTGAGTACGCATCGTGAGCTGACTGCGTCATGTGGGGGTACAGAGACTGCCCTGACCTTGTCGTCCGGTGAGTACACATATGACGCCTGGTTGTGCGTTTCCTGGATACACGCCCGTCCTTTAACCGTACCGTGTGGTGCCGTGGTTGCGCCGCCGGTGGGTGCACATACGTCTCCTTATCCCGACCGTGTCGCCTGGTGAGAACACATGCCATCTGAAGATGAGAACACTTATGTCCCTTGGCCGGACCGTCTGGTGGGTGTACTTGCCCTCTCCGGTTGTTCCTTCCGGTGAGTGATGAGTACGCATGTTGTATTTGCCTCCCGATTGGAGCCACGGCGGTCCCTTGATGTCCAGCCTGGTGAGCAGGCAGGTGCCTGGGTCCCATGGATGGATCCAGGATCTCTCGCCGTTCCACGTTAATGTGATCCCGTGATCGGATCGTGCGATCGTTTTGGGCGCTCCAGACATCTGTCCGCTGGTAAATATACATCTGTGTCAGGGGCCGTGACGTGTGGTCAGTGGACCGGATCGGGGGCGCGCGACCGCGCAGCCCGATGGCGTACGGCCGTCCCCTGGCAGCACCGTCCTGCGGATACGCTTCGTTTTGATGGCGCCCGGACTGCACTGGTCCGGTGGATATACAGCGTCTTCACTGCCTGACGAGTGCACAGCTGTCCTAAGACCCTACCGTCCGTTGAATATCTATATGTCCCCTGAGAGTGTGTATTAAAGGCAAGGATTCGGATTAGCGGGGACAGAATAGAGTCGATATTGCGACTCCCCGAGCACGATACTGATGTACTCTGTAGGGAGACTGACCTAGTCGACTCTAGCCTTTCATGACGGAAGCTTAAGGGCCGGCCCAAGTGAAATCTAGTCGCGAGGCGTATCAGAGTATCTGACCCCACTCTACGAAACGAAGGGGGCAGGAGATAGTCCCCTCCCCCCCCCCCCCCGTTTACGCCGCAACCGATCCCGAACCTCCTCTTCGCCAAGTGGGTGCCGTCCTGGCCGTGATGCTCTGGCCTGTCGGGTAGGTGCCCGTGGTCTGGTGAACTGCTCCGAAACGCGTGGTGCCGCCTCACGTTGAGGCATACTGCATGAATAATTTATGTATGCCCGTGATCCAATGCTAATGATGCAAGATGTTAATGAAGCAATGATGATTTCATTGATGCCGACTAGAGATCTTAAGAATCAATGGCACGCACATGCGATGCCTACGTTCGATGGCCAAGAATGAATGCATGGCATATTTTGGCCCTTTCTTATAACCAGTCGCACCACCGACTCTTACTGACATATGCTGCATTCAGTGGAGCTTCTTCCGTTTGGTTTCCCTTTGTGTCCCGTTATGTCCATCAAAGAGAATACTAATGCGCCAACAGTTGACACTTATGCGCAGCGTATGCTTAAAGTTAATTTTGTGGCACTTGCTGCTGGTGTATGGATTCTGTGAACTAAACAACGGTCCAGAGCTGTGGCGACATTCAGCAACGACTAAAGACCAACCCTCAGCGCTTTTCTCTAACAATCGCTCCTTATTACACGGGCGGGTGAAATATGACGAATGAGAAGCTAACATTGCTAGTAAGTACGATAAACAGATGACAAATGCATGTTTCAAGGGCTTCTGCGAGCATGCCGAGCTCACTCGAGAAATACAGCAGAAGTGTGCTTCCCCGGAAGAATACAACTGACAATAATTGCATGGCCAGAATGAATTCTACGAGCATGTACAGTCGTCGTGCGACTAGATTATTGCTGATTGATGTATGCGTAGCAACTACCCAGCTGACAGACTTTGATGCGGTATGGGACAAAGCTGTAATACAGATGCTGACCCTGACAGCCAGACACGCACGGCCCCATTGTCGTGGGCGAAGTACCGCGCCACGTTTGTCGCCGCTCGAGTACTGCCGAGTCAGCTGTTGACAAAAGCTGACCGGGCACCGCGGCCCTACGCTGGCTACGACAGACGGCCGACCGTTCTCGGCCTCACGCCCCTACATGCCATCACGTCCCCCATAGCCAGAGGCATTAGTTTAGAGGCAGGCTTACAACGGCTGTGAGAATGGCTGCACGTGTCTCATGTCTGAAAATGCCCTTGTACAGCAGTGCACAAGAAGGGTCTGGACTGCGCTGCCTTTGCGTTGCCTGCCGGCAGGTTTGTGCCCTGATGGAATGGTGTGAAGTCTCTGTGTGCCTGACGTCATTTTACCCTAGGTCGCGTTTGGAGCTCCCCAGTAATTACGGAGGTGCCGCTCCCAGTCAGGTCCCTCCCCGAACTCAGCGGTGGAGGGGGAGGGGTTCACTCCGCACGCGCCTCTCAGAGGGTGTGGAAGCGCCGACTGGCCAGGCAGATCTGTCGCATCGCGCACACCGCTATTCATTGTCTTTCAGTTAAAACACCATACAGATGTGGAACACTCGCTTCAGGGAGATCGATATCGACTGTTGCAGATGACGCTATGAAGGAGTGAGAAATCCTAGGTGTTCTCGCAAAAGGGTTCGGACAACCTTGTTCACCCCGCCTGATGAAATGTAAGAAATGCAGCGATGAGATCTCCTAATTATACTGCACAGCACGTGAAGATCACAAAATAAAACTTTCCTAAATATCAGACTAGTCGATAAACAATGATAAACAAAGCAAATGATCGCTTTAAAGTAATACTTTGTCTAAGAACAGACTATTGGCATGAGGACGTCCATTCTCCAAAGACTAGGTCTAGTATGAGCGAAGTGGTTTCATGATCAATGGACGGGCTAGCTTGGTCCGTTTAGGAGAGAAGCGTGGAAGAAGCTTTACTGGGTTATTTCAATGGGACACGCAGCAAGCCGCTTCGGTCCAGATCATTGAGCAGTAGTCCAGGATCAAACGAATTCTGCGTTACACACCTCCAAAGCCGTTCGTTTCTTGATCCTGCAGCTTTGAGACGGCAACTGCCAGGTCCAAATGAGAAGAATGAACCAAACACTAGTACGCTAGTCAAGTCAGGCGCCACGAACGGGGTGGCAAACGCCCACTTACAATTAGGTGTGTCATGAAATATTCTGGAAATGTGGTAAAATTGAAATTGAGGTCCACGTAAATCGACTTTCATATCAATTGTAGAACTACGCAATTGTATAAATTACTGATATATCGACGCATGTTATGTCACTACCACTTCTTCGTAAGTCACGCAGCTAAAGGTGAGAAGTATTGACACTGACCAAAAACGTGCAATGCTTAGGTGATGAATACTTGAACATCAATAAAGCCATATTCTTTACACGAGCGTTGCTGTGCTTCGGGAGTTCTGAATTGTTTAGGAACATTCTGAATGCTTCCAGAAATCCCGTTATACTTTACAACGTTTTCGGTATTCTCTCATCCATGCCCTTATTTACGCTTGTTGAATAGACAGACGTCCCCCAGAATGCCATCTGATCGATACACAGCATTCCCCGAGAATACAATCTAACCGATACACAGACGTCCCCAGATAGTAGCATGTGTTCTGTGACTGTACGTGTCGGTGGGCTGTGACGTAGACGGGGATACAACCCCTGGGGATACACAGATGGGGGAAACAACCCCTGGATACGCAGACGTGAGTTACACTCCTGGGGATACACAGACGAGAGTACAACCCCTGGATACGCAGACGGGAGTTTCACTCCTGGAGATACACAGACGGGAGATACACCCCCTGGAGATACATAGACGGGAGATACACCCCCCTGGGAATGCACAGACGGAGGATACATTGACGGGAATTCAACCCTGGGTATACACAGACAGGAGATACACACCCTGGAGATACACAGACGGGAGATACACCCCCTGGAAATGCACAGACGGAGGATACACAGACGGAAATTCAACCCTGGGTATATACACCACAGACGGGAGATATACACCTCGGGTATACACAGACATGAAATACCCCCCCCCCCCCCGGGGATACGCAGGCGAGAGATGTAGGCCCTGGAAATACACAGACAGAAGATGCATCTTGTGGGGATTCACGGACGGGAGGTACGCCGCCTGGAGAAGCACATACGGGGGATACATCTCCTAGGGCTACACAGATGGCGATACATCTCTTGGGGATACACAGACGCCCAGTGGCTACACTGTCCAGTGGATACGAAGACTGCGACACTGTGATTCACGTCTATGACCATGTGACATGTACAAGTACGCACATCCTAGGACTCTGGCCTCGATTTAGAATAGCTGCTATTCATTTACCGCCCCCCCCCCCCCCCCCTGAGCCTGCTTTTTCGTGGGTTCACACATGTCCCTACACTGTTTGTCAGTCAGACAGACTTAAGCGTCTGGTGTTTATTCAGAAGTCAAACATAGAAACATTACGGTCTAAATAATCTCATGGTAACTTGAGTGTCCATTTTATGACAGACGCACGTCGTGCAAGCAAATGTGCTATCAGATTGGGCCCGATGCAAGAAGCATGTATTTTTACATGGCACAGGTATACGCGGTAAGCCATTGCACTGCGCTTACAGTACAAATTGAAAATAGCAGGAAAGGCGAGTCTACCGAACAAAATACATTTTCTTGTTAGGTAATAGGTCACTTGTGTTATGTAGCTGCTGCAGCTTTTCTGTGAACTCCCTTTTAATGAGTTAGACTGCAAAGCGCAGCTGGTGTGCAGGGAGGCAGGATGATTGGTATGCATGGTTTCAACAAGATGAGGGTTAACCCGTTTGAGAATACCGCGGATTCGGAGCCGAACATGAAGTCAGTACGCCAGGAGCCACGCCCTGACTCAAAAGTTTTGGAAACCTGGGGAATCTGATCTTGCTTTTCATCCAAGGTTCAGCCGTGGTTGAGGGCCACATTGCATCATTGGATCGAATGTGGAGTAAACAGCTTGATGTCATATATAGCATATTGCTTATCGTGGGCAGAGTATGCTTGCAGCAGCCCCCCCCCCCCCCTCCATATGTATTAAGCTGTGTTCAGCTGCTTGTGGTAGGCGTGTTTCGGAAGTCCTCGGTCGGGCCCGGTTAGCTTTTCCCACGTTGAATTAGTTTGCACTGGGTTGTGCAAGATTCATCACCGAAGTTTAGTAACAGCTGTATGTGCACGGATTCAATCGCAAAAAATAATGGGAGTGGTGGGAGGGGTTGCAGCCCTATCCGGGGTGCTGGACAGAACGAATGCAGCATTTGTGACTTGCACGTAGTCATATGCGTGTCAGCTCTTCCAAAGCCCCTAAGCGGTAAGCCTTCAGATAGGCTGCTGAATGCGTGGCTTATCTTATCAACCTCAACAATGCTGCCGCCCTGATTCAAAGGGCCACTGAGCATTGGTGTCGGGTCCCTGGACAATTCAGACGCCGTTCACCATTTGCATTCTGTTGCTGGAAGACCAGTGACCGTTCAACCATCCCAGCGGTGAGGGCCGCGCGCGCTGCGAGCCGCCAGAGGCCATGTCGGTCGGCCGGCCGACCGCTTGGCGACGGACGGCGGCCCTGCAGAGGTGCAAATTCCAACACTTAGCCCACCGCCGCTGTGACTGTCCCGCACGACGATCGGTCTGCCCCGTGCAATTGCAGGCATTCGGCGACCTTCCGACCCGCGATGCGCCGGCGGCCGTTGCGAGCGCACGCTTTTGAAGTGGGTGGCCCGCGGTGGTTCGTCACGTGGACCCGCCGAGGGCGCCTGCCTGGCACTTCCACCGGCTAGCCTCTGCAGGCGGCCGTCACCGCCAATCTGAGGCCCGGGGGCTGGTAACCATCATGCCGCCAGACGCGTTGTTAGGACCTCAGAGACGGGCGTCGCAGCAATAAATTAAGACAGATTGCGCGTATCACTCTAGAACTGTGCGGCGCTGAGATCGTGTCAAAAAAGGGGACGCGCCATTTGGATCTTATCCCAATTTGTTCAAGCATGCACCTTCGGCTTGGTTAAGTTACGGGCCTGTCTGGTCGCGGCACTGCCTCTCCCCCCCCCCCCCCGGCAGAAACAAGACTGTCGCGAGACGGCAGAACGAAGCCGATTCCCCTAGTGGAGACGGCGGCGGTTGGACTTGGGCACTTTGGGTCGGACAGCTGCTGGTCGGAGAGTCGAAGAGTACGCCCTTGTTGCCTATCACCTTGTCTGCTTCAGGTTACCGACGGAAGATTTTGTGAAGAGGCGAGAGCGGTGTGGAAAACAAAACGGTGCTGAGCAACGGTACCGCCTAACATGGCCGACACCAAGGGAAAAGTTCAGACAGGTAAGAAAAGTCGCAGCTGGCAGGGTTGCGGGTCCGCAAAATCGGTTGGGAGAGGGAGGCCGAGCAGTTAAAATTGGCAAAACCTACCCACCAAAGAAGCCAACAAACGTGTTTCTCCCTGGATTCAGCTCACTCTCCTCTCAAAATTCGGGGGCGAGAGAACAAGCGTGTGTGTGTGTGTGCGGGGGAGGGGGATGGAGGTTCCCAACTTCCAGCTGAATAAGTAACTCTGTCCCGGGTGGCTGGCACTTGTACTTTGCTTGTGCGGGAGTTTTCACTTATCACTTCTTGGTTCGATTCAACTACGCTTTGATCAGCGGCCGTTCATGCCTAAGTTATCAGCGCATCGTAGCCTAGTGTTTCATGGCGCTGGGCCGCGGCCAAGTCGTAAGAGCTCAGATATCGCTGCTGTCATCTTTGCACCTCATGTTATATCATTTCGATAAATGAGCTTGGTGACTCTTATCGCGGGCCACACCGCAGGTCAAGTGATTTTCATTTGAGCGACGGGAACGTTTCCAACGTCAGCGGCTCAGCTCGGCCGGCCGGTGCACTTTTTAGGTGCACTGGTTTTGCCGTACGATAATCACAGCTTCATGGTTGTTTTCTTAGCACGAAGCAGCAGAGTTTTATTTTCTCAAAAGCTGGGCAGTACACTTCCAAGGTGTTGATGTGCAAGCTTCCGAACTAGTCGACGTTTTACAGCATTGACCCGTCAAATGCACCTCATTTCCCAACAAGCGGGAACTTTAACACCGAGCTGTTGTGTCATGGCTGACGTGGCGCATGAAACGGGGGGGGGGGGGGGGGATTGAGCGGGCGGTAGCACGAGCTTTTAGGAGGGTGGGCAGGCCGGTAGCCATGGTGAACCATCGTAAAGCGGGTCATGTTGGCTAAAGGAACGTCCTGATGCAGAACGGGTTTGATTTTGTCTATTTTTTTTGTGATCCAATGCTTGCTTATGCAGGCACGTATTATTATTATTATTATTATTATTATTATTATTATTATTATTATTGTTATTATTGTTATTGCGAATTCTGGCGAAATCCGGCGAGCGGCTATTCTAACGCCGCGCCAGTACATGTCACATAGATAAACAAAGAACACGCAACACATGCAAATCGGACGCAACGCCAGCTATACACATACAATGTTATAAAACATGAGCGACTAATGGTACAGTCAGCGCCTGCACGTCATGGCCAGTTGGTCAATTTAGATAAGTTCTCTGACGAAAGACATTGCTTTGCTCTTGAACTCATTTAAGTTTTTGCACTGGCGCGGGGCAGCAGGGAGGCGAATCCACGCCGCCACGGCTGTGGGGGCGTGGAATATCTCCTACGTATGCCAAGGATAGCGATGTTAGTTGTGTTTTTTGACGTACAAAGTCATCTGCTGTATCGCTTCTCTGAAGCACAAGTTAGTCAACGATTTTTAGAATTAATGTGTTAGTGTAGTAAATTGCCGGCCAGATACTATGAACCTACCGCCGTCGAAACGCTCTTGCCAGGGACGCCATGCCAGGGTGCATGTCTGGAACGTAGTTTCACAAAATTAATGTGTGTGTGGGGGGGGTGGGCTGAACTACAAAAACTGACCCAGGCTGCCTCCTAAATATGCCAATTAGCAGGTTTCTCTCCAGATTTAGCCCACTTCCCTTCCCAAAATTGGGGGAGGCTGGAGCCCACCCCTGTTGCATATCGCCTACGTTCTTTCTGAATCAGTTGATTTAAAAAATGTTGATTTTTAGGATTTTTCGGTAAATTTTTGCGACTTTGTCTGGAAGATGGGTCTGTTCTCATCGGGAGATGGAGGCGAAGCGGCACCAAACTACAGAGGAGGGGGGGGGGGGGGGGGGCGGGCAAGACACCTTAGATATACGCCTCGACCATACTCAAGCGATGCTTTATATCAGTTGGTGCGTGAACGCTCCTCACTGAGTCTCCGCCCGTTAGCCTCTCGTGGAAGACATACTCTGTCTCGTGGACTCGTGATACAGACTAGCGTAAGCCAAGAATAACTGACCATTGATATATATTTCAAAAGCGTTCGCCTCCAAGGCTTAGGTCTGTCTGTCATTTAAGTTCAGCTTGACAATAGCGTCGCTCGTTTAACACCAAACAAGGCGTCCTTCTTCCAGTTTATCATTTAAAGCGAAAGCTCAGGCGGAAGTTTTGTATCTTTGATTTACGCTAAACCCCTCAAAGAGAATGTTTCACATTTGAATGGATTAAAGCAAGAATCAGATATGATGAAACGAGCTCACCTAAAGCTGTTGGTATACTTTTAAGTAGAAAAGACTGCTTTAGACAACACGATTTCTCTGTTTGGGAAATATTCTCCTCGATACGTCATTTTTTGATTGCGTCATCGTACCTTGCACGACATTGATCGCGAGTCAATTGACGGCCGTTATATCTGGAAATCGTGCTCACGAACGCGAGATATGAACGACTCGCCTGTTAGGTTTCTCCGGGCCTTGATGGCCGTATGGCTTCCGGAATGACAGGATTTGAATGGCGTTATTGTGACGACATGAATGGCAACGTGACCTTGAAATGCTCTCGCCGAAATAGTCCCCCATTTTGCGGACGTCTAGCTCAGATGCTAAAGGGGTTTGGGTCTTACGAAGGGTAGGGCTGTCTGCTGCCCCGAAAGTCTTCAAGATGGCAGTTTCATTTGAAAACCCCAGAGAAATGTGGAACACTCTCTTTGAGCTTGACGTCCAGTAGCCCTTGCACGTGACCTATTAAGTTAACGCCCATCTTCTGAATGGCTACTATTTAATAAACATTGTACATTATCTTCAGTGTATATTTGTCCTCGGCAGCCAACTGAAGGAAGCACACATTTTTGCAGCGCAGAGTTGACGGCTATCACCAGCTTAACCCGCCGTAGGCTCATACAATTTAGCGCAAATGACAAGCGTATTCTTCTGCTTTTCACAGTGCTGGGTCCGTTGGATCCGTCGCAGATGGGGGTGACCATGATGCATGAGCACTTACACCTTGACTTCAACGTTGCCTTCATCCCACCTGGAGGAAAAGACAGGGGGAAGGAAGACTGTGATTTTGTCCTGGAAAATGCCGGATGGATACGACAAAATCCGTGAGTAGGTATCTACCGTCCGCTGGCGGGGTAAGGGTGTTGCAGTCTAAATAACACATGTTAACAAAGCCGGACAATGAAAGGATGTTCGTCATTTAACATTTAATTTTTACGGTGCGGTAATATTTTGTACACTGAGCTGTGCCCGTGTGTGAATACAAAGCTACTTATAACGCCGGAAATTGGGCTCAACGCCTTTTCGCCGCGCGGCGTGCTAGCTCGGCGACCATAAAGCATCTCAGCGTCCCACGTTTCCTATTGCTGTACGTGATTTTTCGGTCAGTTTCAGAGCCGCCACATCGTCCAGTGCATCATGCTTGCTTCCACGCGTTCTGGCAGAGGTTGGCAGGTCACACCAGTGTAGACGTCACCGCCGTCCTAACGTTCGCCTCCCGCGCCTGCCAAAGCTACCACCACCTGTCCAACATCAACTTCTGCGACGGCGCGGTGAACGAGAGCATCACCGGCGAGCTGACCACGTACGCGGCCAACGGCGGCGGCACGATCGTGGAGCTGACCAACTACGGCATCGACAGGAACGCCGCCCTGCTGGCCCAGTACAGCAGCGCGACGGGCGTCAACATCGTCTGCGGCACGGGTAAATCGTGCTGGCCTCGCAGTCGGCGCCCGGTGGGGCGCTCTGAAGGCGCTCTGGGTCCTCATGCTGCCGCCACTTATTGACTTAGGGCCAACTGCGAGGCCCGGTGGGGCGCTCTGAAGGCGCTCTGGGTACTCATGCTGCCGCCACTTAGTGCCGCTCTGACGTGCTGATGTGACCAAGCCACGTGTCCGGCTGATTCACGTGGGAATACGTGTTGTACGGGGTTGTGCGGCAGGCGTCAGAGTAGGTACGGAACTGGACATGTCAAGAGTACAGCGGTCCGTAGATGTGTATAGCAATGAAGATAGTGTGGATTGTTGTGCTTTATATTTGTTGTGTATCGTATCGTGGAAATGTATAGACTCATGCACAAATACGCTCATTGATAATTGGTTTTGCGTATAATCAGCTAGGTGAGACCAAACTAAGGCCCATTTAGCTACGGTACTTCAGAATGCAGTTTTTTCCTGGTTGGGTTAATTTTATCATCTCATTTGGGGCAAATAGAAGCATTAGTTTCATAGTTTCGTTTGCCTTTTTAGCCGTTTTTGCTAGCTGGGGGCTGTTAGGTGACGTAAAGAAGCATAAATACGTAAATGATCATTAATCTCGACATGTAATTTTTCGTGTCGCTCCTTTGTTCCTCACATTTATATATTGTTAATGATCATGCTGGCGTGAATGGAGAGGAGGGACTTCTTTGATGTTGTGGAGGTTTAGCTGCAATGTGAGCAACTTTGATCGCGATGCTAAATTCATCAGGAATGTTACGAGCTGAAGGTACAATATCTTGTCGCCAAATATTATGTGCTAAATCCAATAAGTTACGCATACGGATACGTCGGAACGTGGACGGGTAATGTTGTAGAAATTTCGTGTCTATGTTTTCAGCATGCGAGGAAAAGATATTCGCCGTTTTTTTACTACCTCAAAATGTGTATTAATGACTAGTTTCGAGCATAGTTTGGTACCTGCAAACTAACTTCGCTAAAAAAATGTATTGTTGCCCACGCGGGGAAGTACGCAGCAGGGTTTCTGACCTGGCTGCTGTTGTTTTTCCGTCAGGGTACTATGTGTACCCCTCACAAAAGGAGGCTGACCGTTCGCTGACCGTGGAGGAGATGACCGCACGCGCCGTTCAGGACGTCGCCGAGGGATGCCCCGAGGCGCCGCACGTCAAGGCCGGTGTCATCGGCGAGGTCGGTTCCAACTGGCCCATTCATGGTAAGTCCGAAGCCTCACATCATCGGCAAGTCACGATACCGTGCGTTCTATGCGTCAAACGAAATCATCCATTGTGGACGCCGTTGTGCGCATAATTTTTTGGCAGGAACGAATTGAGCGCTGCGGACAAGGTGCGCTGTTTCATTATGGATGCAATTAATTGTGTGTGATGTATACAACTAGCGTTTCTTGTCGCGCTACCCGGCTAGGTACTGCAGTAAAAAGCATGAGGAATACACGCCACAGGTTCATGGAGTATTTCTCGACACCATGGCTGTTTAGTGTGCTGGGGCTGCACCCTGACCCGCCCATCACGTCCTCAGGGATGGCTGTTTTGTGTGCTGAGGCATCACCCTGACCGTCCCATCGCGTTGTCAGGGACGGCTGTTGATTGTGCTGAGGCATCACCCTGACCGTCCCATCGCGTTGTCAGGGACGGCTGTTTAGTGTGCTGGGGCGACACCCTGGCCGTCCCATCACGTCGTCAGGGACGGCTGTTTAGTGTGCTGAGGCATCACCCTAATCGTCCCATTGCGTTGTCAGGGACGGCTGTTAAGTATGCTGAGGCGGCACCCTAACCTTTCCATCGCGTTGTCAGGGACGGCTGTTGATTGCGCTGAAGCAGCACCCTAACCGTCCCATCGCGTTGTCAGGGACGGCTGTTTAGTGTGCTGAGGCGGCACCCTGACCAGCCCATCACGTGGTCAGGGACGGCTGTTTAGTGTGCTGGGGCGGCACCCTAACCGTCCCATCACGTCGTCGGGGATGGCTGTTTAGTGTGCTGAGGCATCACCCTAACCGTCCCATCACGTGGTCAGGGACGGCTGTTTAGTGCGCTGAGGCGGCACCCTGACCAGCCCACCATCTTGTCAGAGAGCCTTTGTCGTCTTAACAGGCGGGGTGGCCGGTTGAGTAACCTTCGCTCGGGTGGCGGTCACCCCCGAGATCTCAAACACGAAGACAGTTAGAGATATTATCTTCACAGGGTTGATTATCCTGTATGTGAACTCACTTGTGCCAAAATTACATGTTCCCACGTCATGACCTTGTGGTCAAATAAGATCAAACAAGGTCAAACTCCACATTGGTGTCTCAAGTGTCCCCAGCCCTCCTCACGCAACCGCCGCGAACCTAGATGTCTGTGCTTAGCAAAAGGTCGGTGGTGTTCAGTTAAGTTCAGTTACCTTATTCAACCTTTAGAAGCTCATGATGACCAAAAACCTACGAGATTGCTCTTATTTTGCTATTCGAGAAAGCATCAGGGATTACGCTAGGCGTTACTTTCCTAAAAACAAAATCTTGACCAAGGTCATTTTAGGTCAGTGACTTACTCTGACGTTAAAAAGTCCTATGACATGACGTTGTGGTCCTCATCATCAAGAGATTCAAAATGAGTAAAAACTATTACATAAAGCAAGCTTTCGAGTGGGAAAGTAGGTCAGTTTGGATTTCGGTTTCACCTTCATGCCCTACCCTAGGCCAAAAGAATGCATTTTAATTCCAGATTCATTTGGTTTATTGCTCAAAAAATTATCCAAAGATGTATGGATTCTTCTAGCACACCCTTGTCGCATCGCATTAAACGATTTCCTTTAAATGGCCTTCGCTGACCACCGCAGCCTGACGTTGACCTGTCATAGGTTGGCAAGCTCCCAAGATAAACATAAATGTTTATACCAAAAGATCTGCTTTTTAATTCCCTAAAGCTGTGCAAAGTGCGACGCGGCAACGGCGTGCCGTTCGTCCAGAACTTATTTTGGAAAAGCCTCCGGGATGGGGGTCAAATTACCCCTACTTGAGGTCGTGTTGACATATGTTGTTGCGCACGGATCATCTTGGGGATAGTGATAATTGCATTGCATTTCAATTCATAAGGGAGGATCCAGGTCCCTCTGGTTATATAAAACGTCTTGTTGGCGAGCAAACTGCGCGTATTCTGTTTATGCGCCTAAGCATCATATCAGAGAGCGCATGTGGCATGTTCAAATGGAAGCTCCATCGATTAGCTGTTATCGATTGCTCCACTGTTCCCATCTGTTCCCTGGCAAAAGAAGTCGGCCGCTGCTGCCAACGCGGCACGTAACAGCGCAAATTGTCTGTCGCGGTGGATTCATTGCGCACACAGGTGCGGCGGGGCCATTCAAAACAGGCCGTGAAAAAGTCTCCCCTATTGCGTCACGCTTAACCCAACGTAGGATGCAGCAAGGGTTTCGTTTGTTCGTCCCGTCATCGGGGACATCTGTCCTTAACGAATGCTGACGGTTCAGAAAACAGCGATTGGTTGTTGGTCGGGGTCATTTCTCATACTTTCTTGTGGTTCTTCAACAATATGTTTTCAGCACGGACGCGCTTCGGATGCGCGACGATAGCAGGTGACGTCATGAGAAAAGTGCAGCGTATCATGTACATATCCGGGTCCTCAAACAGAGATCAAGGAAGATTTGCTCGTCGCAGTGTACGTAATACCCACGAATTTCGATTTGTATTCTTTTGGGTGGGCGAGTGACCCCCTAATGCCTAATGTGGCCTTCCAAACAATAAGTTTACCCCCGCCTCCAGCCTTCTGACACCGAAGTAAAGCATGGTATGAAAATGGGAGATCAAAAGTATGCTAATTGCAAAGGAGGCTTCTACTAGCTGCTCCACAAGGAAAAGAAACGAAGAAAATGGGAACTACGATATCATATTCAGTAGAAAAATCCGATTTTTCCTCCATAATGCATAATTTTGCTTATGCACACAATTTGTGTGTCTTGTTTACTTCGATCTAACCCTGTGCTTTTATCTGAGTGTTTTGGCATTATTTAGCAAAGCCTCAAGTTCTACAAACTGAGCGAGGAAGTGTATTAGGGCATGGATGTAGTTTCCTATCCGCTAAGGGGAGGGCGGGGGGGGGGGGGGAATCTGTAACGTTGAGAGAGAAGTTGGTCAAATCCGGGAAGAAAACCTGTTTATTATATTTACGGCTAGGTTTTTCCCTCCTATTTATCCCCCAGGCCTATTTTGCGAAATTACACCGCTGTGCTGTAGGCGGATCCGCCGTCAGAACACTCCATCATCAGGTGTGGGACTCGGGACCCCTTTCTCAATCAGGGACAAAGTGGGGCCGCGATTTACATGGCTCGGATCCCTGATTTAATAATGGTGCCCTTGTGTCGGTCTGGAAACCACGTTTCCTGGCGAAAGCCCTGTATTGGCAAGGGGTCCCAAATCAGACAGAATCAGGTTTGTGGGGTCCGTAGAGGGTCCCGAAGCGCCTTTCGGCACCAGCGATTAAGTGTCGAGTTCGAGGACACGAAGAGCTAGCGGTGGGTCATATTTAGGCCACAATTGTCGATCAGAGGGCCTCTTGCACCGATGTGGAATACCCTGGGACCATGCGGGCGTCTATTTCTGTCAGAGATCACAATACCGGACAGTCAGCTCCGTGTGGGTCTGAGTCCCACGGAGGCCTATTTTCCAAGCAAACACGAGGCCGGGACCCGCGATTTGCATTGGTCAATACATCTACAACAATGCGGGCTCCTTTGTCAGTCCAGCGTCCTCATTGCCTAACTGAGGGTTCTGTGTCGGCGAGGGATCCCGAGCCAGCCAGGGGAATGTGTGATAAACAGGAGCAGGGACGGGATCCCGAATGCTAGAGGACCTCTTGTGTTGGTTGACTGACAGCGAAAGTTACTATAAGAGGCCACAGGAAGGTAATTGAAGGCCCGTGACAGTCAGGGGCCCAGCACAAAATGGGGAGATCTCCATCTCATCTCAGCCAGAGGCTCGTTACGCTGAACTGTGTGGTCGGGGATCTCGGAGATGTTGCGACAAAGGCTGATGAGAAGACGCTGCTTGTATTGTATCGGACAGACCCGCAATATATACTGGTATAGACGTGCCCATTCCCGGATCACTGACGCGTGTATCCTGCGCACGCGTCCCTGGAAGGCGCTGGTGGGAGAACTGCCCTCCGGGTGTTTAGGATGCATGCGGGTTGGCGCGTGGGCCGCCCACGTGGAGACTATTATGTTGCACACTAGCTGCGGTCACGCATCTCGCAGCGGTCAGTGCGTGGCAGCGCGACCGGCCGCCTTTGTCGCTGTGCTGGAACGGCACCGGATTGCGCAACAGGTCTGGCTGACATTCTCTCCGACTCGTCGGCTGAACGGGGGTCGGTCGCCTCGGGGTGATGGGAGCCGTAACCCGAGGCGCGTCCCATTACGGACCGGTCCTGGCGTGTGGTTCCTTCCTATCACATGCAGAGAAGGGCTTCGGTCCCACAGCTGGAGTCTCTGTACCAATTATTGGATACCTGCGGTGTTAGGGATCTTCGTACATCGATGGGGCCCCTTTTGTCTATCCAGCGTCAAATACCCGCGTCAGGCGGCCCCTGCGTCAGGCAAGCGACCATTGTATGACCGATCCCTCCAAGGGTTTCGGTGTCGACCTGGGGACATCGCTCACTTGTCGCCAGCGTCAGGCACTCCGCACTGTAACGGAATGGCCGTTTACTTTAGCCCCTGACTGGGAAATGTAATGTGCCCCCTAGTGTGATACGCACTGGTCCCTTACCCAAAAGGTAGGGTGTTCCTTAATTCTCAATAAGGTGGATCAGAACCAGGCCAAGACTGAAAGAGGCAAACACAAATGAGGACGTCCATTCTTTTCCGAATCAACGCGTAGAATGAATTACACACAAAAAAGTTTTGAACCTGCGCACTTGCAACATTAGGAGCAGGGACATCGATGACTGGGGTTATAGTTTTCATCCAACCGAGCGGCGTCGGACACTGCAGCTGACACCGGGCAGCGGCCGCCTGGCGGGCGAGAACAGCCGTCGTGAAATAGTGCTTCCGAAAGTCGTCGTAAATCAAGCCGTACCGTTCAAAAACAAGGTTTGGGAGTTTATTTTACAGGTATGATTTTGAGGTGGTTCTCTAAACAGATCAATAGCGACAGCAAGACGAGTATGGACATTCTTCCTTTTTTGTCTGGTTATACGGCCAAATTCCAGCATCCGTCCGCTGTGCCTTGAACGCTAATGCGCTCCCATTATGAGCAAGTAAGTTGCACACGTGACACATACTCGTTGATTACGTTCCAAACGTACTAACTGACATCTTCAAGCGTTGAAAGGTACTTTTTCCGTTTTCGTTCGCTCGCTGGCTGTCTTCCACTAGCCACGCTGCCGACGCCGCGCAACCAATGGAGAATGCAACGTCGGGTATTTAAGTTTTTCAGAGGCTTGCGAGCGCATTGGTTAAAAGTACGCGATTTAATTCTTTCAGTACTCGATTCTGAACTAGGGCTAAAAATGCCCACACAAACATAGATTGGGCATGTCAAACAAATATATGCCTCCATTACGATCTACAACCTGTGCTCACCTTAATCTACATTCACATTGGCTCTGTGCAACACATACAACTTATGACAGTGCAAAGCGTGCATTGAGAAGAATCCACTGAGCAACTATAAGATGTTAAGCGACGGCGGTTTACTTTATGCGATTATTTAAGGCCTGGCTCCTTCAGTCTTTTGACTTCAAAATGCAAAGATGGTGGTATCTGTCGTTGACTGCTGACTTGTTTCGTAAAAAAGATGCCTTAACATAAAACGAGGCAAATCATGCCCTCGAAATCAAGCGGTATATATTTGGTGATGTTTTGGGTGGGAGCGTTTCACCAAGAAGGGCCCTTTGTCAACTCCGTCCCACTCCCCCCCCCCCCCCTTACGAAAATGCTGGCTGTGCACCTGCGTAGGTGCGGTCATTGCGCATCGAGCATCGATAAATAAGTATAGTCACATGCGGCCACTGCAGGGCCAGCTCAACTAGCAACGTTCTTACACCCAACCCGGTTTGTGCATGAAATTGACATGACATGGGCTTCATTTGCCACGCCTTTGGACTGAAGTGGCCAGGGTTGCTATCCCTTCTGAAGCACAAAGGCTTGAAACATTGCCCCCAAAAGCACAGGAAGCTTGCAATGTGTGGGTAGCGAAATGCGCGGGGAAGGCATTCTCAACAGGATATCTGCTGTAAATGTTTGGGGGAAGGGTGAGCACCACTTTCGGGAATGGTGCGTGGAGGAGCGCTTGTATTCTGTTTTAAATTAACTTAAATGCAATGTTTCACCGATGAAGCTTTGGTGTGTCGAGAACCTGCGCGTAAATGGGTTGTGATAGCGGCATATTTCGTGAACACTTTTCTTTTTCATAAAGCTGACGCAAATTGCTAGGCTTCGATATATGAAATACACGTATATGTGATTCCAATGGCTACGCACATGTACTTTAAAGAACATATAGTCGTAGGCTAGAGAGAGACAGAGACAGAGAGAGAGAGAGAGAGAGAGAGAGAGAGAGAGAGAGAGAGATATATATATATATATATATATATATATATATATATATATATATATATATATATATATGCCTATGTGTGGATGTCCATCACCCTGCCGGCCTCAATCCACTACCTTGGCTCATCCCGCTAAGCTCAGTTCTTTGTAAGATGTCCACCTATCCTCCACACGACATGTTCGCTTATGTACTGCATCGCACAGGCTGACCAATCCCACATGGAGCGGCAACTTGGGAGAGAGATCCAGTTAGTTCCGGGGGGGAGGGGCCGGCGCTGGATCAGGCCGGAAATGAAGTAGCGGTCACGTGGCGTCTGGCCCCGCCACCACTGATAGGCTCCCGCTCGCTCAGAAAAGTCGGTCGCAGCTGCTTCTCCCGCGCACAGAAATAAAGCACGCAAACGAGTCGGAGGGTTTAGTTTGACCCCAACTATAACCCTAGCCGTAACAGAAGGTGTGCACTTTTTAAACACGGCAAAGGCGGTTGCAGTGAAGGTGGGTGCATCCGGTTAGCTTGTATCCTATCCAATCTCTATTATCCAATACCGCGGTCAAACTATCCAATGCCGCGGTCTGAAATATTTGGCGGGACCAGATGGGAAACAGTGATGTTCGCGCCCAACAATAGCATTACAGGCTACCGTTATGATTGACTAGATTGATGCAGGGGTACGTGCGTAAACAAAGGAACGAACATGTAGTTTTGATCGCCTCCGAGTTGCCGTCATTCTCTAAGCAGATATTCGCTGGTTTTAGTGAGCTGTGGGGTCCCTACAGCGCTGAACAGCCATATAGTACTTTCAGTCTGGGAAAATGACCCAAATATAAACGATCTAACTACACGCGAGAACCGATCAACGTGGTCAAAGGTCCCTAAAGCTACTCGGCGAAGTCGTGCCGTGAAAAGAGCTCATGGGAATATCGAAACTGGCCACGCGGAACACCAACGCTTGGTGCTGCCACCTGCCTTGAAGTAGTGCTTCCATCCCCGGCCGTCACTGGCGCTGTCTGTCACAGCGTTCGAGCGCCGCGCCATCGAGGCGGCCGCGCTGGCCCAGCAGGCCACCGGAGCTCCAGTCAACTTCCACCCGGGCCGGCACGAGCAGGCGCCGGCGGAGGTCATCCGACTCTTCCAGGAGGCCGGTGGCGACGCCTCCAGGTGCATCATGTCACACCTGGACCGTGAGTACAGCCCAGCGCCCGACGGCCGACGCGCGAGCAGTGGCTGGGAGAGCTGCACAGCGGGATCGTGATCGCGATTGCGGTTCGTTCGTGACGCAACATAAAGATGGGCAAGGATGGGTAACAAAAAACTATTGTAAACTTTGTTTTCGTTTTTGCGGTGCTGCATGCCACTGGATCCCGAATCCTTCCGCACTGCAGTAGCGTACGTCCCAGCAACACGGCATGATATGGTAAACCAGACAGGCATGGCATGGCACGCCTATCTCCTTGGGAGCAAGCATGAGACGTTGTCCGATCAAGACATCACCGCTGGGTTGATACCCACCCGAGATCGTATATGTTGCTGTGTCGTATATCCTACTGAAAAGAGGTAACCTCTGTCACTGGCACCGCCGCCATGGAGCAGCACCAAGCGGCACAGATCTCTCGGAAGGCACCATTCGGCTAATAGGCTGACGCGTGGCTCATACAACGTAGGCGTATGGGTCAGCGTGCGGACAATTTAGTCGTGCTGGGCGGCGATTGCGATGTTTGCCAGTCGCGAACCATACATTGTCCGTCAAATATGGTCCATGCTGGTCGGCCCAGTCGTGAGTGGATTGGGGTGACAGATTTCCTGACAAGAATCTGCTCAGGGTCTCGCAGGCTTGCAGGTTTCGACTGCGACTCTGTCCGCGCCATGCGAGCCGTTCATGTGTCATGTACAAACAGGTAACTGATGATCATCTGTCAACGTGACGCGGCTCCCTCCTGAAACCCCAGGAACCATCGAGACAGCTGCCGGTTTGGCGGAGTTTGGCCAGCTCGGCACCTTCCTGGAGTTTGACCTGTTCGGCATCGAAGTCAGCCACTACATGATGGCTCCCCACGTGGACATGCCGTCCGACGCGCAACGCATCCGCCGGATCAAGGATCTGGTGGACGCCGGCTTTGATGACAAGATCGTCATAAGTCATGACATTCACACCAAGCATAGACTGGTAGGTTTCTGAAAAAAACGTCATTGCGGGGAGGACATTTTCCCGTAACTGTACATTGTAACTGTATATTATGTTCCGTATTTGACATGATATCATGCCAACCCGCACTTGGTATTGCCCGGGCTCTTTAGAGCCTGTAGGTAATGCATCGGTTCATGGTTATACCATGTTTCAGACTCGTTTCGGCGGGCACGGATTTTCTCACATCCTGGACAACGTCGTGCCGATGATGAAGACTCGCGGTTTCTCGGAGGAAACCATTAACAAGATACTGGTCGGCAATCCACAGCAGGCCATCACCTTCCAGCGCTGATATGGAGAGCGAAGAGCTATGCTGCTTGGCAGCCACCCTGCTAAAACCTACGCTTTTGGGATGCAGTACGCAATACGGTCTCGCTAATAGGTGGGCAAAGGCCAGTAATCTCATTCTTTTTTGTAACTGTCGCAGGTTGACAAATACACTAAGGAGGGCTTCACATTTGTCTTCTTTCGATACTGCGCAGGAGAAATAAGAGAGAAGCTGAGGAGCTAAGAGCGTGCGGGTGCAGCCCGCGTGACTTCACTCGGGTGACTCCCCCCCCCCCTTGTCACGCTGTCCACCCTGACGACATCAGCCGCAGTCTGACGGGTCAAGGCGGGACACCGAACCCAATTTCGGCCCAACGTTTCGCACTTAGAACGGTGCCGTGTAATACACCTTGGAGAACTGCAACGCTGCTTGATCTCTGACGTCGCCGTTATTCTAGAGATAGTTACAACGTCCCACGGATTGAGCCAACCTTGACAATTTCATTGAAAAACTAGCACAATTTCCAGAGCAGATTCGAAGTTTAATCAACCAAAGTCAGACGCGTGCAACGTTCTATTATTGAGAAGAAGCTCACGAATTTCGCATGCCAATAAACTCAGCACAACTCCTATGTAGCTTTGTAGCAATGGTAGACAATGGTACGTGACAGGGGCGTAGTTTCGCAAAATGCTTGCGGGGAACCATGCAGTGAAAATGACGCAGCCCGCGACCCAAATTATACCAACAAACGTGTTTCTCCCCGGGTCCCCCACTTTTGTCTTCAAATTATGAGGGATGGTTGTAGCTCAAGTCTGGAGTGAGGGGCAGTTTCTCCCAGATGAATAGGAAACTACACACATGTTACGTGCTCAACTAAATGTATGATCCTCCATCTGGGGTATCTACAAACGGACACCATCCCACGTTCAGATGTCATTTATGGTGTGCGTTGGTATGAGGATACCCGTGTGGGCTTTGCGTGCCACGGTGCCAGGGGTTGTGCATCATTTGGGCTCTGGCGTGTCCCGGCGCCAGAGGATGTAAATTCCTGGGCGGGGGGGGGGGGGGGGGGGAGGGCTGGGCACAGGCGCCGGAGGGAAGTCGGGAGTGGCCGGCAGGAGCGAGCGGAGATGCGCGCGGAGACTGCCGGCAGGTTGAATAAAGCCACATGGGGTCTTCCTTTTGTGCAGACGAAATAGAGCCTCTAATGACAGCATTTATTTGGTCCATACCTTGTGCCTGTAACACTAATGAATTAAAATATGTATGGCAATTTTGCATTTTAGACGCCTCTGGCTCGAAGCGTGAACAAATATGTCATGAGGAAACTTCATAACGAGCGGCATCTTGTGAACTTCATATAGCAGCACTTTAGTACTTTCCAACAGCAGTCAAACCTGCTGTTGAGTTTCGTTTATAGCGCAGCCTTGCAATTTGAGGGCCGGTTTTATACAACATAAGTACTGTCTGTAAATACGAGGTGCGGTGGGGTATGTGGTCTGGGTTTCGGTGAGGTGCGTGGGCGATATTAATGAGTATTTAAAGGGAATGTAGGCTGTGCCTCAGGTATGATCACAAATGCTTTGATTTCACATGTTATTGCAATGCAGAGATGGAGGCTGCTTAGGGATATATGGTTCTTGGGTATTATGTAATAATTTCGATAGGATTCCCCACGCGACAATGAGTTTGTGTGGATACCGGTAGTTTCAAGAGTGTTCATTGCCCTGGAACATTGGGGGTTGAAAATATTTTGCACTTGGTCCAATATGGGAAATTGGAAATTAAATTTAACCAGCGTGTAACCTGTGGTGGGTTTCAGCAAAATATCTGACAGTGGTGCTTCAGTAGTGTTTGGTGCTTGGCAGTGGTTTCCTGGCTGTGGTACTTAGAGTGTCAGAATTGCATCTTCCTAATGACAAGGCTTGTTGAGGCATTTCATGACATTTCTGCAACAGTTAACAGACTGGTTTCCTAGTAGGCACTTGGTAATTTGAAAGAATGAGTTGTCTGAAATGTTGATTAGACATTTTAGTCTCCTTTATTGCCAGAAGGTGTTCAGTTGCCAGGAGGCAACCTAGGAACCCTAGTGTACTGTTTCTAGAACCCTACAATTTGCCCTAGCATTGCTAAATAAGTTCTTGCTGCTTAGTCTAATATGTTACACCCATCAGCATGTGATGTTCATCAGAGCGATAGTTACTGAAATAGTAACTCAAAAGGAATTTGTTGAAAAGCAGTTTAGGTGAAGCATTTAATAATATTTGGCATTTGTTGGTTAGGTGCTTTTGATATTTTGTAGTTCAAATATATTCATCAGGATCATAACATCACCTTAATGTTAGTCTGTTTTCTCTGCCATGAGACTGCAATAATGCATAATGCTAAATTATCTTGATACAAAAGCAAATGCAGGTTGTTGTTTTTATATTAGCTAGCAATATTAATATCAGCTAGTTATTTAGTTTGACATAGGCAGTCATTGGAAAATGTGCTAAGACTGTCTTTAAAGTCATGAAAATTTCGGACTGTGAAGCTCAAGCTTGCATGTTTTGGTGATGATAAGACTTACACCATTAACTCCACTTCTGAAGATTTGGTGCACTAGTGCCACAGTGAGACCTAGCATAACCATGTGATGGTTAAAACTGTTACCAATCCTGTGCTGCAAAACTGCTGGAGGTACAATGGATTAGAACAGCACAGCATGGGGGGGTGGTAGTTACAGAGTATGCACAGAAAACTCTGCTTAGCATGTGCATTGAAATAAGAACCTTCTGTGCAAACAATGCAAACTCCACTAAGAAACAGGGATGCTGGTCCCCTAAAACATGGACTTTTTGCTTTAGACAAGGTGATTAGCATCTGTCACATGAACAGTTCTGTCCTTTCAGCATTTTGTCACTGCCTTCACAGGTGTGCTGTGCTGTACATCACCTAGCTGACCCACCACCAGCCGACCCGCGATGTCGGCAGGCCTCCTCCTGCGCCAGCTGGGGTCGGCGCACCGGCACGTGGCACGCGCCAGCCTGCGCACCTCGAGCCAGCTGCGGCTGCCACTGGTGCCGTTCGTGATCGAGCAGACGGGCCGCGGGGAGCGCAGTTATGACATCTACTCACGGCTGCTCAAGGAGCGCATCATCTGCGTGATGGGTCCGATCGACGACGCCGTGGCCAGCCTCGTGGTGGCGCAGCTGCTGTTCCTGCAGTCGGAGAGCACCAACAAGCCCGTCCACATGTACATCAACAGCCCGGGCGGCGTGGTCACGGCCGGGCTCGGCATCTACGATACGATGCAGTACATCCGGCCGCCGGTGGCCACGTGGTGCGTGGGCCAGGCGTGCAGCATGGCCTCGCTCCTGCTGGCGGCCGGCTCGCCGGGCATGCGCCACGCGCTGCCCAACGCGCGTATCATGGTGCACCAGCCGTCCGGCGGCGCCTCCGGACAGGCCACCGACATCCTCATCCAGGCGGAGGAGATCGGCAAGATCAAACGCCAGATCAACGGCCTGTACGTTAAGCACACCAAGCGCGAGCTGGCCTTCGTTGAGGCGAGCATGGAGCGCGACAAGTTCATGGACCCGACGGAGGCGCTGCAGTTCGGGCTGATCGACAAGGTGCTGGAGCACCCGCCCAAGCACGGTGCCGCCGAGGACACAACGGACTGATGTCGGCCTCCACCGGGCCTCGGTGGCAGGCTCCCTGTGTGGTGGTTGGGCCCTTGTGTATGAGCGCTTGAGGCCGACTGGCTGCTGCAGCTAGGCGACCGGGGACTCTTATGCTGCGTATGTGGCGTTCGTTTTATGAAATGCGTAGCTTATAAGTGGATGCATGACTTGTTATTGAAACGTGGGTTGCTGGCCAGCTTATGGAGTACTCTGACTTTCTGAAGAAAAGCGTGCACCAGTTGCCGTTTTGAGACCAATCTGCCAACACAAGTCGTTAGATCCAAACCATGAAGAACTTCGCCTTGTACGTGATATCGACTCTCAGCCCGATTTAAACTTGTTACAAAAAGATGGATCCACCGGTCGGTCAATTTTCGGCACTTTTCAGCTGTTATGACATGCGATCTCCCTTGGCACGGCAGTACTGTCTTAATGTGCAACAACTGTATGACAATACATGCTCGCACGCCAGTTTGTGCCACCTGTTCGCGCCGGTAATCTCCGCTAAGGATGTAGGGCCGGAAAACGGCGTGTGGCGTGAGTCGTGCGCCGGAGGAGCTTGTTGAGTGTGAAGGCTCATGTGTTTGTATTAAGTACGAAGGCTACGCGGCCGCTGCAGTCCTGGGAACATGTCTCAAACATGTGATGCTCGATTGCAGCGAACGGGCGGCGAGTAGACTGGCATCTATGTTCAAGCTCGTTGCACGGTGCGGAGGGCGGGGTGCAAATAGAATGGTTACTTAGTTAAACTACTCACGCAAAACAAATCGCCTAGTCCAAGTCTAGGAAACGAGCGTTACGTTTCCGACGCCAGATGAAGCAGTTTTGTGTCTACGGATGCAGAGTTCACGAAACGGCGAGAGGGTGTAACTGTTACTCGGTTATTGCGTAAGGTGAGTGGCTAGGTATAGCCATCTGTGTCTGTAGTCAAAACCTTTTATGGCGCACGCACAACAGGTCAGGTCGGTTTCCTTGCTGGTGGCTGGTTCCTTGCACAGCCGGCTTGCGCACATGCCACTTTAATTATAAAACAATTGCTGTAAATGAGCCACCTACCCGACCTTGAAACAGAATGCCCCAAGCGGATGAGAACTCTAGATTGAGGCCTACCAACTGCGGGCAACCGCAACACAACCAGGGAACAACTCGTGAACTGAAGGAAGCCGGGAAGCTAGCGGCAACAGTTTGATACAGGTCAGGGACTGGACGAAACGCCCGCTCCGTCACCAACCATCCCGAGCCACGATGATTGGGCTGAGTGCTACAATGGCTTGGTCACACAGCACCTGAACTCATGAATTCACGCATTGTTAGGTCCCGGACCTGCACAAATGAATGCTTGCATATCGCAACTGCTTTGCTACATCATAAAAATGGGCTTCTCCTCGGGCCTCACTTGCCAGCAACTGGATATCCCTGCTCCAAAAATGAATGAGCCCATCAACAGCGGCCGGTCATGTATATTTTCCAATAAAGCAAACTAACGGTGGCAACAAGCAGCACGAAGTGGTCAGTAGCAGAATATCTCAGCGGCACCGACTGGCTGCCTTTCAGTCCATCTCAGCGTCCCATCACGACGCCCTGCACTGACGGCAGGCGCATGGAGCCGCTCGCCTCCGCGGCGTCACCCACAGCCGCCTCAACAGACGGCGATGGGGCCGGCCGCGGTCCGACGCGGCACGGACACTCATTAGCAGGTCCGGCACAGCCGGGCGGCCACGCAGCCCAGCGCCGGCCGGCCGGGCGCGGCAGCCACATCGGGCCCACAGCGGGGCCTCGCGCGTCGCTCCGTCCCCGGGCGCGGCGGCGCATCACGAGGCGGCCTTCTGCGCGGCCTGCTGCTGCGCCGCCAGCTGGTGCATCTTGGCCTCGAGCGTCTCCTGGATGGCGTCGCGCAGCCGCTGCTTCTCCATGCCGATCGTCTGCAGCTTCTCCATCTGTTCCGTCACGAACTTGATGCGCCGTCTGCGGACGGCGCTCGGTCACGCGCCGGGGAGTTATGACGGAGTGGGGACGACAGTGGAGTACCGGATGTCGTGAGACGACGCACCAGCACGAAATGGAACGGAACACAACGCCCCTCGCCATGAATCTACTTAGCAGCGGCAGCAACGTCATGAATCGGCCTCACACCACCAGCACTCACCCGAGCACGAGGCCACTCACTTGAAGTACTCCCGCGCGCCAGCCGTCGTCTTCTCCAGGTAGTAGCCCGTGCCCACGTCCACCAGCACGTGCTCGGGATCGACCAGCCGGCCCGGCACGTACATGGAGGCCGTCAGCGGCACAAGGATGTCCTTTCCGGACTTCTCCGGCGTCAGCTGCTCTACGCTATCCAGGGATTCGGCGAACTTCTGCTGTGCCATCTGCAGGTGCGGTGAGCATATGTTCAAACTGCAGGTGCGGTCAATGAACGTTACATGGCGAGGTCCAGCCTTGCTGAGATTGTGTGTCATACAAGTAAGAAGGTAACTGTCGTGACGTTCTGCAGCTCGTAACCGTCGCAAGTGGTTGAAGGTAACTGTGGATCCTCTATGGGTTTGTGCTAGCCCAAAAACTTTGGGAAGATTTCCATATTAACATAGATCTGAACTGATCATGGAAAGCAGCATGTCCAATGACCACCACAATGTCATCTAACCAAACTTCCCTCCAAATCCGTTAGTCATTGATAGCTGAGAACGTTGACAGGTGGGCTTTTGGGTGTGTCGTTAACCATTGTAAATTGGCATCCATCACAGTGTGCTAGCAACTAGGTGGGTGAGAACACAGCGGAGGAAAGTAACCCACAAAATGCCCACATTCTGCCACTGTCCTGGAAACAAGTCGTTTCACAAACACCGCGATATCTGAGCGAGGGATCATATTATCCAAAATAGCACAACCCTGCCATGTCCATTCTCATGTGTCAGTGTCAATTGCCGACAAAAAATGCCCACATTTTATCACTGTTCTGGAAACAAGTTGTTTCACAAACACCGCGATATCTGAGAGAGGGATCATATTATCCAAAATAGCACAACCCTGCCATGTCCATTCTCAGGTGTCAGTGTCAATTTTTCTGGGGGGAATAGATCAGATTTTGGGCACACCAAGGCCCTGTACATTAGCATGTACCTTCAGTTGCTGTAAAGAATCATTAAACAGGCCAACTTCTTGGTCAAGCTGTTGCCTCATCTGGTTCAGCTGCTGCACGTTGAGCTTGTCAATTTCGATTGTTTGCATCTTCCCTGACCCTTGTGACTCCATCTTGGATGTGTGTTGTGACCTCTGGAAAAGAAACAAAGAGTATGATAATTATTTACAGGTGGCAGCTGTAAGCTACCACTCTTTGTCTGTTTTCTGACTGATATCTTCTTTACATGCAGTCCTCTCCATCTAGGGGAGAGAGAGGCAAGAATTTCCTTGCTGTTGAGCACAATATGGGATCTTCAGACAGTGATTGGGAATCATTTCACTCAATACTAATTATAGGCCTTTGACCCAGGATCACAGTCATTTCAAAATCACGGACATAAACCTAAATGACTTGAAAGGGTTCAACCCCTATTGCCACTTGCATTGTGGCATGAGCTACATTCATATTATGCAATACCACCTTCATGTGGCACTGGATTAGTGAATTCAGGGCCATCAATAGTATAGCATTCAATATGATTGTTATTATTGCTATTGATGCTATTGGGTAAAGGCAAAGAAGCATACAAACCTTCAATGTCCTACACCTGAATTCATGCATTTTTCCTTTGGCTTACCCTTACTACAACATCCTTCATTTGAATTTGCTCGCTTTGGGTTTTGCCTTGTCCTACACCATAAAGAACAGCCTTTAAAGACTGCCTCTACATAAATATTCAGAGGGACATGTGGGTTTTAATTTATTAAAACCAGATCACAACCAGCAGGGGAACTGCTTTGAACAGTGTAACAATAAGCTCAGATATTGTCATTTATCACATAAAATCTTAAAAATGATTTAACATCATAGCCAGGGGGTAAGGTGGTCCAACTTGGCACCACCAGGATATAAGCAGGTGAATGAGGAATATAAAACAGCTGAAAACACTTGGCAATTTATGAGTAACAGCCAACCAAGTGCCAATGAGCCAGTCTAAAAAGTCTATCCATTGCACCAGAAGATAACTAAAAATCGGTGGTGATGCCTAGCATTCTATGAATGACCATTAGCAGAAGCATCTACTTCTAGTCAGTTGGCTACAAACCTACCCAATGCTGTTGACACTAACCAAAAATGGTTGACATAGAGCTGGCATCAACATACACCAAATGTAGGGTGGAAAAGTAAAACATGCTTGTGCTTGAATTTTTTGGAGCATTTTACCCCTACAAACATGACTCAGATGTTATACATCCTTGAAACAGTGCCTTCCTATGTGCTGATTTTTGTTGACTGAGGACCAAACAATGAACACTCAGATTTACAGCATGCACGACAGTAAAACCGCTACGCAAAAACCCGCATGTTACAGAGTCTAAGGCAATCTGCACGCCACGTTGAGCCATTTCGACTCATGCACGTTTCGCTGGTTCTTGCACCCCCAAAGATGCCTTTTACTTCAGGAGCCGAGGCATTGCAAGATGTTTATCTTAAAAACGATAAAAATAGCTAAAATACCTCCAGAACACCTTAACCGCTCCAGTACTTGACCTTACCACCACCCACACTCCCATACACGGCCGTGCCCTCACCAGCTCATCCGTCGCATAGCGTGCAGACTGATCTATTCCAGCACATATGAAAATTCCACTGCAGGCCGCGTTCGCTTTGTCGTTAGCACGTTTGTCAGCACCAATCACGGCCCAGTATTCGCCCTACGTCACGTGGCCTGTGACGTCCTGTACCGGCTGACGCTGATAGTAGGATTTTGTCAGCTTGGGGAGACAGCGCTACCAGATTAAAAATCACTGATGCGGGGGTTTGATTTCGTAGTTCTCGTGTTGGCGAGCACGTTAGCAGGGGTGAGGATGCTTGGCTCTAATTTGGGGGGAAATGCGGCGTAAGATAGATAAGGAGGGAATTGAAATGCCAAGAGTAGCCACGAAAAGGTGACAGGAATTGGTGTGGTGTGGTTGCGTTACCCAGTAAGTTAGTAGCGTTGTAAGTAAACATTTAAAATGAGAGGGACGAAATTGGAAAGAATTAGAAGTGGGAAGAAGCACTCAACATACGGATGGGATAGATGATGGCAATACTGGGACAGAAGCCACACTTCCAAACACCACTTTGTACGCACTGTGCCATAGTTGGTGGTAAGCCAGAGTTATCACTTGAATGAAGGGCTCTATGATCTTGTCGGGGCCCGCATCTGTTACCCTCCTCGAGCACACTCGATCATTCGGAGACCCTCCACATTGTGCCTTGGGTACATTCTGTTCGAATGGAGGGCCTTGCGCACTTGTCGGGTGCCGTCTGTTCACCTCCCCGGGCACACTAGATTATTTAAAGGCCCTGCACATTGGGTTTTGGTATTTAAATGTAGGGCCCTACGCCCTGTCAGTGGCCATCAGATAGCCTGCACGGGTACACTCGATCTTTCAGGACCCTCCACACTGGGTCCTGGGTATTTGTTATTTGAATGGGGGGGCCATACGTTCTTGTCGGGGCCCCTTTTGATAATCTGCTCCGGCACGCTTGATCGTTCGAGATCCATCTACATTGGGTCTTGATTACTTCCTATTTGAATGGAGGATCCCATACTCTTGCTGGGGGCTCTATCTGTTAACCTGCTCGGGTGCACTGAATCTTTAGGGCCCTCCTCATTATGTCGTGGGTATTTATGTTTTAATGGAGTGTCCTACGCTCTTGTTAGTCCCCCCCCCCCCCTGTATACCTTTTATTTCAATGGATGGTCTTATGTGTTTGTCGAAGCATCATCTATCAAACTGTTCGGGCCAATGGCGGATCCGGAAGAGACATCGGACTGTGCTCGTCCGTTGTGCCTCTTGGGGACCCATACGCTCTGAAGGGGCTCATGACGAGGCGAACGAACCCAGCTTTCAAACACAAAGCACAAAAAACTTAGCATCTCTGAGCCTCCAGACGACCAAGAACAGCCACAAGTGGAAGTGAAGCCCGCGAGCAAACAAACCCATTACGCTGTCCCGAGGCGTTATCACCGTCCAGGAGCCTATCACGTTGGTCTTGCGTTCTTCTCACTTCCTTTGAGAACCCCATACTGAGTTGACGGAAGCCTCTTTGTTGGGCCTACTGGCGCTCATGATCGCGCGGGTTCCGTCGCTGTTGGTCTTGGTGCCTTGGCCTTAGAGCGGCAGTCGGATATGCACAGATGAATTTTTACGCGCAATTGTCGAACATAATTTTGCGTACCGCCGACGTCGCATGTGCTATTTCGGTTGGTTATTTAATTTCTCACATTTATTATGTTTGTGCATCGCATTCCTACTTATCTTATATGATGCATTTTAATGCTAGAATATGTTGCACTCCTTCACAACAAAAATCACAACATAAACGAATAAATCGAAAATTTGGCATTAGTCATCAGCCATCAGCTGGTGACATCCACCAGCCGGCTAGCTGTAAATATGGTTGTTTTTTCCGAAAAATCTAGCCTCAAAATGACAGCGTTCGCCATGATCTGGAGAAGCGAATAAGTTCCAAGCATGTGCATACGTAGCACACCTAGTTTTCTTGGGGTGTGTTCGGTAAGATAGCTTTCCGTATAAAGTAGCATGCAGATTCTTTTGCTAGTTGGCCCACCGTATGGATTCGCAGGTAATCATCATCGGGGCAATTTTCTGCCATAAGCCGACTGAATGGGAGTGACTGCAATTGGTGGCGAAAATTTCAGCGCACCGAAAATATATGGACTTGTACAAAACAGATGCTTGCGTCCTTACATGAGCAGAAAACGTCACTATACTGGGATTCTTCAGCTAGCATTCATACATTTGCACCTCCTATGCATGCTTGACACCGGTCATATTTAAGGGAGGCCTGTAGTGTGGTCGCCACACACAGTCTGCAGGTTATGTGCAACGATCAGACCCTTCACTTATGAACGGAACAATACAGCCATACACCACGTATGCCTCGAAATTCATCTAAAGTGAATGGTAACCACCTGGTGTAAGGCTCACCGCGGTACCACCACGTGGTCCCTCCCCTCCATCGTCACTGAATTACGCCCGAATTCCTCGTCGTCCGGCCGAAACTTCCTCTCAGCTCTTAAGGCTTGGCCGCCGATATGACCCATCGGCACGCTGGAATTACTCATCGACTCCAAACAGTTATTTCCTGGAACGATTCCGCGGCTTGCCGGAATTTATGATTGGCTTATACGTGCGAACCTTGTCTATTGGAGTTGCTGGAATGATTTTAGCAACGGTCCGCTCAGAGGCCGTATTCACCGCCGGTGCTAAAGGCCAGTTACTCACAGTTGTCTTAGCAAACCCCTTTCTGTGGCTGCTAGTCAATCCGCCGGTTGAAAAAAATCAACGAACTTTTCCAACAGGTCATGCCATTTTCCGGCCTCCATCTTGCGGGTATCGCAGGAAAACAGCTGAAGAGCGAATCTCAAGCTCTGCGAGTGGTGAATTCATCGAAATTTTTCACGTTCGAACGGAACGGAATGAGAGAAACACGGAAAAGAAACTTATCAATTCATTGATCATTGAAAATTCAATTTTTCTCCTTCGCCTCCCGCGAAGAACTCCTGCTTATGTGACGGGTAGGTCTCCCGCCGTCGCTTTCTGCGAAGGGTTGTTGAGTAAAGCATCTGCGACGCATTAAGCCAGTCATGAAAAAACTCGATTGAACTCGTAGAAGACTCGCCGTCTTCCCAGCTGTACGCAATATACGAACTGTGGAAAATAGCGGGATTAACGTCAAAAACATGTACCTGGCTACGAGACATCCTGCCTACTGGCGTAACATTCGGGCCGCGCAGGATTCATTGATCTGCATATTTCCTATTAACTGTTCATTGAAATGCACAGAGCAACACCAGACAGGGGTCGGCACATGATTTGGCACCACACATAAGCGATGCATTTGTGTACTAGGGGTGCAGGTTGCTGTAATACAATACTAGGCAAGCACTAAAGGAGTGCACGACATATTACGTATCAGAAAAGTGTACGTGTGCGTAACCTCAGCATTTTTGCAGAACATCCTTCCATTCTTACGTTAATGCAACACATAGTTATAAAATACAGAAAAGGGCCGGGAATCTCAGGGAACCGTTGAAGGGTCGGTGACTCCTCCATCGCGTTTGCATTTTGTAGAGGTGTAGGCGCCAAGCACCCAATCATCGCGTTGGTGCGCAAGGACGATAGGGTCTCCCAACACCGTTGTCTGTCTTAATGTCCCTCCGACTGGGTATGCCTTTACCTGGCTGTGTCTATCACTTTGTGTGACTACTCTCCTCCCACGGTGTCAACGTTTTTAAGGAGCCTCCCCCCCCCCTCCCCATTTTGATCGTCCTGGTGCACATGTCCAGAACGATCGCCCGGGCCAGCTGTGACAAACAAAACCGTACCCGAGGATTGGAAAAAATAGCGCGTGGTTCGCGGCGGATAGACACGCCGCGCGCCGCATCTGATCTGTCTTACGCTTCAAACGCGGCTTTTACCTCGTTTTTGGTTTTCTTGATTTTTTAAGAACAGCTGTCTCACTTGGAAATGCTTCGACCTCAGACCGCACGCATCTACCTTAACTTCGATTCTGTCTGGACCATTTCAAAGATCTGGTTGGGCGTGAGCTGCCGGAAAATCGAGGTTCTCACTGAGGAGCGGGGTATTTTGTGGTTTGCTGGAGAGGGGGGGGGGGATTCTTGTAGCTACCTGTCGTTAATGGCAGGCATTATTCTCCCCCCCCCCCCGTTAACATGTTGAAATATGCCGTGCTGTGAGCGTGGAGTCTCACATTTCAGCATAAAATAAAGATGAAATTTGTGATCGGCATTAATCAAGACTTGTCTTAATGAATACTGAGTGGACACTCCCTTGATTTTACTCATTTCACAAACACATTACATCTGCATCAGGGGCGTAATTCCATAACATGAGTAAGGGGCTGAGCAGTGAAAAATGGCCCAACCCACCCCAAAACATGCCAAAAATAAATTTATCTGCAGATTTGGCCCACTTTGTTCCTAAAGTTGGGGAGACCGGGGCCCAAGCCGAGGTGCGCAAAAGCTCCCCCTCAACTGGAAAGGAAATTACACCCCTGATCTACATTATTGGTTTTCGGTTTTGACAAGAGCATTGGGAACACTGAGCTGCCGAATTTGGTCTTTGAATTTCGCCTCTTACGGCGCATTGGTCAAAATTGACGGTTCATATAACGATGCATGCAGTTTCTATGTGAATTGGCCGAGTAAGTGTAACGTGAAACATACATTGGGAAAAAGGAGGATGTGTGGAATGCGTCTTCCAGCGGGCGCGGGTGCCTTCCATCAGCAGGATATATAATCCAGCATTACGTTTACTCAGCGTACGGAGGGACGTGGCATAAGTGTTCGGCCTGGACAAGGCATAAGTCTAGTTATGAGTTCTGACGCTTGGTCGCATTGTATATCTGCAAACAGCGTATATGCTGGGCATGGCTGGAAATGCTGTGGAGGAGGGGGAGCCGGATCCCCGGGACCTGAAAAACCAGAGATTTGGGGGGTCCAGGGGTCCAGGAGTTCTTTGAGATGGTCCTATTTGGCTCACACAGCTCGAAGAAAATGGGGGAACTGGATGAGCAACACTCGAAAAGTTTCCTAGGTGAGAAAAATGTCTAGATATACGACAGCAACAAATGTTCCCTTCCGATGTTCATTAGACCCAATGTGGCGATTTCGGGCCCATATGGACATTCAGTGGACTCTTTCTGACCACCAGGGCATGTTATATAGCCATTTCTGGCACACTACCTTAGTAGCCACTTTGGGTCATTTGGCCTTTTGAAGTCCATATTCAGTTCCACCACTAGGTTTCAGCACCAGTTGGCGGTGTTGTGAAAGTTAATCCTTTCTGGTCCTCAAACGGAAGAACGCAACGTGAAATAAACGCCCAGTCTAAGCGTTCTAATTGATGCCCTGAAACGTTTAAAGACACCTGTTTCAAATACGCCTCCGATTTTGTCCACCCGCTGACCATCAACTAGTGTTAGCTGCAAGGTGGCGCCGCGCAGCCTACGGAGACTGCAACGCCGAGCGGCGGGTTTGTTGCTCCTAAGACTTGCGAGCGGGTATGTTCATAACTAACATATTTAGCCTTTTCATTACTCAATTCTGAACACAGGATGGGCATCTCCAAAGGAACATGAGTTGACCATGGTGACACATAATTTTTACCGCATTTCATTCTATGAAGTGCGTTCGCAGGGTCCTCAATATCTATGTATAGAACCCAGCAGAAATTCCGTCCAAGGCCCTGATGGCCCTTCGGAACCCTTCCCTTCAGCTGGCACCATCATAGCAAAAGTTTCACTGAGTCATTGTAAAATGAGTAGTGCTAGTGCTTTATTCCATGTAGCCATTTGCCGCCTGGTCATTGACTCCAAAATAAAGAAGGGAAATGACATCTTCCAGTGACTTCTGGCTTGGGTTTGTGTTAAAAAAGTGAAAGGAATAGTGACGCAAAGAAAATCGTGTCCCTCGAATTCAAGTGGGTCATATCCGGAGATTTTTGAGGGAGGGGATTTTCCCATCAGAGTGCCATATGTCAACCCTGTGCATCCTCTTAGAAAAACTTTGGCTGCACCCCAAGGGACCTTTGTGTACTCAAGGTCGCTAATGCGCTGTTTCAGGTGCTCGGGCCTCTTCTGCCCACAAAGGGCCCTCCTGGCCAGTGAGGAGTTCCCGGCCTGCGGCGTTTCCAGTGCCTGCTCAGGGGCTTTACTGAACGCTTTTACTGACGGGCTTCGCTGGTCATCGATGGGCACCCCTAATCGCTCAGCGGCCCTCCTGGCTGCTGAAGGGCTCATCCAGCTACTCAGGGCCCACCGGCCCGTCCAGCGGCCTGTTTGGCACCAGAAGCATTAAACTGTGCACTTGCGACTCTCCGGACACTCGGAATCTTGAAATTTGTTCACGGCACCTCGGGCCGCTCCTACCGCCCAAGAGCCCCTCAGGCTCCTCGTGTGGCCTTCTGGTCGCTCGTGAGCCGCTTGGACCGCTAGGCCCTTTGGACGCTCAGTAGTCGAAGTGAACGTCCAAATTTCAGCGCTCCTCTGATCGCTCAGATGTCTGGCTAGCCAGTGATGGTCCTTCTGTCCACCAAGTAGGCCTTCGGCAGCTGATACACCTCTCTGGCTGTTTAGGGGCCCACTTGGATGCTCAGAACATGACTGGAGATCCTGCAGGTGTTTCCGGGATCCCCAGACCCCGGAAAACCTCATGGGCGTTAGCTTTGAACCTGGGGTGTAGAGGTTTCTAAAGCGATGTCCGCAGGAGTTCTAAAGCGGGTGTCCGGTGCCCTTGGCTGCTCATAAGCGGGATCTTTTCGGAACGCGTAGCGCGAAGAAAAATGAACGAATTCAATTAGAAAGTAAAAACAAGGTATTTTGTCCAACTGTAGCTTAAAGCAGTACCACAGATTCGTTCTGCTGAAATGGATGGCTACAACAAGCTCGGAGCCCTGGATCGACCACGAGAATCTGGGTACCCATCACACAAAGCTCTGACACGCCACGAGCCACTTTGAAAATTGTAATGATACCCGTAAACCATTCAATGCTGGTCTGAGCACTTTGGACGGAATTTTACTTTTCGAAACGGTGCTACCACCAGCCTCGCAGACGCAGGAACAAAGGGTTCCGCGGTTGTCACGACACTCCCACTTGCTTAAAATACTGGACATTAACTTCGTGACGGCGCAAAGAAAGACCCTGCAGCCTTGTAGCCCTCTGCCTCTAGTAGCCTTGGAAAGATCCTTCAAACTCGGTATTTCCACCCCAACTTTGTGGGACACTCCTGCGTTTACGCAAACCCTTCAGCCTCGCAGAGGCCTGTAAAAAAAATTGTCGGGAAGCGGACAGAATACTTTGATGTACTGGAATTTTTGTCACGGAAAACAACATTTTTTTACGCCGCAAACACGATAGAATATGAAGAATTATGTATAAACACGATGAAGTATGAAGAATAGTGCACACGTCACCGCTGCGAGTACAGCGTATTTAGAAATGAGGCTACCCGAAGCAGGGCTGAACTTCCAAATGCGCGTCAGCATAATTCTGCACGCATTTTCAACCGTTGCTTTGTTACGCACGTGCGAAAAAGGCATGTGCGCCGCTCCTGCCCGTCTCACATGTTCTGTAACGCCACATTCTGGACATGTTGGGCTAGGCGCACGGTCTCCGCTCTACTGCAAGCCCTGCGGAAGGCCGCTGCTGGTCGATTCTGTTGCTAGGCAACCAACGCTTTCAGGTAAACAAACGCGGCTGGCGCGCGTCGGCGGGGAGCGTTCTGTGGAGCGTGGGAGAGCGTTGTGGAGTGTTGATTTTTGTGCAAGTGTGTTACATTTACCAGTGCTCTACCAGCTGGACAGGTTTATACAAGGGCGGTAATTTTTGGCCTTCCGGCCGTGGTCTCGGTGAACACTGACGTGATATGTCGATTCTTAGCAAACACCTTGGATACAAGCATCTGGAATAGAGATGTGCGAAGCATGTAGTGGACTGTGATACGCGGCGTATGAAATGTTGCCGTCGGCATGCATGTTATAGATATGTACCTTTATGATCCGACAATCGTGTCCCACCTGATGAATGGATTGTTTGAGTGTTTGTTTGCGAGCAGCGGCCTGTGTTTGTGACGCTCCGCTTGAAGTGGTGTGTGTGCCTGATACCTCCAAGAGTCTGGACGAGGCTAACCATCGCCCAGATCATGGCTGCTAGTGGTGACAAGCAGCCATTGACAGTATCGGATAGGAATGATGGGGCGCGAACTGGCATCATAAGCCGAACAAAACGTAGACTGTCAGCGGTGCTTCGCGAAAAACCGCAAATCCTGTCGAATAAGAGCGTAAAGGAGGACAACAGTCTACGTGGATGGCGAAATCCGTCATATGAAATGACTGAATCCAAGGAATCAGGGAAAGTTGTCGGCACGACAGAAAAAAACAGCCCCCGAAAAGGAGACGTAGGTAGGGAGGGCATAGCAATTCACACCAATGCCCGCAAGAGAGAACGGCCAGACGCGGAGACGAAATCTGTCCAAGAAGAGCATGAGATGCAAGAAATAGATGCGAACAGGGCAGAAGCCAACGTGAATATGATGGAGGAAACAGGCGCAGGCCGGGACGATGGTACACCGCAGACAGAACATCGATCGAGCGGAGGACAGAAATCGACGCGACGCGACCGGAAAAAGCCGGGTGGCGCGAGCCGGAAGCAAATGGGCACTAACCCGTCCCCGGCCGACCGGGAAGCGGCGGGTTCCTCCGCTTCTGCCGCGTCAGACCAGGTGATGGGAGTCATCGTGCATCAGTGTGACCGGCTGGATGGCCGCCGCTGGCAGCTCAGTCGCCCCATGGTGCGCGTGCACCTCATAGACACGAGCAGCGGCGAGCCCGTGCACAAACACGACCCGCAGCGGCGCGTCACGTACTTCTACGAGCCGGACGGCGTGGACACGATCCTGCCGGCGATGACTCAGCCGAGCGCACCGGGCGGCGCCGGCGCCCTGCTGTGGGACGAGCTGCTGCTCTTCAACGAGCCCTTCCAACACCTGACGGCCAGCGAGCCGCGCGTCTGTGTCATGTTCGAGCTGGTCAGCACGCAGCCGGAGCTGTTGACGGCGGCGTGGGCCTTCCTGCGGCTGTGCGGCGCCGGCGGACGGCTGAACACCGAGCAGCGGCTGCGGCTGCAGCTGTTCCGGCCGCCAGCTGACCGCGCCCTGCGCCTCAAGCCCATCTACAGCTGGTGGCGCTCCGGTGGCCGGCACAAGCTGCCCGGCACGCTGCACGTAACGGTGAAGGCGGTGACGCCGCCGGCGCTAGAGCCGGCCCCGCGTTCCTTCTTCCCCACGCAGCCGGAGCGGTCGGGCGGCACTGCGGGCAGCCCCGAGGGCAACGGCCGCCGTGCCAGTGCCGAGCCGCCGCCGCTGCCCACCTGGTCCCGCCTCAGCGGCCAGCAGTGCCGACTGCCCAACACCAGCCACCTCAGGCTGGCCGACGACGCCGAGGCGTGTCAAGCGCTGCGCTTCGACGGCGCCGGCAACCGCCTGGCGTGCGGCGTGCAGCGAGGCGCCCAGTTTCCTGTGCTCGTGTACGCAGTGGAGTCGGGCGCGCGCACGCACGTCCTGCTCGGCCACGGCGGCCTGGTGTACGAGCTGCGCTGGGCCGACGACCGCCTTCTCACGGCCTCAGCCGACTGGACGGCGCGCCTCTGGCGCCTCGACGACGACGGTGGCCACCAGGCGCTCGTGCTGCCACACCCCGGCTACGTGTACGCTGCCCTGTTTCACCTGAGCACGCCGCGCTTCGTCGTCACCGCCTGCTTCGACGGTGTGGTTCGCGTTTGGAAGTGCAGCACCCGCGACGCTGCCGCCGAGCCGCGGCTCTCGGAGGAATTGGCGACCAGCGCCGCGCCCGTGAACAGCCTCTGCTGCGCGCCGGACGGCACGCGGCTCTATGCAGGCGATGCGAGCGGACAGCTGACCGTGTGGGCGTGGCGGGCGAGCAAGGGGCGGCCCGAGGTCACGCTGGAGCGGCGCATCAGCCCGGCGGAGCTGGCCGGCGCGCCCATCAACCAGCTGGAGCTGCACCCGGCCGGGCGGCGCCTGTTCGTGCAGGCCCGTCACGGCGTCATCCTGGCCCTGGACACGGTGCACCTGGTGCTGCTGCAGACACTGACCGGCCACCTGAACAGCCGGGCGCTGCTGCGCGGCTGCCTCTCGCCGTGCGGCACGTATTACATCTCCGGCTCGGAGGACGGCTGCCTGCACGCGTGGAGCACAGACACGGGCGAGCGGTGCGCCGCCTACACGGCGCTGGGCAGCACACGGCCCGTCGTCAGCGTGCACTTCCACCCCTGGGAGCACATGCTGGCGGCGGCGACGCACCGCGACCCGTGCCTCACCGTTCTTCTGCTGAAGCACGAGCGCGAGGCGAGCGGCGCGGCGCTCGGGCTGACACTGCTGCCGCGGGCCATCCAGCCGGCGCCGGCGGCTGCCGACGGCATCACAGTCTTGCTGCCGCCGCCAACCGAGCCGCAGCCGACGCTGCAGCCGATGCCGCAGTCGCTGCCGCAGCCGACCGACCGGGAAGCCGAGGAAGAGGACCGACGCTTCCAGGCGATGATAGACCGGCTCGACTCTGTGATCGCGGTGGCGCGAAACAGTCACGACATGTCGCACCTGTCGGTGGCCAGCGCCCCTGGCGGCGTTGGCCAGCAGCCGGACGAGGAGGCGCCGGGCCGAGACGGGTCCCCCGTCGTCCGCGGCCAGGTGCACTCGCGCCGCAGACAGCAGCGGCGCGAGCAGAAGCGGAGGGAGGCGATGAGTCGGACGGACCCGGGCATCTGAAGGTCCTGGCTGCACGGCCGCTGGTGTCGAGCAGCACTCGCTGAGTGGGGCCGGACCGTGGCTGTCGCAGTCTCGTGCTGACCCAGCCCTCCAGGAGGCGGTGTTGGTGAATTACTTCACCTGGCGACCACCGACATATACGCTGCTCGTCGGAAAGATTTGAAATGTGTAGCGGACATAAAACGTCTCAGCCGATAGCTAAGCGCACGCCATGATTTCAGGACGTTTAATATAAAATATGTCGCTGACACCTTTCTGTTTATTTTGATGTGGAATTTCTTACGTGTTCCATTCGCCAAAGCTGAACTTCAACAACTTCCTCTAGAACTTTAGCTAGAGCGCAATGATGTTGGCAATTTTTCCGTCAGGCTGACATCCACTGATGATTAATATTCGGGAAAAGCGCCGCCCAATGTTTAGAAGAGGTATGTACCCGTCCCAGAGAGTGCGGTTGAGAGCGTCGACCATCATCGCTAATCTGGTAAACATATCTGGCTAATCATGCTAAGTTTCAGGGATGTAGCCCTTGAGAAGACCCATTTAAAAAGCTCTAGCTTGGAGAAGAAAGTGGGCGAAGTCCGGGGAGAAGCCCGTTGTTCTGGGGGAAGGTTGAGCCATGTTTCACTTTCACTTCCCCGAACTTATTTTTCGAAGCCGCGCCCCTGAATGAACGTCAACTACCGCCTATGTATCGGACATCACCGTCCTGCCGCGGTAAAGCTGGGCTTCCGCTTCCGGGTCCAAGGCCGGTGTACTTCTTAGAATGCCTGCTGACTGGTCAGTGTAAAAAATGGTTGAGACCTGTTTAGCATTTTTGCTCCGTTGCAGATGCTAAAGTTCAGAGAGCTTGTTGCAGTATGGGACAATGGATTACTAGTAACACAACATTCAAAAGTTGAGAAGAAAGTTTAAGGAAGCTAATCTTTTTCGTCACTTGGGAGTCTTACCTTCGATGAGTTATGCCCTTCACTGTTGGAAAACATCTCGCTCATTCGATGAGCCTGAATTCATGCATTTTATGTCCGTGGCATTCATTTTGTCACCGACGCATATGTTGCCACGTTCAGCTTCCAACAAGAGCCTTTCCAATCTGATGCATGTCTCGGACTGTGGTAACATGTGTCCAATGGTTCTGATCTCCAGCATCTGCTTGCATTCCTTATCCGATTAAAACGCAGGCTGTTTGACTGGATCACACGGAAGCAGCCCTGCTGCGGCTGGCCTGGGATGCTCGCGAACTTCCACAGTGCTACACACCGTGTGACGTTTATCGATTCCTGGGCAGGTGCTGATTATGTGATTCAGATGCAGCGCGATCCGGATTTGATTTTTGACGAGATTTGTAATTACTGTCTCTCGCCACAATTCTAACGTTCCTGTCGCTTTTTGATATTTTCAGTTAATCGCTCGGTACGCGTTCGCAGAAATTCCTCACTCTTGAGCCGGGCAGTGAGGGCAGTCTCAGCTGTAGACTGACAAACGTAGGATCGAAATCTGTGGACGGTAGTCTGTCAGTTGAGACCGGACAGGAGTCAGCGAGTGGCTGAACCTCGTATGCAAAGGCGTAGGAGCGGTAGGTTTGTGGATGTCATGTCCTCCTCCCTCCCGCCCTCCCCCCCCCCCCCCCGCCACCCGCTCCCGCACTTCCCCTACATTCCGAGGATGCTAGGCATCAGCACCGGTGGCGACGCCTAGAAGGGATCAGTTTCCAAAAGTGTTTCTGAGACCTCAGTTTCTAAAGAATCCTGCATCTGCGCTCACGGGGTACGATTCCCCGCGGTGGCCGCCGTTCCTGGCAGGGTGAGAGGGTGAGAGACAAGCGACGTTATATAGCCTTACGATGTCACTGCAGCAAATATCGTGAAAAAATTTCGACGACCACCGGGCTTAAGAATTGCCTGAACAGAACTTCAAGATGAAACAGTGTAAACGCAAACGCTCACCTTTTAGATGGTATGGCTCCCCATCGACTGATCGTTCCACACGCCTCCGGCACTTCGTGAGTGCTACCATGGGAGGTAACGCGATCGCAGTATGTGATGCCGGTCATATATGACCTCCACAATGTGCTCATGGGCAATGCGTTAGATCTCGCCAATGCAGCATTACCGACTGTTCGCAGGTGCCGCAGCCTGGAACGATTTCAGAACACATTTTCCCAGGCCTCGTGTTACATGGAGACGCAATGAAGGCCCCAGCCATGGCTGGAAGCTCAGTGCGTGCCGCCCGTTATCATGCATGGAGCACTTACCGTGTCTAGATCAATCATAACTGGTGCTGAAAGGAGCGGCCTGAGGCCCGATCTGAGCTACCGCCAGCTGTTGTGTTCTGATTGGTGGCTGGTTGGTCAATGAATCGCGAATTTGAAAGGCTGAAAGCCGCATCTCCGGCGCATCAGGAGTTAGTTCACCCATAACTTACGAAGAGATCTGATTAGTTAATAGATCGCGAATTTGGAAGGCTGAGAACCGCGTGGCCGGCGTATCAGGAGTTAATTCACCCATAACTTACGAAGAGATCTGATTGGTTGATAAATCGCGAATTTGAAAGGCTGAGAACCGCGTGGCTGGCGCGTCAGGAGTTAATTCACTCATGACTTACGAAGAGAATGCATAATGGACAGCATTAATCGTCCAGTTGAACGTCAGGTGCACAACGGCCGTGCAGAACATGATATGCCCTCTTTACTGATGCTGTGTGCAAACCCCTTATGATGTGGCGTTTGGCGAACTGCCAAAAACGGTATATATCCGTCAGATAAGTGTGTGAAAATGGCAATCGCAGAAAATACCAGCAATACCGCGGGCTATTCTAAAAACAGCTCAAATGTTCCGCCAGATGATATGAAAGCGTTGAAGTTACACCAGCTTTACAACAAGCACAGTCATTACATGAAACTCTTTTTTCTGAGAAGTTGGATTACGTTAAACGCCTAGGGTAAGCGCATATCTATCAAAGTATGTGTGAGCTTGATTTTCCGCCTCTGTGAGGAGCTTCACCTGGCGTAATCCGAGTGCAGCCCAGCCCCGCCACCACGTGGGGGACGTTTGCCAAGATGGCCCGGCGCCAAAGAGCACTGTGAGCGTGGGGAGTGTGGCTGCACGTGCTGCTTGGCCTGAATCTCCTTGGTCGGCTCGCCGAAAACCTGTTAAGTGCGTGCAATACCGAATCAGCGAGCATGGCCGGAGAGCCCCATGTTAGAACAGCAATTGTAAGGAGACACAGGGCGCGTGCGCCTGAGGGAATTGCTATTCCAAACCATCTGGGATATTTATCCGTGCTGGTAGTGCCGAGCGCCGTTCCAGAAAGTTTTCCAACATTCCGGATAATTTTCCGAGGTTATCTGCTGGTCGAGCGCGCCCATGGTCTGGAGCAGAGCAGACGCGAAAACAAAACAGAAATTCCCTGTAAGTTGTCTGGAAACTAGCATTCGGAATCATGGGAACTTTTTGAGAATTAGCAATGGAACATCACAGAATGGTTAATGGTGCAAACCTATGTTCTACTTAATAAATTAGTCACTGGGCATAAAAATGGCATAATTTTCTTAACAAGTGCGCCTAGTTGTTATTGACAGCGCTCTTCATCTAAACCCACAGGGGCACCCATTTGCTTTAGTCAGTCCTGTTCAAGATTACAGGTTCGACGCAAGAAAGTGCTCTCATTTTCCCTCGCAAGATCTCGCGATGTCACATGGGAGCCACTTTCATAGAACGGTGTCTCGTCACGCAGCTTTGCTGCATCAGCATCGTTGGGTGACAAGCAAACCTGTTTTAGATCAGGGGTGTGTTCATTGATGACTAGTGTGCACTGTCTACCCTGATATTTAGCACCCAATGCCGTTTTTTTACTCGCGGTTACGCAGGGACCCTGTCCCTGTCACCGTGTCTCCTCGCTGTGCCCCCCCCCCCCCCCTGCCCCTGCCTCCCTTTCATATGCCGTTTTGATGCGGGTTTAAGAGCTTGCGATTCAGCAGACTAGTTGCGTTTTTCGGTTGCATGTTGACTTAAACGTCAACTACCTGTTTCACTCTAAAAAAAGAGATCCAGGAGTTGGGGAAATTTGTGAAAGCAGGCACACACTACACCACAGAATGACGTAACCTCCGGGATGACGAGAAGGCGGCAGCCGGCTGCGTCACGCTCTCGGGGCGGGTGTAAGCCGATAACCATCCGGGTCTGGTCAGGCCATACCCCGTGCCATTACCGCGGTAATGTACGGTGTTGACGGCCGCGCGGCCCGTAATTACGCCCAGCTGGGACGGACGCGCCGGGACCCGTTGCAGCGCGCCGCCGCACCGCGGCGCCACCGTCTGCGGCGCCGCCGCGTGGGTGCCGGCGGGTGGACCCGCAGTCGTGTTCGTCACAGCTCGCCGGGAGGTTCACGGACGGTGAGAGCAGCTGTTGACGCGCGGTGACAGAGAGCATGGCCTGCCCAATCGGAAATGGAGCTTGCCCAGCCGGCGGTCAGAGGTGAGCCATTGTGTGGTCTTGGCCGTGTCGACCAGAGTTTGGAAGGGTCGCGCTGAAGGGCGCAGATCCGGTGTGCAAGTGCGAGGAGGCGGCACATCCGGCTCGCATTGCGTGTGGTTGCAGGAACTGCTAAACCAGCATAAGTACCCCGTGTTCGTATTCGATTCCTGATCGGCGTTATGGGTATGCGCGTTAAGATCCCGGACTCTCAGGTAAGTGGCTCGCGTTCCCAGCTAGTGCCAACCGGGAATGCAGGATGTTCGGTTCACGGTGTATTATAGCCTCTGGCTTCCAGTATGGCCTTAATCGCTAATGGTCCACGTAACGGTGCACGGTTCCGCTAACCGCTTTTTGTTTTGTTCAGTTTAAACGAGTAAATCATGTGGCAGACTCCCACTTCGGAGTCTGGGTTCGACTCCCGCGTGACGCTATAGACCTCCGCGCGTTAATGTGACCGCCACAATCGCCCATGGTTCATCAAAGTGCGTGCAACGACGTGTGCTGCATCAGCCCCTACGTGGAGAAAAGATAAGATAGTTTTGCGGAGTGTGAATTCGGCCCGTACGAACTACCATGGGCGTACCAGTGTCTCCGCTACAAACGGCGTGTAATATGGGCGTTATTCCGAGTGATATCAGGTGAGGACATCATGAAATAATCAGAACACTATTATTTAAGGTGTTTGGCGTACCAAAAATCCTGTCCTCTGGTTGAGAGATCGGGCGTACCATCAATCGCTCCAGAATTAAATCAGTAAAGGTGGCAGACAATTTTCGGAATTGTTTGGTTCTTTTTCTCCCAGAAATTTGCTTTTTGTGCGCTAATAATCCTGCAATGTTGCGGTGTTCACATAGATTGTCGTGAGGTCAGTTCTCTGTTGTACTATGTTCATTTGAATCCCCGTGTTAGTCCGTAACGTTTTGGCTGGGGTTAAGGCACCATACCAGCGATATTTGAGATGTTCCTGAGCTTCCAAGAGCTGAGAACTATGTGGTCTTCAAAAAGAATGTCTTCTTTTTGCAAAACAAATAAAACTGGAATGCATGTCTAGATATGCATACTCCATTAAAAAAACAAAAGACGCAGCATCTCCTGATTTAGTCAAGCTTTTTCGTCCTTTTTGTTAGGTTTTCACTGCTGACTCTGGCATTATGTGAAAAATGTTACTGTGTCCTGGGCACTTCGGAAGACGAGGGAACTACATAATGACTCCATCATGGCAATAGGGACATACTTCAAGACAAGGCGTTGCGGCGCTGTTAGCCAAAACAAGCGTGGAAATGACAAGATGTCCATGTTCAGACTTGCTTGGTGCTGGACATGGCTAGAGAGCTTTGATGGGCCTGTCTTCCTAAATCGTATTAGCCTTTAAGGTTGCATGCATCCAGAATTCAGGAGCTATGCTCATCGGAGCCATGTCTGGATTGAATGCGTCGAAAGTTGCAGCATAATCTGTTAGTCATATGGCATCTGTCTGTCTATGAATCACCCTTCACTGTGTACTGGGGTTTCAAGCTGCTGCCTTCCTTATGGACCCTGTGTGAAGGAAGCGACATTCCCGAATATGGCAGCACCCATACTGCTGGTCCAAACATCCGGTGTTTCATCCCATCACGCCGCGGGTGGTCAGCTTAGCAAAGCGTTGTAAAAGCGCAGCAGTTGCGTCGTTCAGAATCCATCATAGCTGAAAAGATGCGTTCAGTTTTCAAGCGTTCACCTCGTTTTAGAAGCAAACATTGAAGACTTCATGGTGGACCGAAATGGACCAGAAACGACAAGCTCTTGGCGGTTTATTTCATATATCAATGGCAAGAGCTACCCAGGTGGCGCATTCGTGAGGAACTGGCCACCATGACACGGTATGGGAATGTCATACGCTTGACAGAAAGTGACGCCGTTGTGGATGAGGTGAAACATAGTGTCATGGTCAACTCACTAAAATTTCACACTCCGTGCTTTTGTCATCATTCAATTAGGGCAGCATATGTAATTTTGTTACATGTCCGCATCTTAAGTACTCTGTAACTTAAAGCACACTTATTGTACGCCAAAAGAAGCCTTTCAGCGAGTAAGTCTGTTATTCTTCAGTCCCGTCAGTCATCTCCATTGGAATCTGCTAAAGGCTGGTGACCATTCTTCAGGTTGTCATTCTTCAGTCTCGTCAGACATCTCCATCGGAATCTGCTATAGGCTGGTGACTGGCCCTATCACGTTGTTATTCTTCAGTCTCGTCAGTCATCTCCATCGGAATCTGCTATAGGCTGGCGACCGGCCCTATCACGTCATTCTTCAGTCTCGTCAGACATCTCCATCGGAATCTGCTATAGGCTGGTGACCGGCCCTATCACGTTGTTATTCTTCAGTCTCGTCAGTCATCTCCATCGGAAACTGCTATAGGCTGGCGACCGGCCCTATCACGTCATTATTCAGTCTCGTCGGTCATCTCCATCGGAATCTGCTATAGGCTGGTGACCGGCCCTATCACGTTGTTATTCTTCAGCCTCGTCAGTCATCTCCATCGGAATCTGCTAAAAGCTGGTGACCGGCCCTATCACGTTAGTAGTTCCTTCAGTGACAACGCGGTTATTTAAACTGGTCTACTTGTTCGCCGGAAGATCACGCCCAGGGTTTAGTACGTGTTTTACCTCACCGGTCCATTTTAGCGGATATTCTCATTGTTAGAACAGCCTCCTCCACTTCATCTCTGTCGCCAGGAGGTAAAACGTCCATAGCTATAGGTGCTGAGGCAGCTAATTATGACAAAGCCATAATCTGTCCCGGAAAAATCATGCCAAGTGTTCGGCTACAGTCCATTTTTTACAGCTGTTAGGCGATTTTTGCAAAATTTTCACCGGTACAAGAAATTCCACAGTGCAATTTGTTGCATGATTGCCATCACACCTGATAGTGAATCCCTGTTGCTTCTGCTACTCTGAAGTCGCAGCACGGCGCGTCCGATCCTTGCAGTGCACGTATTGTGGTTGACACAGCAGCCTTGATCCGGGTGGCTGTCCCAGAGTTCGCGGTCGCCCTTCATTGCGGCCCCCTTACGTCATCGAGACAGCTGACGCGCCCGCTGTCGGCTGACGAAGCGGCGGCGACAGGCAGCGTCACATTAGCCGCCGTACACCGGCGCTGGTATCGATCTCGGATCACGACAGCTGCGTTGGGGCTTTGGTCTGCACCCGCCACTTGCGGTTTGCAGAAAAAAAAAACAGTGCAAAGCAGACGGAGATGAAACTGCGTGTGATGCATACATGCATGCAGTAGCGTCGAAGAGGGCACCGAGCCATTAAGAGTTCTGTGCCGATGCCGTCTCGGGTTGAAAGGCCATGCAATAAAACGACACTCAAATCTGAATTCAAGCTCGACCAGTCGTCCCGCTTACAAAAAGGCAATTCACCCGCGCATAAAACACTGGCTTGGAGTCGACAACGTCGCGCGGCCGCCCGCTGGACAGCGCTACGACCTCTTAAAGGTCCCTATGACCGCTAGCCTCAGCCATCAACCGCGGGAGCGCCGCAGCTCCGCAACAGCTTCCCGGCGGGTGGGTGGTCGTCGATGGCCCTCAGGAGAAACTTCGAACTGGCAGGTGAGGGCCTTGAGCCCGTTGGTGCAGCGGCTCCAGACGACGGTTTCATGTCGTGCAGCCTGGGGTGGTCGGCGGCGCGAGCCAGACCAAACAGGCTCGCGCGTTTGAGGCGCACCGCGTGGCCCAGCTGCTGCAGCTGGGTCACATAAAACACGTGCAGACGCATCAAGTAGGGCGTTTGGAGCGGGTCGGCGAGTTGAGACGGGTATACGACCAAAGCAGCCAGCCGCCCCGCAAGCAGAAATATTGGGGCGTTTTCCGCAATTGTTTTTGTTTTTCTAGTTGCGACATAGGCACATGTAGCCCATAGCAGTGAATGAAGTCAAATGCCCAATGATGTGTGCTTAACTGAAAGATAGGATTGTGGTTTCGTTTAAAAGGACACGTCGACGTCTGTGCTGTGGCGCGTTTGTCAGGTCCCGAGATACACTGGACCATGTATTGTATCTACGTGCACCTGCACTTCTGTTTACAAGACCATCGTTTTGCACGGGAGACTACAGAAGACGCCACGTCCAAAAAGTGTGGCTGCTTTTCTGATGTGTTAAACACAGACGCAGGACCTATCGTGTTATGGGGTCTTTGTGGAGCTCCAACCCCTAAAAAATTTGGGGAAATTTAGCACTTGGCCCACGGTGGCATACGGAAAGAAATAATCCCAACTACCTTTGAGCTCCCCACTCCCAATCCTGGAAAACCTTCTGCACGGATGGTTCCAGGCGATGTAAGGATTGTCATGTATAATGTGATGCCCAGGTCAAGTGAATCGAAGTGCATGAATGCAGGCGCATGCGCGCAACCCGATATTCCTATGGTAGAAGCGCCGCGTGCCGGTTGCGTGTTTGTTTGGCTCGCGTGTAAGGGATAGTTCAATTGCCCTTTAATTCGGACCTAAATTACCCTGTGGGTCGATTTCGTGCGCTGATTCAGATTCACAATACCGTGTTCGGGCTACGAAAAGTGGGTCCGGGCATTATTCATTCGAAAAACAGACATAATTTTGTTTTGTTGTGCGATGTTTTGGAGCTAGCCAATCAGGAATTCGTACTTGAGCAGCGTGGCTTTTTCAGAAAATGTTTTACAAAAAGCACATACGGTGCTGAACAAAAAAGTAACAGAACTCGATCCCGATATCAAAGTTGATATTTCGTCTATAATCTGCCCCACATTTGGTGTGCCGTTGTGAAAACTAAAAAATTTGAAATGACCGCTCCGCTCCTTGGGAAGGTGTTTGGGCTGCAGAACATTTTTGGTTCCTATGGTGTTTGACCTGTGATGCATTTGACAATCACCAGCCTTGTTGCGACGCAGCTTCTCGCATCAAATATGGTGAGGTGACCGGAACGTAGCTGATTTGGTGCCCGCGTAACAATGCCGGATACACAAAGTGTTTGCATGTTTATATTTA